TGGTTTGCCCTATTGCTTTGTTTCTTGATTTCAGGTTGGTTCTAGCTATATCCCGCTCATTCTTTCCTTTGTACATGACGTGATATTGATTAAATAAATAGAAACATAAGTATAAAATCCAACGTGGTTGTTATCTACGACATATATATATATCATTAGCCCACTCGCCCTTGATCAGAAACAACACGCCATTGTCCTACCATTCGAGAAAATAGCCTGCGGTTGTTCGGACCCCTAAAGTATATACTAGCCCAAGGAAAAATTAGAATAAAATAAAATCAAAGATCTGCCACAAGGTATAAATATCGGAATCTTCTAGACTATTATTCACACATCTCTTCTATTCTCGAACAGCATTACAGCATTACCGCATAGTCACAAGCTCCTCAGCGCTAGTAGGGTGGATAGCAACACAGCTATCAAAGTCCTGCTTAGTAGCACCCATCTTGACAGCGACACCGAAGCCCTGAAGCATCTCACCAACGCCAAGACCAAGGATGTGCAGACCGACAACCTTCTCCTGGGGACCGGCGCAGATAATCTTCATCTCGGTGGGGTTCTTGGCCTTCTCCTCGGGGGACAAGCCGACATCGTAAAACATGGCAGTGAACTTGGTGTGGTAGACCTTGATCTTGTCGTCGCCATAGCGTTGACGGGCCTCGGGCTCGGAGAGACCGATACAGCCGACCTCGGGGTGAGAGAAGACGACGGTAGGAATGTTCTCGTAGGAAATCTTGGAGTGCTTCAGCTCGGGGGGCCCGAAAAGGCGGCTACCGAGTTGGCGGCCGGCAGCAATGGCAACTACGGATTTGAGTCAGTATATTGCTTTATACGAAAAGTGAAGATCGGGACTTACCAGGAGTCAGCTCAGCCTGACCGGTCACATCACCGATAGCGTAGACGCCCTCAACGGAGGTGTTCTGGTACTCGTCAACCACGACGTGGCCGCCAGCATTCAGCTTAACACCAGGAATATCCAGGTTCAGGTCTTCGACCTCGGGAGCACGGCCCACAGCCCAGAGGAGCTCGTTGACCTCGATCTCAGAGCCATCATGGCCAATGAGCTTGAGCAGACGATCCTTGCCCTTGCCATCGCGGATGAGCTGCACCTCCTTGAAACCGCCGTGGTTGCGGTGAATGTTAACGCCGACAGCCTCGTAACGATTGGTCATGGTCTTCTGAATCATAGGGTCGAACTTGCGCAGGAATGTCTCGCCGCGGATGAACATGTGAGTTTCAACATCCACAGCATTCATGACGCCAGCAAGCTCAACGGCGATGTAGCCAGCACCGACAACGGCAATCTTCGGGGGAAGCTCTTCCAACGCAAAGAATCCGTCGCTGGTGATACCGTGCTCGGCGCCAGGCACGGCGGGGATACTGGGCCGGCCACCGGTCGCCAACAGAATATGGGGAGCGGTATAACGGGCAGTGCCGGACCCGTCGGCCAGCTTGACCTCGATAGTGTGGGGCTCGACGAAGCCAGCACGACCGTGAACGAGATCGATTCCTTCGCGACCCCAGTTGTTCTCATAGGCGCCGTTCAAGCGCTTGATGACGGCATCCCGGGTGTTCTTGAATTGGTTGTAGTCCTTAGTAACGTTACCGGGGATGTTGTAGCCGTAGTTCTTTGCAATGTGCAGCGTCTCGTTGATGGTCGCAAAGTTCCATGTCATCTTCTTAGGGACACATCTAAACGGCGTCAGAAAAGGTCTGCAATTAATTATAACAGCATTACCCTGCGTACTCACCCCACGTTGACACATGTACCGCCAGACCGCCCGCTTTCCACGATTAGGGTCTTCTTGCCATACCAACCCGCTGCGCGGCGGGCGCTTCCACTGCCACCACTACCACCGCCGAGGACGATGTAGTCATACTGCTGTGTCTCGATGGGAGCCATGTTGGATGATTTTTGGTTCCTGGGGGCTGAGGATGAAGAAAAGTGTCGGGAAATTGTAGAGAGACGAGAGTGGGGAGCAATTGAGTCCGCAGGGGTGGAGCGGGGAGAGTTGATGGTCGCCAGAGTTCGATTGGTCAAAAGACCAAGAGGGATTTGCCCGATAGGAGACCGGGTCAGAAATGAAGAGGCTCGAAAGCTAATCCGGGATGATTGGATGGAGCGGGAGAGCATGGAGAGACGGAGAGAGGGGAAGAGCAATTATATACAGGCTGAGGTGACGATATCAGGGTTCCTTAATGCACGTTGGTTATTCCGTCACCACGGGCGATTTCTCAGCATTGATTACGTGATTCGATCTAGAGCCCGAACTCCGGGCAGCTCATCCGACATGGTCGATATAACCTTGATATGTACTTGTAGTTTATTACATTGAAGATCTAAAATTGATGTACTAGCATTGATTCGAAGATTATTGAGTTTGTAAATGGTATGTATAGGTATAGGAAATTCACGAAAGAGCGACAGGGAGTGACCCGCACTCCAGAATCACATTCGCGGCAGCACAAAAGAAAATAGTATCAATCAGACAACTTATAACTCAAAGGCCAGGGTTGAAGCACTGGAATAAGCCAAGACTTGGTTGGAACCAATGGAGGCCAATGAATGTTGAAAGGTGCTCCAGATAGACAAAGGCGCCAGCCCTGTCTATCTGACGATGTTGGTCAGAGTATGACAGTAATAGGGAATAGGGTATCAAAATGCGATAGATAAAAAAAAAAGGCCTTCCAATCCAAGTGTGTTGTATATCTTGACTCCTTGTCACAACATGCAATAGGAGTGAGGTTGCCAGTCTGGTGGGTGAAGGACTAGATAGCAGTGGGCGGCGTGGAAGGACGAATGATGGCGCAATGGGAATTGATGAATATTTGTGGAGAGAAGATCGAAATGTATCAGTTGATGTCTTGCAGATCATTCCTTTCGCACAAGGTCATGCGATCCCCCGGTCACATTCTGCTTGTGATAGAGGGGCAGTCTTGAGTGTTGAAGGTATTGTGGGGACCGGAGATTGACTCGTATTTTGTATTACGAGGCGGGAAAATGAAGTAGGAGTGTTTCAAAAGGATGATATGAATCCCAGACTTCAGAATTCAGAATCACAGCGGGGGATCCTTTCATCTTCGTCTGGGTGTTGGGGCAGAATGCTATCGCAGCCTGACTAGTGGGTATAGGCGATAACGGCAAAAGAGATAAGGCAGAAGCAGAGAGGAATGTAGACAGAGCGCTCCATATCGGCAGGTGCTGAGGAGTTGCGTTTCATGGTTTGTAAAGGTGTAGAATTGCACAGTGAGGTGGCAACGTGTTTAAAGGTCTGTGAAAGTGAGGGGGTCTGGGAGTATGAGAGTGCCTGGGGAGGGCGGTGTGGTTATCTTATCTGCTTAGGTAACTGTGTTGAGGCCTCAACAAAACATCACCTGACTCAACATCGGTGTCCTTTGTGGCGGGCAGTGTCAACCTGAGAGCGTGACGAGGTACCTAGTTTCAGGATCCACGGGGCAAGTTAAGCTGGATGTAAAAATATTATGTATGCTTACAAAAAGAGGTTGACAATAAACTCTGTACAAATTATTCTATGCTGAAAAGAAAAAAAAGGCCCAGCCGTGATTTGAACACGGGAATCTCCGCATTACAAGTGCGACGCGTTAACCACTGCGCTACTAGGCCTGTTGTTGTAGAAATCTGTACCATGGCTATATATGACTATTTTTACGATATGCGATTGCTCACAGGGTGAGCAGAACCTTAAGCGCACTAGAAAGGAAAATCGTGGGCTTAAATAAGTTACTAGGTACTATGTATCATCTGATAATTCAACTGAGATCAAAACGCAATGGTGTTGTCTAGCTCCTATTTCAGTCCCCGGCCCGCACAGTCCTGCCACAGCCACTGATGGTGGACTAAATATGTATCCAGTCGCCCCCTCTTCGATCTGAACAAAACGAAGAACGCCATCAACTCTATGTGTTGACCATGCTAGCATCTGTCGTTTGAAGTCCTCTTCGGTGGCTGAAGTCTATTACAATTAAGTGGGAGAGGGTATCAATTGGTCCCTTGAAGAAGCATAAATACACGGAGTTTGACGATGATACTCTTGGTGAAGCAACAAATCCAGAGATCGACGATGCCAAAACCCAATCAAAGTGGGCCAGACTGAGCTCCGATACTTGATTTTGGGAAGCGTCAGAGGTGGGTTTTAGTAGTCTATGTTTTATCGCCATCTTCTGTGTGGTGTGGGTTTATGATCAGAAAATATCACCGCATCTCCCATACGAAATTACACTCAATAGTGTGATCTCTATACCTGCGAAAGCCTTAGAATCGTCTTTGAATTTCGTAGTAGGAGAGTCTCTTGGGCAGTTAGAATGGATTTGGTGCTGGAGGGCCAAAAGGCGGCTACGGGATTTGCAGTCATTTGACAATGCGAGTTGCGGACCTTAGGGCTCCCTCGTTACATTATTCCAACACAAGGGAGCATCAATTACGTTCCTCGGAGCTATAATCACGATTATAGCGCTCGCTTTCGACCTATCTCTCCAGCAAATCTTGACTTTTCCGCTAAGACAGACACCCAGCCTATCGAGTCCGAGCTCACAAGCCTTCTCCAGCCAGGTTCAGTGCTATTATTTTGTTTTATCCAAGGTGTGAAGATGATCTGTGCCTCCCATGATATCTTCCAAGATCCAGACGGCGTTTAGAGAGGGTATGAAGATACAGTCGAAAACGAAAACAGTTGCATTATGAACTTGAATTAGCTTGACATCAACTGTTTGATGCTAAAAAGGTCAAGTGAATAGATGTCGAACATATATCACACTTCACTTCCGATGCTTAGATGAATGGCGGTGTACCGTGACATGGGCACATTCCGTTCTAATGTTGAAGACTAATCTCTACAATACTGGGTTGAAAAAAGAATAGCACAGTTGAACCGGTCAAAATGTATGAATAATTGCAAGCAATGCTGGAAGAAGGACCCCAAACTCCATATGCCAGCGCCGAAAATGCTATAAGCAGTCAACTTTTGATAAACCCAGCCACATCAATAGGAGACTACACCAAGCATCTCCTCGGTGTTTCTGCGAAACAAACGCTCCGCTAGCCCCGGCTTGGTCGCGCATAATTCCAAGCAACATTCAGTGAACGGACTAATATCAACACTAGAGAATCGGGTGTGCGGCCAATCAGTGGCATATATGACTCGATTAGGTGCGACAGACAAGAACTCGCGGGCCATAGCTCGAAGATCACGCATTTGATGGTCTTTGCTAAGTCGATACGGCGCAGACACTTTAACATATGTGCTCCCAGCGCGAAGCAAAGAGATCAAAGACGAGAACCCTTGAAGATTGTAGGGGTTGAATACCGCACCATCATTATCCCACGACGCGAGCTCGGGGCTGCCAAAATGGTCGATGCAAATACGCACGCCTAGCCGTGGGAGGATTGACTCGATCATTGAGACCATCTTGAGGGGAAGATAAATCTCGATGATCCAGTTGCGAGGCCGGGCAATCTCAGCATGCTGGAGTAAGGTTTCTTCCAGTTCGGTCTTATCCATCACTTTTCCCACAGACTGAAGGTTGATTCTCAGTCCGCGAACTCCGAGGGTATGCCATTCGTCCAAAGTCTCCGGTTCAACGGTGGCAGGGTCGACGACGACAACCCCCCGGCCACGCGAGGGCCCAAGTCTTCGCAAGGCATCTAATAAACATGAATTGTCCGTGCCATAAACTGACGGTTGTACAAAGACGAGATTCTCAACGCCTAGTCCAGACTCAAAGGCGAGAGCTTCGCGCAACGTATGTGGGGATGGTTTATACACCGCTGTTGCAGAGATAGGAAATCGCTCGGGTTCCACAACGTGCATGTGACTATCCCAGGATTTTGGAGGCAGTCTCTGCTTGAGCGATACACTTGCGGTCGAGACATGTGTCGAACGCCGCTGCCCTAAACGAGTGGAAAGGACATCAAGCGATATAGATGGAAGCTCGCGGAATACAATGGGTTTGGGCTGAGCAGCAGTCAGCATCTTGAATAGATCTTAAGCAAACAGAGACAGCAAGGGTTTCCAATAGTGAAAAAGTAGGCACAAGTACACAAAAAAAGCTGAATTAAAGCTATGGGAAGATACTCACAGAGCAGCCCCAGCAGGAGGATATCATCCTACGACAGGGTCTGAAGAGAGTCATGCCAGTTTCACCGCTCAACATCAGTGGATGGTGATCCAAGTGCCTGCAATGCAGGTTTTTTTAACATGAGAGCACCCATCGGCCGCGTCCGAAGCGCACAATATACATGTCTTGTACCCCAACGCACACACGCGTGTGACCACGCAGGGAAAAATTGAGCTCGGAAGTTGTCCGTCAAGGACTCTTCCAATCCCTAAGCAGCCATCTGGACCTGTTAAATGCGGCAATGAGCCGTCAAGCGGAGCCAAAAAGTGGATAGCTGCGGCGCGATCCGACAGGTATGGAGTCCCTCGGAAATCATTGAAATACAAGAAAGCAATAAAGCAGTATCTAGAATAATTTTTGTGCGTTATAGTAACTGGTGCTCAACTCCTTGTAAGACATGGCGGAAAAAGTACACAATGTAGGGAGGCCAAGCTCGGATGTTGACCGAACCTCTTAGCTCGGACGCCGAGCACCCGGTCTTCTCCTGTCCACTCTCTCACTTCATCCCCCCCGGATTTATTGTTATACGCCCCCACAGCTCGTATATATTAGGGGCCATGAGATGGATCACGTCGCGATGGTCGACCAATCCCTACTACGCCCTGGTGATTGTTGTCATCGCCTGTGGCGGGATTCCGAAAGGTATGAACCACCCCCCCGCCCATCCCACTAGGCTAGCTTGTCAACAACGATCTGCGACACTATACCTACAAGAGTAATGACATTTGCTAATTGCTCATTGTCCTAAATAGGTTATGACGAGGGTGGCTATAGTGCCAGCGTATCCCTCCCCTCCTTCACGTCCGACTACAACCTTGTCAAACACTGGGGGTTGACGATACCGACATAGCTAATCGGAAAGCGAATATCACCTCTTTCAACGTCCTAGGCGCAGCACTTGGTGCCCTAATAGCCCTCGATCTCAATGATCGACTGGGACGCTTGGTGGTGTGGCGTCTGGCATGCCTCGTGTGGGCAACGGGGACATTGATCCAAATATTCGCGTCTGGTATATACGGACTGCTCTTGTTTAGTCGCATATGGGGCGGTTTGGGCGCGGGCGCTTTAACAGTCACTGCGCCGTTGTATTTAAGCGAAATAGCCCCTACTAAAACGAGAGGTCTAGTGGTCGGGATATACATGGTGATCTTATTGGCCGTTCTGGCTATGGGTAAGCTTTGACACTCGAGACATCGTACATTGTACGCATATTCAGCCCCCAATGACCTGCTAACCCTTCGTTTCAGGATTCTTTATCAACTATGGTGCAAGGGTCCACATGTCGATCACGCGAACCCAATACCGTCTAGTCCAGGCTGTGCCTCTAATCCCTGTCGGTATCGCATATGGTCTGTCGTACCTTTGCCCCGAGACTCCCCGGTATCTCGTTTCGAAACAGCATCACCAAAAAGCTGTAGAGGCTCTGGCACGGTTGCGTGGTAGGGCCATCGATGATCCTGAAATCATCAAGGAATTCGCGACTATCAGTGCACGAGAACGGGAGCGAGCAATAGATCTAGCATCTGTCTCTCATTGGACTATATTCAAAGAGACCCAGACGAATCCGAATTATCGACAGCGTTTCTGGCTACTAATTGCGATGCAAACCATTGCTCAGTGGACCGGCGGGAACGGTATCACATACTACGTAACGACCATTTTCCAGGTATGTCACTCCCAAACATCCGCGCTAAAGAAAAAATCACCAACATCTTCCAGTATGCCGGTGTAACAGGCGACGCATCGTCCCTCGTCTCCTCAGGCGCCTACGGGATCGTCAAATTAATCTTCACAATGGCCTTCACATGGGGCCTAATCGATATCCTCGGTCGACGCCGCTGCACACTCGCCGGACTAAGTCTGCAGCTCGGGGCGCACATCTACATGGCTATATACATGGGTTTAGGGCCAGGCTCGGCAGACAACCGAAACGCCTCTAACGCGGCTATCGCATCGGTCTTCGTTTACGCTGTAGGTTGGTCCATCGGTCTTTGCACTGTGCCTTACCTGTACGGAACGGAGATCTTTCCAACACGCATCCGCAACCTCAGTTACGCGATTAGTATGGGGCTGCACTGGTTCTTCCAGTTTGCTGTTGTGCGAGTCACCCCTAATATGTTCGTTTCGCTTGATGTCTGGGGTGCTTATCTCTTTTGGGCGCTTATTTGCTTTTCGGGGCTGATTATCCTTGGCATTTGCATGCCTGAGACGAAGGGTGTGCCTATTGAGCGGATGGGGGATTTGTTTGATGGGCCGTGGTATTTGCGGTGGCGGGCTAAGCCGAAGGAGTGTGATGTTGCTTCGTCGATTGATATCACGCAGGATGTCGAGTTGAAGGATGCTCGAGTTTTGAAGTCGAGTGGTTCGGTCTTATGATTTTTCGTTGTTTTCCTGGCATTTCATTGATTTACTTATATCTGTCATTTACTGATACCCTATTTTGTTATTATTTAGCCCATGTCCGACTTCTATGGTGCATGTCCATTTTCGCGATTCCTATATCTGTCTGCTTTGCATATCAACCAGAGCTCCTGTCCACCCAGTATCATGTTTGGGGACAATCATTGAGATGCAATATCTGCCAACTTTTCCCTGCAGTGAAGCTTACAGAGTTACAGCTGAGAATACATGTAGTTATATCATTGACTGTTGAAGTGATGTATCTACCTCGGTCTGATCTTAAGTCTGACAGGCTGCTATAATGAAAATGTTTTTGGGAATCACGAAAATAAAACGGAGTCGATGGGTAAAAGAGGGGAGAAAAAAGAGAACAATCTTCCCAGTCACGCTATACAAGATCATTGAGAAGGTCCACCCCACCCCTGATCAAAAACAGGCGTCATGTTCGTCGTAATCGGTTGCGCATACGAGAATGCCTCATATACCTCAGGCGTGATTTCGTAAGAACTGGGGTCATCCACCGTCATGACGGCATTTGGCATCCCGCCTAGCAAGTGCGTAGGCGGCATCTGGGGCATCTCACTCGGATGCGGGATGTTGAAACCTGCTCCCGGGTGCTGGAAGGTATTGTATGGTCCCATGAGGGGCGGGTTTTCAGGGCCGGTCGTCTGAGCTTGTGTGACTATCGATGCTTGTGGTTGGTGGTGATGCTGGTGTGGGGAGACGTGGCGGGATGGGTTGCTGCCTATTGATGGAGACTCGCTGGGCTGGGGGTGGTGAGGATGGGGATGGGATTGGCGTGGGGATTGATGATGTTGAGGTTGGTGTTCCTGTTTAGACTCGGGAATGGGTACGGGGAGTGGTCCGTGGATGTTGATTTGGAGTTTTTGGAGCTCCAGGGAGATGAGGCTGAGCGCTGTTGTGATAACGGGGTTGGCGGCCTTGACTCTCTCAAGGGCGAAAATGCAGAACTTGAGTTTGTCCAGTGTTCCCGGTGCGGCATACTTCAAGGCTTGGATCTCGAGTAGGAAAATCGATGCTGCTGTGTAGATGCTGTATGCTAGAGAGAGGACGACGTGGCTGTCGCCGAATGTACGGCGGTATAGATCGAAGAGAGATAGAATTGATGTTGCTGATGCCATGCATTGTACAAGATGGGTCGAGTCGTATGCTTCGGGGCGGGCTTTGAGCAACTCTCGGGAGCAGAGAATTGGTCGGTGGAGAAGGATGTTGATAGTATGATAGAAACAACTAGAAGAGATGGGTTAGTACTATGTTCCAGCGCACGCAATATTGAGAACATACTTCAAAATCACGATATGGCTCGGTGGTGAGTATGGAGGAAGGTCTATCGCCGTTAATTTCAAGTAGTCCGGTAACTCATCCCACCAGTCACTCAGATTTTTGGCCTGCTCCTGAACACAATCAAAGAATTCCGAGTCCGTGCTTCGGCGGATTGGGTCATATATGTGGATCAGAATCTGATTCAAGACTTCCGCCAGACCACACATCTTCATGAAACATGACGTTGAATGCGCCTGCGTCGGCGGATAGTGAGCACCATCAGTGAAGCTCACCCCATGAGGTGTCCATATTTCGATCTCAGCGGTGTCATCAAGAATCATGCGTGGTGGGCTAACGCGAGAGTGCTGCATCGTCGGCGCCCGGCCAAAGTACAATGAAACCACCTTATCCCAGAAATAACAACTCCAGAATAGACGGTTCCGTATTTCAATATCTTCATCACTCAGTTGAGCGGATCCTGAATATTTCCGGCTGTCGATGGATATACCCAAGTCGTCCAACAGTCGGAAGGCCATGCCACTGTATAGCCAAGCCTGCGTCCGATTTCCACGGCCGCATTCCTGGGCACTGAGAAGGAGTAATGTTTGAATGGTAGGGATGCCTGCATAACCAATTTTGAGAGAGTCGAACACCCCAGTCAATGCGCGATGGGAGAACTGTGCACCGCCGTCATAGGAGTCCAGAAGCGGGCCAATCTGAGGCTCCGATTTGCACCAGCGCACCGAGTGAGAAAGAATAGCATTTAGTAAGACGTCGGAGTAATAAGCCCCATTAATTTTCATATCACCTATGAAAGGTTAGTGTCATATGCATGAAATAGCAAGGTCAGACAGACGTGTAAATGCAGGACGGTAGACAAAATTCCACAGCGGCTGGATCCAGCACCAATGCGAGTCGAGAAGATACTGGAAAGGCTCCTGCAAGAGTGTATCAGCATCCACATCCCTTAAATAATCCCAGGATACATACCGGCATAGCAGCCATTTGCTCGAATGCCCTTTCTCGCCATGCGCTATTAACAAGCCGCTCTTTGCGACCTTCCAATTCCTGCGCGTAATGCGAAGTCGACGCGGCTTCGCTCACTACCCCACTAGGCAACTGGAACAAACTCGTCGGTCCATGAAATGAGACGCGCCCGTCATTTTCCACATTCAGACCATCAAATGCTCGACTAAGATCTTCAGCATCGGGATCGATCTTTATCTTTGTTCCGCTCGAGCTAGACTCAGTCGATGAGGGTGATCTCGTCTTCCGCACCTCTTCCTCCCCGCGCTTCAACAAAGCTTCCTCCAACTGCGCAACCCTAGCCTCCAGCTGTTTCGTATACGATAACGTCGGAGCTCTTGGTGAGAGAATGACGTGTCAGCGACGGAATAGAATAAAGAAGGAGATCGACCCACAAGCTATACACACACTGCTCGTTGCGCGCGGCGCATCGCGAACACGACGGACTAGCTCCGTTACATTTAACCTGGCGAAATAGTTAGCTCGGAAATCTCGGAAATCTCGGGGTACTCGGTCTTCGTCCGAGAGGGATCCGCGGTCACCTTGCGTTTGCGACAGGCCTCGCATGAGAAGGCGCTCTTCCGGGGGAGGGTCTTGGGAGGCTCGGCCATTCCAGTACCTTTTCAAGGTCCCGATTCGTGGAGATATATCACTCCCTTCAATATCAAAATACAAAGGGAAAAGATAAAAATAGGAGAGAAGATTTTTGGCCCCACGGGGATTAAGCCTTATGAGAAAATGAGATAGTATTGACGTCGAATCAGCTTGAGGTCGAGTTGGAGTAGGGCAAAGGGTTAGAGCTCATTGGTTGGAGAGTTGGAGATTTGGAGAGAATCTATACCCACCTTTTATAGGTTATAGGTTATAGGCTGTATAGATGATGAAAAGAGTAGGCAATTAGATGTGCTGTGCTATTTGCATGGTATTCAATTGTATACATTCCCTTATTTGTTCCCTTTCTTGAAACCCGACTTGCCCTTGCCCTTATTCTTGTTCTTCTTAGGGTCCTTGGCAGATTCCGCATCACCCTTGCCCTTCTTCCACCCGATATTACCATCGTGTCTCATCTGTGCATCATCTAGACGCTTCTTGTCCTTGTTGCTGAGCTTGACATTGCTCTTCTTGGTGTTGGGACCGTTCAACTCCACGTTACCCAATTTGCGAGCAACCTTCTTCTCCTTCTCGGTCTCGAACCACGTCCGCTTCGGCCGTGACATGATCTCGTTTCCGTGCTTCATGAGGTTCTCACCCTTGGTGAATTGCATCTCGGCTTGAGAGAACTGCTTCTCGGTCTTTTCCTCTTGCAAGATCTCCGTCACCTCATCAGCCATATCCTCGGCCTTTTGCGCCCAGCTGTCTGCGACGGCTTGCTCAACTACACGACTGGCAATCTTGGCGCCTTGTGCTTTGCCGGCGCGGACGGCAAGCTTGACGATCTTGCGGTCGGGCTCGGCGGCAATCGTGCATGCACGACCGGAGCGGCCGGCACGGGCTGTACGTCCAACACGATGCAGGTAGATCTCGTGACTCTGAGGTGCCTCGTAGTTAATGACGGTCTCGACACCCTTGATATCCAGACCACGAGACGCAACGTCGGTGGCGAGAAGGAAGGCAACCTTGCCATCTCGGAAGTTTTCGACGGATTTGATACGCTGTATGGAAAATTAGTGTTGTACATACAAGACATGAATAGTTCGGACATACCTGTTCTTGACTCAGACTACCGTGTAGCTCTGCTGCCTTCAATCCCAATAGACCGAAAATGATGCGAACGCGGTGAGCTTCCTTCTTCTGTCGGAAGAAGATAATAACACGCTTGGTGTAGATTTCCTTGCACAGGTACAAGAGGTAACCGAGACGCTTATCCTCCCGACCGGGACGGAGACGCACGAACTCTTGGACAAGGGTGGATACAGTGTTCTTCTTGGCATCAACCATCAAGCGCATTGGGCGGTTCATACCGACACGAATGAGCTTGTCAATTGAGTCTGTCATGGTCGCGGAGAACAGCATAGTCTGGCGAGATTTGGGAATCGTGGTGAGAATCTCATTCAACTCATCGGCGAAACCATCCTCAAGCATACGATCGGCCTCATCAAGAACCAGAATCTCTAGGGTATCAACGGTGAAACTGGGCGAGTTGCGCATGTGATCAATGAAACGACCGGGGGTGGCAATGATGACATCGGGGCGCTTCTTGAGCACGTTCTCCTGCTCGCGAAGACTGAAACCACCAACCAATTGACAGAATGTGACATCTGTGAATGTGGCCAGTTTGACGGAGACGTTGTAACACTGAACAGCCAATTCACGAGTGGGCATCAGAACCACAACACGACTTGTAGGGACCTTGCGGGGACGGAAGAGGAGACGCTCGAGGATAGGAACAATGAAGGCAGCGGTCTTTCCGGAACCAGTCACGGCACTACCCACAATATCCTTGCCCAGCAAAGCAACGGGAATCGCCTTACGCTGGATAGGAGTCGGGTCTGTGAATCCAACTGCCGCAAGACCTCGAAGGATGGGGCGGGAGAGATTGAATTCTTGGAAAGTCATCTTGGCCATATTGGCCTTGGTGTCAACCTTTTCTTCGGGGGCAAAGAATGCTTTCCGCTTCTCTGCTTCCTCCTCATCCACCTCGCTCTCTACATCAGACTCCATGTCTGAGCCTCTGTCATCGGGGTGACCGACGGGTGTGGCGACAGAGTCGTTGTCAGATGCAGCATCATCATCGGAATCCTCATCCTTATCCTCATCGTCCTCCTCGTCTTCATCCCCAGAGCCAGGCTCGGGGCCCTCGGCATCACTCTCCTCCTCGCCGTCCGCGCCCATGCCGAAAGCGTCTTCGGCCATGAGCTCATCATCCTCGAAGTCAACGGGCATTTCATCGCCTGATGCAGCCTCGTCTTCAGATGCGCTGACGCTCTCCTCCTTCTGGACAGGGTTCTTCTTCTGCTTCCTAGCAGCAGCCTCATCCTTCTTGGCCTGCCTCCGCTCAATGATATCGTCAATATCAACAGCCTTCTTGTCGCCGGAGCGCTTCTTTTCGTTGTCATCAATACCCCAGCCATCAAAGCCTTCAGTGACACCTTGGTTCGCGACACCGCCGACATCGAACTCGAAATCGGGGTCCAAGACGCCGTCGTCTTCTGTTGCATCCGCCGCCGCCGCATCATCGTCCTCCTCTTCCGACTCGGGTTCGGGTGCGGGCTCGGCGTTCTTCTTGTTCTTCTTGGCGTTTTTCAATTGCTGCTTTTCTTGCTGCTTCTGTTTCTTGTTCTTGGGCTTGACACTTTCAACCTCGCGCTTGCGCTTTTTGTTTTCTGCTGCTGGCGCATTATCATCCTGCATCTCGTTGTCCCCATCTTCTTCTTCGAAACGGGTGTCGAGTTCGTCGTCGGAGAGCGTAAATACGAAATCATCGTCTTTGGCGGAACTCCGCTTCGCCGATTGAGGAGCCATCTTAGAGACTCGCACAGGTTCCAGTGTAAATTTGGTAACTGGGTGTCTTCCACACTCTCTCAAACAGTCTCAATGTAAAATTTGAGACCTCGAATACTGTGCAAGCAACTCAATCTCGCCGAGAGGAAATGGATCAACATGCAAAAAAAAGTTCCCCGGGCGGTGACAAGAAAATTTCAGATGACATAATCAATCCGCTTCGAGCCTTAAAGATGCTGATAGTCACCAGCAGTCAGTACCTCACGTTCTATTCCAATGTTATTGGTCCGAAATTAAGATAATCATACATTTTCAATTAACTACCTATCTAGGTAGGCACTCTTCATCTGCTCAATATCCCCTGTATTCCCCTTTACCACATAATCATTGTTTTTGTAAGACATCCAGGATATATGATCCTGGATTGAGTGACCATTCGTCTGTCTCATCAGTCTCGTTTTCTTTTCAATTTTTTTTTTCCTTTCTTTCATTTTTCATTCTCTTCCAGAGGTTCATTCTCCGCTGTGAGGTTTTCTGAAGATGGTGTCCGTCCATAGTCTCCACATCATCCATCCATTCGCAGGCTCATCAGAGGTAATTGAGTATGGCAGACTGCGTACCATTCCCATGAGACTTAGCTCGAGCCTGAGACTGGCTTTCGACTTCATCGTTCACATGCGGGGCCCGGATGCGACGCGCCATGTAACGAAGGTCAAAACTAAGCATATACGTCAGTGGAAAAGTGAAAAGAAAAGACAAGACCTTACCTCCTGCCACTCTTTACTCTTGCATTCTCGAATACGCACTTGTGCTCGAAGCCAAAATCCCTCTCCAGCCACTCCTTGATCCAGGCATGCTCCTCCTGGGTCTCCTGGGATGTTGCAATGGCACAAATCATTGTTGTGAGGTGGCGGCCATAGCCCGGTCCATACTGCACTGTGCCGGTTTGGTCAAACTCATAAGCGGTGCTTTTTTCAGAGGCCGCATCAAAGCAAGAAAGGACCATATCAACAAGTGCCCGTCCGATGTGCTGATTCTTTCTACCCTCTCGGACGAAGACGTGCAGCTCGCCCATGTTCATGTCAGCGCTCTTTCCGTGCCGATGATATTCGACATAGGCATAGCCAACCACAGGGTGGATCTGATTACGGCACAAGGGTTCCGGTGGTCGCTGGGCAGCGACAACGAAGGGAAAGTGGGTTTCTCGGCAAAATTGAAGAAGCTCTTCAAAGTCCTTCGCCCCCATAGATCGGGCTCCGCTGCTGGAAGATGAGCCACGTGCATACCAGTTCATGATTTCAAGGATAGAAGAAGCGTCATATTGTTCCGCAGGACGTAGATAAATGCCAGGTGGGACAACTTTTGAATCTGTTGGCAATTCTAGCCAAGCACGATAAGCTGCAGTGCGACGTAGGTGCTCTTGTTGTTCCTGTTCCTTCTCCTTCCGTCTTTTGTTGACCTTCCCCAAGTTGTACACATAACCTTCTGATGTCTCGTGCCAATGCAGACGTGTCAGTTCGTCTTTCATGTCCCTAGGGGCGGGCACATGCTTAATGTCAGGCAAAAACATATCAGACTGTCCGTCGGGCATCGCGGTCCCGTCAAAGAAGGCAGCATGATAGATGTCGACTTGGTGTCCGGCTGGAAGCTGATCCCACCACTTGCGAAACTGGTTTCTGACAACTGCGTTGGGAAGATCAAACGATGAAATTCTGTGTTTGAGTTCGTGCCACTGATCATGTCTTTCTTCAATCTCCAAAGTGCAGTCACCAATAAGAGTTTGCTCGTGTTCATAGGTAGCGCTGTGGGGTTCCGAGGTGAACTTGAGGATGCCATCTTGATTGCTTGGGAAGATACGACGTGATTTTCGGTATGCCTTGGCTTGAATCTTGTGTCGGGCATCCCAATGGGCCCGAGACTCCGCATTGTTAGGCTCTTTGACTGTTTTTTCGATTTCCGCGTTCGCAATTTTAGGAATAAAGTTGGGTTGGTCAGATGTTGCCCATGGCTCAGGTCCCTCAACGTCTTCAACAATCCTGTGCTTTTCGAGCAACTGATATATCTTGCTGCTCATATCGACTCCAGGTCCATCCCTTGCCACGGGAAGCATCTCAGGGCAAGAGTGATTCTCATTTTCCATGCCAAACAGAGGCTGCTGCACGGGCTTGTTCTTTCTTCTCTGTTTGTCAAACTGTTTGGTCAATTCCCAAGTTTGTGACCAGCTCAGATTATCAATGCTCTGTATCAGCTTGTTTCTTTCCATCTCATCCATGGACTCGAAAATACGAAGCATGGCTGAAGTAGAGTTGGTTGGGAACACTGGCGACTTTGGCTTGTCAAAATCCTTGGGTGGCTTTTGGTGGACACCATTCCTGCCACAGAATGGCAGGGACATTTCGACTTCTTCTGCCATTTTGATTTGATGCGAACCACACGCAATTAAATGAGGGCTTCTAGTAGATATAATGTTAGCCGGGACGCTCAAAAATCACTGGCATGATGCTTCTTTGGTCTGTTATAGGTCACTCCTTCACTCTGCTTCGCTAGCATTTGGTGATAGCGAACGAGAAACCAGCTGGGAAGATCTGGAAACCCACTTGGAGTAGAGCTTGGAATTATGCCCGTTCCACACACATGTGACTGGGATAGGGGTGGGTTTGTGTTTGTCGCTCACAGAGTCCACAAAAACGCTGGGTGACAAACTTACCTGAATGATTGTACGTCTTGTAGTCGGTCCACTGACGAGACTGGACTTGTAGAGCAAGTTCTGTGTTGCGAACACGATGACTGAGAAAATACGCGAATGGAAACATGAAATTTGGGAGAGAAAAGGATGGGAGAGAGGAAGAGAAAGAAAGTAGGAGGATGGGGAGAGAGGGGAAGAGAGAGAGAGACAGAGAGAGGGAGAGAGGACCATGAACGGTGGGGGACTGGGAAACCTCGAACGTTCTATCGAAGTCGAACTTCAGCTAAACCTCACAGCTTCATGCTATCTAATTGTATTTATGTTCTTTCCTCTCATCCAAAGAATCACTATCACCGCCTTTGGTAAGACTCCATTCAAGGACCTGCTTCGCAGTCGCAAAGGGTTGATATCTGAATAGACCTAGGTCTAGATGAAGTCGATACAAATGAGACAGAATTTCAGCGTGACGCCATCCGCTACAGTCTATCATTGCAGTGTCTATCTTTGACAATGTCTATATCCAGATAGAATGATATCAAGTCTTGGATTCCAGGAATAGTAAACTTGTACTGAGTGTATATCACTTGCTACTAGTTGATGTTGTGGCCTGAACTTTGACACAGATTGGGAATTCCAAGCTTTCGAGATGTAGAGGAAAGTACACCAGCATGACATCCCTATAGGCAGTTTTGACCGAAAAGTCACGTTGTAGCAACGGGGAGAAATATTCTATCGGATGTGCCATAGACACGGTCAATCCCCATTTTGAGACTGACAGCATTTTTCCCTTTTCAACTCCCCCCAAAAATACCAAGCCGGACATTCTCGCAACCATGTTGTCCATACTTCGAAAAGCCCGCTTAAAGGATAAAGAAATGCGTATATTGATGCTGTATGGACACCGAGTAGTCGTCCAGACCGCGATGCTAATGATTGCAGGGGTCTTGATAATGCCGGGAAGACGACCATCGTCAAGCGAATTATGAAAGAGGATGTCACCACCGTCAGTCCGACTCTAGGATTTATCATCAAGACAATTGACTTTATGGGGTAATTTTCCGTACTTGGTCATATCTTGAGCTTCGCTAACTCGGTACAGATACAAACTCAACATCTGTGAGCCAACCGGGGATCGCTAAGACTGCACTGTACTAACGTCACTAGGGGATGTTGGAGGACAAAAAACCCTGCGATCTTACTGGAAAAACTATTTTGAAAAGACCGACACACTAGTCTGGGTTGTCGATGCCACCGATCGTCTGCGGATTGACGATTGTCGACAGGAGCTGTCGGGTCTGCTTCTTGAAGAGGTACGGATGACGTCCCCACCCGCAATCTGCACATCCTTTGAAAGCGTCGACTAAACCCCATTTCGCCAGCGTCTTACGGGAGCGAGCCTGCTGGTCTTCTTAAATAAGACAGATGTGGAACATTGCATGAGCGAGCAGGAGGTTCGCGAAGTAGGTCGCAGTCTGGAATTCGGGTGTTTGGATGCTAACGTTTCTGCAGCGTCTTGATTTGGATTCAATCAAAACACACAAGTGGACTATTTTGCCATGCAGTGCAATGACTGGCCGGAATCTGAATGAAGGTCTGGAATGGGTGGTACAAGATGCCAAGGACCGCTTGTTCCTTTACTAGTCAACCTCTGAACGTCGGGGGAACTCGGCCCTATTTCTTGATTTGCCTATCAATTTCCGATCAACTCAAGACTTTTGTCTCTCACCCGTTATATATAAACTAACATGCAGTCCACTTTAAACTGGACTTCCAAATCCCATCAATGCCGTGCGTTTTCTGATGCATACACTTTATAATATTGTCTTCATGTTCTAAAGAGGTATCTCATCCATGTTCAAAGTGGAAAGATTCCCATCCGATAGGTCGAAGTCGAGTTCCAGAGAGTGTCGCATGCAAGGCACGAATTAATATATCCCCAATCGATACTCCGTACACAGTCACACATGAATTCCGAGCCCCTGAGAACCCGGGAGGACCATGGAAAGAGGCAAACTGCGGGGCGAAACCTGTTCAGAGCTGAACTCCACAGTAAACAAACATGATAACAGATGTTCATCCAGGTCAAAAGTAGAGGGAAGACATATATATTGATCGGAGTAAATAAATAGGATAAATAAAAGTAGATTAATATCTAAAAAAAAGTGAGGTGTGTGAGCCAATGAATTGGTTGATCATCGCAAGTCCCGATTTAATTTAAACAGGGCGGAGAACACAACTCTTCTTCTTTCTCTCTTCCTCCCCCCATTTGTTTTCTAGGAGGCGTGCATGAACGCCTCAAGTCTGGATCATGACTGTTCCTAATGAGAGTTCCGAGGATGTCAATGATTTTCTTCAGCGCATCCGGGAACTAGGCGAGCGTCGCGACAAGGAAGATGACGAGCGCACCAAGAAACTGGAGGAGGAGATTATGCAGGGGCGGAAAGAAAGGCAAGCCCGGCGAGCTGGTATGCATTCCTCCCCTTGATGCAGGCAATAACCGCAGTCACAGCATTTGCTGCACAATGTGCTGATATCCGGATGACTCAAAAAAACAGAGCGTGCACGATCACTGGCCCTGACCGACGATTCATCCGTCCTCAACATCGCGCGACTGAGCACTGCATCTACCAGTCCCCGGTCTATCGATCCCCCGGAACACCTCGAGCCAACACCGCAAAAACCAACCCCCGGGACCGAGTCCCCAACCTCGAGCGCCGTGGATTTGAATCAAGACACCGAGGTTTCTGACAAGCGGCGCGGATCGGTGCCGGATCTCGGAATGGATTCTCCCTCGCGAGCACGACCCCCATTGTCCCGCAGTCGCGCGGGGACTTTGTCATGGCAGCAACGCCCGTCCTCGCGGGATTTCGGCATCTCACCTTCAGCATCCCCCACTCGCTCCCCAACTCGCGCAAGCCATTTGAGAAATTTGTCTACGGCGTCGGATGAGAATACACTATCTCGACTCCAATTTGGGTTCCCGCGCCCCTCAAAGGATGCTCCTGTGCTTCCTCCGTCACCGGATCGCGGGGTTGGGTTAGCACACAGTGAAAAGGAGGAACAGACAGAGAAGCACACAGATGTGGATGTGGGGCATCGAGAACCGGAAGCGGGTGAAGAATCAAGTACTGAACTAGATAAACTCGACGCAGTAGAAGAGAGGTCATCATCGCCTCCGAGGACCGGGTCTCGCGATAGCAACATGAGCCATCGCTTCTCGGTATCATCGGTTTCCGCCACTGGATTGGGGTCGCCAGTACATCTGTCAGATACCACGAAGCTCGAGCCTCGACAGAATGATTCCTTTGAGGAATCTGTACCGTCTCCAACCCAGCGGCGGATGTCACCAGAGCGAAGCCGGTCGACCTCACCCACCAAGGGCCTGGGAGGTTTTGTTCAGAGTGCTATGATGAAAAGATCAGATAGTGTGTCAAAGAGATGGAGTGCACAAATCCCGCAGGGACTTGCGCGGTCAAATTCCATTGTGTCAAACCGCAGCAGTGTGGCAGGTCCAAGTTTGAGTGAAATGACCCCTCCAACTCTTGGGCGAATTTCGCGTGAACCTTCAACTTTCCTCCAACGACCAGGCTCCAGCCACAGTGAAGCACACACTGAAACCACTGAGCGACCAACCACACCTTCTGCAAACGATAGAGACAGTGTCAATTTTGAAAGCCCAGGAAAATCATTCCGACCTACTCACTCTCGTTCTGCTAGCTCTGCTACCGCAGACGGTAGCGAAAGTCCGTTTGTTTCGAAAACCATGGATCCCAGGCGCTGGAGCCCCAACAAGGCTTCTTGGTTGGAGAGTGCCCTCAACCGACCAGAGTTACCACGACAGACCACCAGACCCCCATCACAGCCCAACTGGGCCAAAGACCGACAATCGCGAGGTAGCGTGGATTTGGGCCGAGTGAACAATTTCAAAGAAGTCACCCCTCTCGGTTTGATGCGAACGCCTCCGCCAGGAACTCAAACCAAACTCCCTGGTTCTGGTCCATCACTTCCGACAAGTCCCATCAAAGATGGTGTGCCCGAATCTCCAATAGGATTCCCTTTGAAAAAAGTTGGCGTTCCATCGCTTCCTACAAGTCCCATTAAAGATGGTGTTCCCGAGTCTCCATTAGGGTTCCCTCTGAAGAAAGTTGGTGTCTCGGGTCCCTCGCTCCCTACGAGCCCTGTGAAGGAACCAATCCCTGAGTCTCCATCTGGATTCCCCTTCAAAAGGCCAAGCGTCTCGAGTTCATCACTTCACAGGAACTCTGTGTCAGACATTCCTTCAGAATTCCCCTTCAAGAGGCCTGGTACTTCTGGAGGGTCAGTTAGCGGAAGCCCTGATAGCAAGCTCAAAGAAGCACCCGAGTCTACTTCGAGATTCCCCTTCAAAAGGCCAAGCGTCTCGGGTTCATCACTCCACAGGAACTCTGTATCCGAGCCTCCGGTAGAATTCCCACTCCAGAGGCCCAGTATCTCTGGTCCCTCAGTTTCTGGGAACATTGCCAAGGAGACTGTTCCTGAATCTCCGTCGGAGTTCCCATTCAAGCGGCCCAGCATTTCAGGTTCCTCGGCCCCCGGAACGCCCGAAGCCAAATTAAGGGAGATAGCCCCAGTATCTCCGTTAGTTCTCGGTAGCCCTGACGCCAAACAAACCCAAGAGGAAATTTCAGCTTCTCCAACGCCTGTTGAGGAAGCTCTCAATGCCCTATCAGGCGGCGCACCGGTGGAAGAACCTAGGTCGCCCTCTCCTGCTGAAATTGGGAATGAATCGCAAGAACTACCAACATCTGGAGAGCCCCTCGAGCCACAATCCACTCCCACTCGCAGAGCCCCTCCCGACTCGTTAAGCCCCAAACCGAACTTTTCCGTCTCTACTTCTTCGCGGGGACCCAATTTACCCAAGGCGAAGCCACAATCTCCAGTAATCGATTTCCGAGCAAACCTACGGAAACGAGAAGTCGTTAAAGATACCGAAGACAACAAAGAACCGGAATTTAAAAATGTGTTTGGGCGCCTCAAAAAGACCGAAACTCGCAACTACGTTGCCCCTGACGAGCTCAAGGGCAATATCCTACGAGGCAAAGCTGCTCTGAACACCACCGGCGGACCAAAGAAGACCGAGCGAGTCGATGAATTTAGGAAAAGCCTTGTGTTACGCAAAGACGAAATGAAAGCCGGCGGAGGTTCCATCAGGCGGAATACTGCTGGAGAGCAGGACGCGCCAAAACCGGCTGAGGTCGTACCAGAAGCAATTGCTATGCGACAGAATATGACCCGGGCAAATAGCATTAAGCAACCATCTGTGGATGACCCGATATCGCCCGCTAAAAGCTTTGGTTCTCGACTTTCGCAGGACAGACCAGCATTGTCGTCTCCGACTTCATCTTTCAAAGGCGTTAGTCCATCGCGGGTTTCTCGAGAAGAGCGACCATCGTCGCCATTCCCTGCCAATGATGAGCCCAGCGGGCCCTTGAAGGATAATCGCTCCTCGCAAGCATCTCAAGAATCACAGCCAGTCTCACCCTTCCCTGCTGATGATCCCATTGATGAGCCCGAGGAAACGACCCCGGCGGCGAGCGACTACAGGCAAACCCCCAAGGTGGAATCTTCAGCGAACCAGGAGGAAACCCGCGAAGTCGTGGCACCAATTGAGCCCAACGTGGTGAAGATGCAGGAGCCTTCAGTCAAAACACTCCGCTCAGTTCGCCAATGGCCACCGACGCCTGTCGCGGAGGCTACCGTAGCCTCAAGCCCGGTAGCTAAGAACAAGCTGGCAGGCCGAATCAATCCTGCGCTAGCTGGCCTGCTTTCTCGTGGCGCGCCTGTTGGTGACGGACCTAAGAAGCAGCTGCCAACCCCTGTCACAGTGCAACGTGACCCTGCTGCGCCATCTGCACCACTCACCCATGTCACGAAAGGTCGTGCCAAAGGCCCAAAGAGAAGACTTCCCCAGACAATTGATGTCTCGACCCCATCCCCTCAGGATGATACTAAGGAGGTTGGTGCTATTTCATGCTCTGAAGCCACCCCGTCACAAACTCCTATATCCCCTGTTGAATCCTTGGAGATCGATTCGGAGCACCTGTCGCAGCCTGATGAAGACCCAGTTCCTGACATCAAAGACTCTCGTTCAGACAGCTCAGTCACCGAGCAACTTTCGGAGGTGACCACCCCTCCCCAGGACACCCTCGAACGCGATACGCCTCAAAGCGGGTTCCCGCAAGCACTTCAGACCCGTTCCCTAACAACGGACTTCAATATTTTCCCCTCCCCCACTCTTGAGGCGACACCCAGGGATCCCGTAAGCCCTGGAGAGGTGAGTCTATCAAGCGCACCACCCGTCCCACCGAAGTCCGATTCGCCCACCTCCCCGTTGCCCGTAACGCCGACGCCACAACCGAGCCAGCAAAACCGGTTTGCGTCCTCATCGCCATCCCCTCTCCGGACAAGTCACAACGAGAACCAGATGGATCCACGTACGAGTCAGCAGAAGAGCATCCCCCCGGTTGGTGTTACCGTCGAGTCAGCACGCAGTTCCGTGTCACAGCCCATAAGCCATCTCTCCCCGCCAGTGCCCCCTAAAGACGGTAATGTGATGCTTCACAAGCCCACCGATCCGCGCAGACTTTCCAGAAAGATGTCGGCCCCATCACTGGTTGCGCAAGCTAGTGAGGCTCGCGATGTTATTGCGGGCTTCTTCAAGACATTCCCCAATGCTCGAAACAGGATGGACATTGATCCACAGCTGATGCTGATGCGTAAACCGGACGACGTGAAGATCAGAACCGTGAAGCTCCAGATCTGGGAGCTCACAGGTGATGGAAGGCGTCAGGAACTTCCTTCCCACCAGGAGTACATCTTATACCAAGGCAGCATGTATCTCTGCGTGCATGTATTCGAGACCGGACGAAGTAGCACTTCGGAAGTATACCTCTGGCGTGGAGACGATGTCCCCGAATCCTCGGTGGAGGATGAACAGCCGTTTGCACGTAAAGTTGCTCGTGAGAATAGCTCCAAGTTGCAGGTTATTCGACAAGGCAATGAGCCCAAACGATTCATCCAAGCGCTCGGCGGCATTATGATCACGCGTCGGGGATCCAGCTCTCGGCACAATTCATCGGCTCTCTACATGCTTTGTGGCCGGAAACACTTGGGCGAGATGACCTTTGATGAGGTGGATTACTCGTTGCGAAATCTCTGCTCTGGTTTCCCTTACGTTGTCTCTGCCCCCTTCGGCAAGCTCTACCTATGGAAGGGCAAAGGTAGTGGCCCCGAAGAAACCGGCGCAGCTCGACTTATTGGCATGGACCTAGGTCTGACCGGAGAGTTTGAAGAAGTCACCGAGGGCGAAGAGCCGGAGGATTTCTTCGATATTTTCGCAGGCCCCAGGGAGGCCGCGCCGCAAATGTGTCAAGATCACTGGCAGCTCAAGCCCAAGTACAACCAGTTCCGCACGCGACTCCTCCGGGTCGACCATGAACCGAATCAGCCAACTCGGTTCTGGAATCTCCGCCGTCCGGGCTCAGGTTCCCCAGTGGTCAAAGCCAATGATTGCATTCAAGAAATCGAGCCATTCTGCTTCCGAGACATCACCGAGAAAGACGTTTACGTTCTGGACACCTTCTTTGAGATCTACGTGTAAGTTTCACCCTATGCAAATGTCCAACTCACCTGAGACTAATTTCTACAGTATTATCGGTGATCAAGCCTCACAAAAGTCTGCCGAATTCGCCTCGGCAGTGGTCTTCGCGCACGAATATGGTATCCTTGCCACATCCCTCCAGGACCGACCATTCATTCCCAAAAGCTATGTGGCCCTCGGCGGCGTCTCCGACCGTTGCCAGAGCGCCTTCCGAAAATGGAACCCGCGCACTCTGCATGCGCCTTTCGTGTTCTCTCTCGATGTTGTTATCGAAGCGATTCGATCACCAGGGAATGAGTGAGATGTGTTTTTTTTTTTGTGTATCTGATTTTTTTTTAAAGGCTTCTGCTATGAAATTGTGCATATTTTTGTACAGAGCATGGGGTCCTATGTACTTGTGCCATACGCCATAGAGGGAACTGGAGCATCTGGGGATGTAGAGTGGACATTGCATTTTGAGGGTGTATTTAGGCATTTTCAATTCGAGTTATGTGTTTTCAATTTTAAGACATTTCGGACATTTAGGGTAATTTAGGGTAGTATACTCCGTAGAAGATTACGGGACGGAGATAAAAAAAAATCGTCCGATAGATGTCGCCATCATTGGCGTTACAATTCTCTCTTTTCTCTTCTATGTAGATACCATGGACCCCTTCATTCTTCGTGAGCTCTCGAAGCTCAACCCTGCGGTACCGTTCCGCTCATCAACCGATCATCTACATCATACATGGGCCAAGACATTCTTCTCCCGCCCAGAGTTGTACATCCGCCCACAAACCATTCCAGAGATCCAACAACTGGTCACTCTCGCCCGTCGCTGTCGCCGTCGCATCGTAACAGTCGGTAGCGGTCACTCTCCCTCCGATTTAACTTGCACCTCATCCTGGCTCGTCAACCTTGACGACTTCAATCGCGTCCTCCACGTTGACCCCTCAATCGGTTCCGTCACCGTCGAAGCAGGCATCCGATTAAGGGATCTAGGCGTACAGCTGGAAAAACATGGCCTGACACTCGAGAACCTGGGCAGTATCGACAGCCAATCTATAGCAGGTGTCATTGCCACCGGCACCCACGGCAGTTCCCTACGCCACGGCCTGGTATCGGAATGCATCGACTCGCTCGGCCTGGTACTCGCCAATGGCCAACTAGTCCGCTGCAGTCCAACGAACAACCCGGACCTGTTCCGCGCAGGCTTGGTATCGCTCGGAGCGCTCGGAATCGTCGTCGAGGTCACCTTCAAGGCAACGCACACCTTCAATATCGCCTGGCGCCAGGAACGATATTCCCTACCTCGCGTGCTGGACGAATGGTCAACCGGCCTGTGGACTTCGCATGAGTTCACCCGCGTTTGGTGGCTACCATATGAGAAAAGTGCTATTGTCTGGCGTGCTGATAAAACAGATCTCCCGCTGCGCGCGCCCCCGAAAAACTTCTACGGTGACTCCCTAGGCTACCACATCTACCATAATCTCCTCGCGCTGTCGTCATACTTCCCGCGCATCCTGCCCTGGGTCGAATGGTTCGTCTTTGGTATGCAATATGGATTCCGGGCTGGATCGACAGTCACCGAGGCCGTTGAGCCCGCCCGCGAGGGACTGTTGATGAACTGTCTGTATTCGCAGTTCGTGAATGAATGGGCTCTCCCGCTGGAAAAGGGTCCCGAAACTATCGGTCGGCTTTCCGCCTGGTTAAATGGTGACACTGAAACTGCCCGCATCCCCTTCTCACCAAAGGGCCTGTATGTACACTGTCCGGTCGAAGTGCGAGTCTCCGATACCTCGCTGAATACCAAACCCCGTCCATTCCTGGACCCGACGTGTCACGATGGCCCGACGCTCTACCTCAACGCAACGCTTTACCGTCCATACCTCCGTGACCCGCCGTGCAGAGAACGCTACTACGAAGCCTTTGAATGGCTGATGCGGGAGATGGGCGCGAAGCCGCACTGGGCGAAGAACTTCAACACATCAAGCCCATACGAACTGAGTCACTCGTACGGGTCTGACATGGAGTCGTGGATGAAAGTGCGTTCGGAAGTTGACCCGGACGGAATGTTCGTGGGCGAATGGCATCGACGCAACCTACCCCTCGATCTCGGGCAGAGTGAAACCGAGAAGCTACCCCTCTTGGAGCGTGAGCAGGAACGTCGCAGGGTGGACGTGAGTGGCGTTGGGGATGGCGTTGAATGGGTAGGGGATCGCCGATGGCAGGGTGCAGTTCAGGCTCGACAGCTTGATGCGTTGGATATGGAGAAGACCGAGTACCCGTTACCGCCCGATCACTCGCCTAGTACGGCGACCAGCGAGGAGAGCTTTGATTTGCTTGCTCGGGGTGAAGCGAGCATCTTGCTCCCCGATGGACCGGGGTGATGATGAGAAATCAGGCGAACGCAAACAATCTGTTGATTTGTTTTTTTTTTTTTTTGGCCAGCGTCTTGAGTCTTCTGCTTATGCATCTGCTGATCTGTTGGCGACTTGTTCTTACTGGTCTATTCTAGGGCGCTGTTCGTATTATTGGCTCTCAGAGCTGATTTAGGGATTTCCCGCTTCACTTTCGTGTTTCATTCCCCCTTTTTTTGCGCTCAATTTAGGGTTGATTATTCGGTGAAATATGGACATTGGGCCAATCTGACACCCGAGGATGTCCAGGTTTCAGAATTCTCCTTAGATCTAGTAGACCCTTTCCCCTCGGATACTCCATATTCCATTTTCCCCTGCTTTCACCCCTTGCTTTTCCCCCGTTTTTTTTTGTCAAAGTCAAAGTAGAGAACGCTTATGGCCTCGGGGTTCTCTACTTGAATTTGGAATCTGTCGGTGAACGAGTGAAGTGCATGTTGGATGCAGGTGCTCGTAAGTTCCTCAGGCGATCGTTGTCTGCATAATCTTTGCTTTTGAACCCATGCATCCAGCAATCAATGTTTGATCATTCCTTGCACAGTTATTTTACATGGACTTGATATCTATGGGAATCGGGGAGAAAACAACCACCCTGTGTCCGTGTGTCTCGCGTTATTCCCTGTTCCCTGTCTCGCAGCTGAGAGACCTTGAGGTTCCTGTACGGACTCGAAGCCATACTGAATGTGCATTGCACAGGTTTTATGTTTGGATCTCAGTGCATTTGGTCTAGACTTGGTGGCAAACCTGGGATTCAGGATTTCTTCAGGATGAATAGTCCGTTAGTGACACATATGGGATTGCAGGAGCTGAGTGCGCCGGTGTGTACATGTAAAAGGAAGATCAATGCAAAGATCTAGCCTAGACAACTGTTCGGATTAGGGCTAGGGATCTGATGCCTGTGCGAGAATGCAGGCAGTACTAGGGTATATAATATTGTGTTAGGATGTTATGGGGATGTTATGGGGATGTTATGGGGATGTTATAGGGGTGTTATAGGGTGTTATAGGTATGTTATAGGAAACTTGGGAGTATATCGATTTCGCAAAGTAGAAGAGAAACGATCTAGGATGTCCAGAAGATTACATGGCTGTCAACAGTCCTCACCTGACAGTTACTTGTCTGGCATATCACGTTGTACCACGTTTCGGTGCAGCTTACAAGGATCTTTGATCTCGCATTGACCTCCATTGGACTTTGGACTTCCCAGTCTCCAGGCACGTGCAAGTGTCGGACGTGTGACAAGAACGTTACCTATGTTTTGTGCCCAATCTACACTCACAGGTGTACCTCGAAAGTGCCTACATGCCTACATGTCACCGGCTTGGATTTGGCCCTGGCGGCTGAAAGCTTTCATTATTCACCCCACCTGCTCGATTTCTTTCTTGTTTACGCTCTCTCCCTGGACAATCTTACTCTCTCTCTCTCTCTCTCTCTCTCTCTCTCCGATTTGAAATATCTTTGCTTTCTAGTGGAGTTTCCAATATGATATCAACCATGTCGTGGCAGCCAAAGCTTCGCCCAAAGGGATTCCCACATAGCATCGATGACTTTGCGGCGGTGGCTTCATTGTCAGAACTGGAGCATCGGGCCCGGACTGGGGAAGACAAGCGCGACCAGCGCGTCTTCCGGGTCAAACGTAAACATGTGTTAAAGGCCTGTGATCGTTGTCGCGTGAAGAAGACCAAGGTATGTGGAATGAAGCATGGGGATTGCAATCATTACACGTAACAAATTGACTAATCCACCTCAGTGTGATGGGAAACAACCTTGCAACCGCTGCTCGGTATACAACCATCCATGTCTATTCCGGGAAAGAAAGGCCACTCAAACCAAAGTATACTCTCGAGGGTGAGTTCAGATCCAGAGACTCAAGCCACACATATCCTCGGAAGCTCATAGTCATGCCACCTACAGATTCGTCGAAATGCTCGAATCCCACCATTCCCTGGTCGTAAAAGCCCTCCAGAAACTCTACAAATTCTGCATCAACAACGAAGGTTTCCCAGGCGATCCGCTCGCAGAAGCTCCGGACGGACATCCCCTAACACACGCAATCCTCGACCGTCTAGGCCTAATCAAACAAGCCGAAGAAAACGCAGACGAGCCAGACGAGGACTCGGAGGATCTGCGCTACCTCCGACTGCTATCAACTTCCACCGAATGTAGCGTCACTGCAGAACCATCTCCAGAACCAACTACACCCCCAGAACCATCCCCAACCCTCTCCCGTCCACCTCCAGCCCAAACTCCCATATCCGTCCCCGCCCGCACAACCACAAGCTGGCAATGGGATCTCCAGCCCGTTCATCAGACAAGCTACAGCTACCCGGACGCAGGGTATCACGATCTAATGGCACTGCAGCAAAGGTCATCCATGAGCGCTCCGGATATGGGCTCTGATATCCCACCCCATGTGGACATGCCATCTGCATCTTCAGCGCTATCGCATCATCCTCAACATGCGCACCACGAACCGCCGTTCCCGTATGTCCTGGAGGGATGCTGTGATCCAGGAACGCCCCAGCAGGACGTGAAACCCGTGTTGGCGAGATTACCGCCCGGTCTCGTGGCGGATTCGCATCCGCATCCCCATCATCTTGCGGGAAATCTCTCCGCAGAGATGATGGGTGAGTTCCATTTCCAGGCGCATGACTCAACATTTTATCCTGGCTTTACGCCCGGTTGGAATTTTCCTTCGGGGTGAATCTGTTGGTATGATGGGGACGGTTTCTCGTCTTTTGGGGATACATGGTCTTTTTTTTTTTCGGGTAGGAATTTTGGTGTAAGCTGTTGAACAGCTTCTTCATTTCACTTCTTATTTATATTTCTTACCATTTCGCTCTTCTTTTCTCCAAGTCTTTATTGACTTATGTTCTTCCACTTTATCTCTTTTCTCTTGCTATTTCTATACCCCCCAACTTCTGAATTTGATTACCACCGGAGAATGGAGCATGACATTCACAGGATTATAAGATTGGAAGATGTCTGGTACATTGAGCCCTAATCCCTCTTAACCCGGTTATTTCCTTTTCCCTCTCGGGCTCAGCCAGGCCGTCATTCATTGATCTTGGATTTGAATTTCCTTTCGATTCTGGTATCTAGTTTGGAAGAGTATCACCCGATCAATTTAGGTCCTATCTCTCATACCATGCTTTCTCTTTTCTCTCAAGCGCTAGGTTCGAGGTAGACCCTGTTTTCTCTTTTGTACAAAAAGGTCGGGTTACTTACAATGAGATACAGATTTAACATGGTATTACAGACAAGCTCAATCTTACTTGAGAAACACGTCAGTCATACACCGTGAAGATATCTACCAAGAGAAAAGTATTACACGGTAATGATTCCTCCACCCCCAGCTGACCTGGGATAACACGAGAAACCCCGAAAACTGCCTCACACCAGATCTGGATCTAGCGCCAGGTTATAAGGTGGTACGATACATGCACGACCTGTCACAGATGCGTCCGGCATCAACCTAGGAAGACATGAGGTCTGGAAAGGGTTAGAGGGGTAGATCCGATTCAGATCAGATATCGGATCGTAGATCGTAGTGGGTGTTGCTAGTGCGTCATATTGCCTGTTCGGGATGGGGGAGGGACTGGGGGTTGTTTGTGGGACTTGAGGATGGGGGTTGCTAGGGTTGTTTGTGTACCCTGTGTGTACTTTGGTGGAAGTACTGGGATCTATGGAGATGTAGACGAGGTAGATTATGTAGATAGGGATCTATGTATACATCTGGGGGTGGGATCAAACCGGGAATGATGTAGCATACTGTATATAAATAGGTACTATATTGAATTTTGTATTATGCCATCTCCCTCTTGTTGGATGTTATTTTTGAGATTTGATTATTCCCAAATCTACTATTTACGATGCATTCAAGGGTAAATATAGACATGATGCAGGCCAGCACTAAAAACAACTCGTCTATTTACTTCTCTTTCAATTGTATATAATGCATCAACACCTGGGATTTGAGATTATAATATCGAAACGCCGTCTACATACAGTACTTCCCGAAACTGGTGTCACCACCTACAACACTATTCGAGTTGTTTCCAAACCCCTGATGCTAAGATCCATTGTACCGTATTAGGAATAGACCCGGAGTATCAATATTCCTACTGGATTTCCTATACGGTACATTACGCCAAGAGATACAGTCATATTTCATGAGTATTTGCACCCCAGTACTTCCTAATGCTTTTCATGTACTCTCTTCTATTGTAGCCTGCATACTGGAGCTTCTACCATACATATATATAAGCGTGTATGTAAGCCTTCTACTTACTACTTATTACTAAACGCGCTCAATAAAGTATTAACAAGCAGAAAGGAAGGTGGCCTGACAATTTTGGTAGTACTGGGGTGCAAATACTCATGAAACGCCACTGTATGTATCTCATGTCTCATTACTGTGTGGAGTAGCTGGGACCTTCCATATCAATGCAAAAAAGTCAAATATCAGGAGCTGGTGCGGGTCTCGTGAATTTGGCTACCTAGAAAGATGTCACTTCTCTCTTCTAGCACCCCCGCCCGTACTAAAGTGACGGTCTGGGGGCTTACTCTGTACCCGAGGAACAGGAAATTGGGGAACTGGAATCGGTTTCGCAATGAATGTCTCACGTAACCATTTTTCTCATGAGGGGCTAGGCCTAAAGTGGCTAGCTCTGGGCTAATCCAACAGTGGTTACAGAAGTCTAGAGTTACCTACTGTTCATTACGAACACACTATGTCCTCCATATCGTTTGGCAGCAACAATTTGGGGAACCAGGTGGGTATCAATTATGGAGTGATCAATCTGTCTCCAGGTGTGGTTTACAAGGCATAGCTCCTTATATAGCCAGTACTGATGGCCGTTCGTGGTTGAGACCAACAGAAAACCCCACCGCCGACGTGTCCGAAGCCCCAACCGCAATCCACGGTGCCTTACAAGAAGGACCCGATGTTTGTGGGCCGTGAAGCTGTGATCAGTGCGATCAAGGATAGACATCATGCAACCTGCCAGCGTCATGGGCGGGTGGCTTTGGTGGGGTTGGCCGGCGTTGGGTGAGCTATCCCCATCAGAAAGCCTTCTGATAAAGAACTAATTAATCCCACTGCCCATTAGAAAAACCCAGACAGCCATCGAGTACTCTTATCGCGTGCGAGAGTCAACACCAGACACGTGGGTTTTTTGGATCCACGCCAGCAATGCGGCGCGATTAGAACAGAGCTACCAGCAGATTGCTGCAGTCGCGGAGATTTCCGGACGGGATGATCCGAAGATGAACATCCTTCAGCTAGTGTATCAGTGGTTGTGTGATGCAAATAATGGGCGCTGGCTGATGGTGTTGGATAATGCGGATGACGATAGCATCTTTTTCAGCGCTAATAAATCCAAAGAACGAGGGCCATTGGTGAGGTTCCTACCCCAGGCCGCCCATGGATCAATCCTGATCACATCGCGAAATAGTCTTACGGCACGGAATCTGGTGGCAAGCGATGGGTATGTGATCGATGTTCAGCCAATGAGTGAGGAAGACTCCCTCGCCTTATTGCGGGTGAGGGTTCCAGCCCCCCATTCGGGAGAATATGAAGAGGTGGAGAAGGCACTAGTCCAGGCACTTGAATTTATTCCGCTGGCAATCACCCAGGCAGGGTCTTATATTGCGAATCGATCACCTCGGGTCACGGTCTCCCGGTACCTTCAGTTGTTCTGTGAGAGCGAGTCGAACCAGACACATCTTCTTCAGCATGAGGACGCTAAAGACCTCCGGCGAGACCCCAGTATTCGACATGCGGTCATTACGACATGGCAGCTGTCGTTTGAGCAAATCCGTCATGACCGGCCAGCGGCGACGGACCTACTAGCGCTCATGAGCATGTTTGACCGGCAGGGGATTCCGGAAGATATGCTCCGTGCATATGGTGATGATGATGGGCTCTATTTTGAAGAGTCACTGGCACCATTGATCAGTTATTCTCTTGTTCGGTTTGAAATTGAAACATTGTCATTTGATATGCACCGACTTGTACAGTTATCGGTCCGGAGATGGCTGGAGATCCACCTCGAACTGGCATGGTGGCAAAAAAGTCGCGAGCCATCATGGCACAGATATTTCCCGATGGAGAGTACGAGAGCTGGACTGAATGTCAAAGGCTACTTCCGCATGCGAAAGAAGTGGTGAAGTCGATATCCGATGAGCATGAAGATGATCGACTGCATGCGGCCACGATTTCCTTTAAATGCGGATGTTATTTACTGCTTCGAGGAACCTATAAAGAGGCCGGAGCGATGCATCAATGGGCATTAGACGCACGAGAGAATGTGCTTGGATGCGAGCACCCTGACTCTCTCGCAAGTGTCAGCAACCTTGGCTTGGTGCTTGATAGGCAAGGGAAATATAAAGAGGCGGAAGTGATGCATCGACGGGCGCTAGAAGCACGAGAGAAGGTGATTGGATATAGGCATTCCTCCACACTCTCTAGTGTCAATAACCTTGGCTTAGTACTCTCCACCCAAGGAAAATATCAAGAGGCGGAAGCGATGCATCGACGGGTACTAGAATGGAGTGAGAAGGTGCTTGGACGCGAGCATATTAACACGCTCACTAGCCTTAGTAACCTTGGCAATGTGCTCTCTAGGCAAGGGAAATATGGAGAGGCAGAATCGATGCAGCGATGGGCATTGGATATACGAGAGAAGGTGATTGGATACGAGCATCCCTCCACGCTCACAAGTATCAATAACCTTGGCTTAGTACTTTTCAACCAAGGGAAATATAAAGAGGCGGAAGCGATGCATCGACGGGCGCTGGAAGCACGAGAGAAGGTACTTGGACGTGAGCATCCGGACACGCTTACAAGTATCAGTAACCTTGGCTCAGTGCTTTCCAGCCAAGGGGAATATGAAGAGGCTGAAGCGATGTATCGACGGGCGCTGGAAGCACGAGAGAAGGTAATTGGACGCGAGCATCCCTCCTCGCTCTCCAGTCTTAATAGCCTTGGTTTACTACTCTCTAACCAAAGAAGATATGCTGAGGCGGAAGCAATACTTCGACGGGCACTGGAAGGGTGTGAGAAGGTGCTTGGACGCGAGCATCCGGACACGCTCGCAAGTATCAGTAACCTTAGCTCAGTGCTATTCAGCTGGGGGAAAGATGAAGAGCAGAAGCGTTTATTGACGGGCGTTGGAGATACGAGAGAAAGTGCTAGGACTTGAGCATTCTGACACGCTCACCAGTCTCGATCTTTAGATTTCCTAGATCAACACGGGTAACGTGAAGAGGCTTTATAATCGTAGACTTCTATCTGTAGAATTGAGTGCAAAGGTAGCATATATGAAAATACAATATTCATTTTGGAATTTTTCATGCAGCACGGTATACCCTCACAGCTTGATGTGGTCCCGAAATACTTCTACTAGGCCATGTTACTTTAATGTAGGCCATCTCCTACTTGCGGACAGGGTTGTGGGCCGGCCGTTCCGTTTAGCGGCGCTAGTTTTTTATTGTTCCCATCTCGTGTATTCGCCTTATGTATCAAAACTGATCACGATGGAATTCATTTGGACATTTGGACTGGTGTCACCCTAGTGGAGACCACCCAGTTCGCCTGAAGCCAATCCTTATACCACACCCAGATTCATCCACATACACATGGTGGTACGATCTTAAATCCGAGATAAAGTGGGAGTATTCATCGCGGAGGTCGTATGACTAGCGTTTCGATGCAAGAGCGCGACTTATGATGGACTTTGTCGCTTGGGTATAGAACTCATCCCACAGAAATAGTGCCATCTCACCGAGATAAAGGTAAGGCTTTCTAAACAGGTGATTACAAAGGGCTTCTAGTATAACTGGGCTGATGCTTTGTGGTCTACCACCTTTATTAGGCGGTGCTTTGACGCTACCAAATGTCCGAATATTGAAAGAGATTCTTAAGGTATCGAGATGTCACTTGTATCAAATTACATGTTGATACACCCCGCTACATATCCAGATTACTCTACGTAAGAACCAATACGGGCCCACTGATAGGGATACTCCGGAATAACTCCCGATATAGACTAGGTAGTATATTGGCAATTAGGGGTTGAGAACCTTGGAAACAATCGAAGAGTGTAAGTAGTGACACCAGTTTCGGGAAGTACTGTATTCTTAAACCTTCTACTTTTCAACAAAGCTCGTCTCTTTATTGCCGACCAGAGGGCTTTTGACTTTGAACCTCTCTGTGGCTTATTCACATTATCCAGTCAAGCTAGATTACGCTAGGGCTGTGTCCCAAGTCGTCCAACAAGTAAAGGCAACACAGAGGAATTCTACAAGACAAAGCTCTTGCCGGAGAGTGCAGTTGCTACAAGGAGAATAGCATGCGGTCACTGGACATAAATAAAAAGTCTCTGTTCCGAAGGCTTGTACAGGGACATAGATCATAGAGTCGTTGTTCGAATAGTATCGGTTTTGCCGTCGCACAACGAAGTCATCATCTGGCTAAAGCCTCACTGGTAAATTGAAGTACAAGAGTATCTAATGCATAGTACTCCGTACACAGCGGTATTATCACTATTGGCTAAATAGGATGGGTCTTTTGACAAAATCCAAGCCCGGTGATGCAGACAGCCATTCATGTTATGAATCATCATCAAAGACGAGCGGCTGAGTCTTGACTGGAAGAGCTACTTGCTAGTGCTTTCTTTGACACATTGCTTATACTAGGTCTCACGCAGATATTCGAGAGTGTGTACCTGAATACACCGCATACCTTTAGTCCATTTTAAATATCATCAGCATAGATAACTAAGCGGCTATAAACACGTTTATATATATATTGTGTACCGGTAACGATATTGTAAATGCAGGTTAAGTATAGTTAGTCTATATATTGGGCTCGGGGCCTATTATGATTGCTTGGAATGTTCCAGCCTTTCTAGGGATTATTTAGAGTAATTCCACTATCGTACGAAAATGCTTTATATGACATTTGTATAGTATGGATGGATGATGGGCTTACCTTCGCTACCGTTCACAATACGATCGTCCTCTTCGTTATTCTGGTTGGCTCATCTATGCTTTCTATAGTAAACATTTTCTCGCTACTAATCTTGTACTGGCCACTTAGTACCATTTTTTATATATGGGTTAGATCAAAATCGGTTTCACCACTTTTACGCACATGGATTTCTCCCAGAATCCTCCTTCAGTACACGCTAATTTCTATTTGATCTCGCTCAACTTCACTGGCCGAAATGTATTAAAATATCATCCACGTAACATTCAGCCATTGAAACGACTGCCACCCGGTGGTGGCCTCTTTCATTCGTCTCCAATTTCAAACATGAAAACTGCTTATTGCATGATAGAAATTTCCATCTCAGAACTACCACCAACCGACAGGCACTCGAGCTTTCCATCGGCCCTTTCCATCGTAGGTGGCTGTTTGAGAGTGTTTGACTCTATTTAACGTTTCCGTTGTGACTTTCTCAGCCCAAGACCGGGATATGTTCTGGTTGTATTGGACCCATAGTCTAGGCAGAAATTTGACATCTTGCACACAATATTCCAGAACGTCATCCGGAAGAGGGCGCACATTGAACACATCGTAACTTCCGCCATGTTCAGGAGCAAATAGCTTTAGCCCCTTTTCTTTTGATGCCTTCCAAAATTGCAATTCATGGGTTGTAAGCAGAGCATCTCGCTCAATGCATTTTAGCAGGCCACTGACATATCTTCTTGGGAACAAGCTGGTTGCTAGTTCCATTAGTTGAAGGTCAATGACCCCAGCAAGTTTAACGTTGAAGTGGCTAAAAAGTGCATCCGAGTCGTTTCGAACATCGAAGAAGACCTTGGGAATATGTGGTGACTCCAAGATACCGAGTAGAGTCTGGTCTTCTTTTCCAGAAGCCGTTTGTAGAAAGGCCTTTTCCTGGAGGCTATATATATCGACTATATAGGTTTCTTTGTGCGGAAGAACATATATTTGTAAGATCGAAATGCTACCGTGCCGTGAGAGATTGATCCCCTCGAGATCGATATATAAAGATGGTGGATTGGTAGGTAAGTTTTGGAGCCTCGCAACAAGACTCGCAATCTGGCCTTCTGTATCCACGAACTCTGGGGATTGGTCAACTTGCAGACTGAGCTTTTCGAGAGAGTTCACGAGAGAGGAATTCCGCATCACTTCTTCAAGAGTGCACCTGCCTGAAGGCTCCATATTTTGGTGGCGGGTGACGTATTCGTTACTACTCGCAAGGTGCTACTGACAATTGACTTCCAAGCAGACAGTGAGTTAGTATTATTTTTTTTGTAGAATGGGTCAGATCACAGCTTTTATGGTCTGACGCCGGGCTGCAAAGCTTCGTTCACCCTACCACCATCGACAACGTGTCATGACATATATTTTGCTGCCCAACATTTATGGGAAACATCGAAAGTTAGGCATGTTGCCGAGAATGCGCGGTGTCACATGCAGTATCCCTGAAATTTAGGAGAGAAAAAGAACGACAAAAGCTGTGTGAAGGTAGGGGCTTGAATCATTGATATGATCCTGGAATGCGGGCCGGGAAAAGTAAAGGGCCCCTGCTATGGTAAGACTCTAGTAAGACTTGCCAATCGACTACAACAGTACACTCTATATCCATCCCCACACCGAGTACCCGTACCAATCTTTCCCCCTTCGATGAAGAGCATGGGATAGAAAGATCAAACCAGTTGTTTTCTTCAGACCTAGATATCATCTATTTTGGTAGACGGCAATGTGTGAGAGTCGAGAGATTGTCTTTGATTTCACTTTACTAGCAAAATTAGGCTACTACCCAATACCATTAGGCACCGGTGGGCTGTGCCATGAATATATTGTATCTAAAAACAAGGGACAACCTTGGAAGGTCTTAGGGGTCATCCAGATCAAGCTGATAAAGCATGAAATGGAAATCTATGTAGTAGACTCAGGACGACCGGTGACAAGAACATATCTAGTGATCTACATGAGTGACAAAATTGGGGAACCCGAGTAAAGATCAAGGCTATCAGATTCAAGGGAATGGTATCCATCAGTTCATAAAGGGAACAAGCATCGATCTACTTCTCCGCATATCAGGTTTGTACCCCCAAAGCGCTGTAGATATGGATGTGAACAAGGGACGCGGATAGCGCGGATAGCGGTACATGATTGTGGTCTTAGCAAATCCCTTCTCCACAATTACCGCATGCTGATTTATTTAAGGGTCTTCTTTCCCTTTCGATTGGACGAAAAGCATGCGCCCACATGGGGGCGGGAGGGCAGCGATCGAATGGCCCGGAGCTACGGCTTTAGTCCCGAAGAATATGTTCAAGAGAGGGGCCTAGTGAGTTCATCCACGGGTATATTGCAAACAGCCACTTTTCTATTTACAAGACGTAGCGCGAGGTAGCGAAGAATACAGAGAATTGAAGCGAACCATGCAGCTCCAGTCACACCACACATCCCCTTCTGGTCCGCCTCCACATAACAATCGTACAAAAACACCCGCAACCCTTTCATGTTCGAATGCAAAAGCCAATGGCAGTTAGGTATCTACCTGGCATTCCTTGCGGTACGGAATTATCCGAAGCTAGTATGAGTTCCAGAAATCTAACCATCGGGGGCCGTGGATTCCTCCAACGACGATACCAGCTTGCGTTTTCCCATATGCAGTCTGATATCATGGGGCTTGCTATACTATCTCTCATTTACACTACCTGTTACTAGCTGCGGATCGTGAATGCGTACTACAACAGGTCCGCTGCCTAATGTGAGCATGAGCCCCGAATCCTTGCGCAAATGTAGATCTTTAACATCCAGAGCAGATGTATTACTACATAAGATACTCCACTTCACTACATCGAGAGAGGTCAATGTGATATCTGCCCCAGAGACGCCATAAGAGCAAGATCTGTGAGAAAATGACCAGGGAAGAACTGTATATCGCGGTCGGACGGAATCAGGTCGGTTTGGCATATATCTCGCCTCATCTTAGTGATTATTCAGCTGAATAACTGCATAATGCTCAACAAACAGCACTGCGTCCTAGCGGGCGTTATGGTTCATTCGGTCCTACAGCTATCCATCGATTTGAGTGGGAAAAGCGCTCTGAAAATGGCCGATGCTGGTATGGGGACCGGGTGAATCCTCAATTCGCAGATCCGATGGTGCGTATCGGTCTATTTATTCTTAAAAGTTTTAATTACTTAGGTCTTCTACAGTCTAGCTAGGTTCTCTTCTCTTATATCTAAGTTCTAGAAATTGAGGGTTTTAGTAAAACAGTACGTTTGTTGTAGTAAGATTAGAAAGTACTAATAAATCTCTCTTCCTATGTATACTCCTAGCGAAGTGCACTTCTAACAACGTAGATAAACTGGCCAATGAGGGTGAAATTCATTCAATCCAGACTGGCCGACTCAAAATCGTTTCACGATGTGATCTTGGGAGGATCAAGCTCATTCCCCAGAAGAGATAACAAGTTCGTACTCTCCGCGGCATCTTCTGCCCAAGTGCCAAGAAATTGGCGCCAAGGGTTGGCGCCAAGAACTACTAGCCTTTCCCTGCCGCGGAATTAGTGCTATAGTGCCATTTAATAATTTTGTACAGCCAGGTCAATGTCTTCTCCTTTTGCTCGATGAGGGAAATCCACCACGCACTGACAGAGCAAGGCTGAAAGTATCCAAAGCTTGTAATATCCCGCAATTCTCCGAATCTTGCAGCTGCGCTTGCAGCTGCTGTATGTAGTAATTCTTGGCATCATCGGACCCAGTATTATTGTTATTGGATGAGCCCCAGACCCCAATGTCTATCAAACACGAGGCAACCGGCCCAATGCCTTGGCACCAAGGCGATAGTCGATTCTCTTCCAATGAACCGTACAACGTGCGTCAATGCCCAGGGATCAATCCTTGGGTGTAGTGGGCCAAGACTATGATCTGGGGCATCCATACTGTGGATGTCTCATACTAACGGAGTCTGAGCCTTCGCTTGGAAGCTGAGCTATGTACTTTTCTCCCCGCACAGAGAGCTATATTCTGTTTAACTATCCAGCAAGTGATTGCGCTGAAAGAAAAATCCAGAAGGGCAAACAGCTCCGTGGGTATCATTGCAAGCTATCTATTAGAGAATTCTCCAATGCCAGTCGAGAAGCAAGGCATCCCTCCCGACTCTGGGTCGGGTGGTAGCCCGCTAAGCCAGCCGGCTCACACGCTTCCTTATGAAGCTGTGATCAAGGAACTTGATACTGGGCTGGATGAGGGTCTGGCTCCTGATGAAGCGAGTCGTCGTCTGCAGCAATACGGTCCGAATAAACTGGATGAAGGCGAAGGTGTGTCGGTGGTCAAGATTTTCGTGCGCCAGGTGGCCAATGCAATGATGCTAGTAAGGTTCACTATATCGTGTTGATAGTACGATATTCCTTCAAAGCTCTCCAGATCTAATATTTGGTCCATGCAGGTGTTGATCCTAGCCATGGCAGTCAGTTTCGGTATTCAGTCATGGATTGAGGGTGGAGTGATCTGTGCTGTCATTGTCTTGAATATCATTGTTGGATTCTTTCAGGAATACGCTGCGGAGAAAACTATGGAGTCGTTACATTCGCTGTCATCCCCAACAGGCACTGTCTCGAGAGGTGGGCAGACATTCTCAGTGCCGTCGGCGGACATCGTGCCGGGTGATATGATCGAACTCAGGACGGGAGATACCGTTCCAGCGGATATTCGGTGAGTTTCCTACCATGGGTCGATCTTCCATTTGGAAGTCATTAGCGCGATTGCTGGCCAATTTACTGACTGCCAGTACATCAGCCTGGTTGAAGCAGTCAATTTCGAAACCGATGAGGCTCTCCTAACTGGCGAGTCTCTTCCCGTCCAGAAGGAATGCGACTTGACGTTCAAAGAAGATACTGGCCCTGGAGATCGCCTCAATATCGCCTACAGCTCTAGCACTGTCACTCGCGGTCGTGGTCGTGGCGTGGTTGTCAGTACAGGCATGTACACTGAAATCGGTTCTATTGCCCTCGCATTGCGAGGTAGCGGTAACAAGCGTCGTCCCGTTAAGCGTGGTCCCAACGGAGAGACCAAGAAGCGTTGGTACGTCCAGGCCTGGAGTCTCACCTCGGCGGATGCCGTGGGTCGATTCCTGGGAGTCAATGTCGGAACACCCTTGCAGAGGAAGCTATCAAAGCTGGCCTGTTTACTATTTGGAATTGCCGTTGTGTTCGCTATTGTTTGCATGGCTGCAAATTCATTTAGCAGCAACACCGAAGTCATCATGTATGCAGTTGCAACTGGCATTAGTATGATTCCGGCGTGTCTGGTGGTGGTCCTTACTATTACTATGGCAGTGGGCACTAAACGCATGGTCGAACGGAACGTGATTGTTCGCAAATTGGACTCGCTGGAGGCGCTCGGTGCCGTTACAGATATCTGTTCCGATAAGACCGGTACGTTGACTCAGGGTAAGATGGTTGTTCAAAAGGCATGGATCCCGTCTCGAGGGACGTATTCCGTCGGTCCATCTAACGAGCCTTTCAATCCTACCGTTGGAAATGTCACCTTCGCCCCGGTACCTCCTTCGCAATTAGATCATGAGAAGGAAGGCACTGCTACGGACAACATAGAAGGCCTGGTCTCAGGGAACCGCCAGCTCGAAGACTTTCTGGACGTGGCCTCGATGGCCAATCTCTCTCACGTGTACAAGTCTGAAGAGGGCGAATGGAACGCGCGTGGTGAGCCCACAGAGATTGCCATTCATGTCTTTGCGTCGAGGTTCAACTGGAACCGCGACCGCTGGACCAAGGGACAAGGTACGATCAAGGGCCAGGGTACAGTGTGGCACCAACAGGCTGAATTCCCATTCGACTCAACTGTGAAGAAAATGTCTGTGATCTTCAGCAAAATCACCCCGCAGGAAACTCGCACAATGGTGTTCACCAAGGGTGCAGTGGAGCGCATCATAGACTCATGCACCTCTATTATCTGGGACCAAGATTCATCTACACCGGTGCCCATGACCAACGAGCACCGCGAAAAGATCCTCCAGAACATGGAAGAACTCGCTAAACTAGGACTTCGGGTCCTGGCCCTGGCTCATCGACCATACACCGCCCAGACACAACTGCTCGAAGATGCCGACCTGAATCGTGAAGATGTAGAGAATGATCTGTGCTTCCTGGGACTGATCGGGTTGTATGATCCTCCGCGCCCCGAAACAGCGGGCTCAATCCAAGCCTGCTACCGCGCTGGTATCGTTGTCCACATGGTGACTGGTGATCACCCTGGAACTGCCAAAGCAATTGCTCAGCAAGTAGGAATCCTTCCTACGAATTTCAATGCAGTGGCAGCTGATGTTGCGGACGCTATGGTGATGACTGCGAGTCAATTCGATAGACTCACTGATGAGCAGGTAGATAGGCTTCCTACCCTGCCTTTGGTGATTGCACGCTGTGCTCCACAAACCAAGGTACGTATGATTGACGCTCTTCATCGCCGTGGTCGCTTTGCAGCTATGACTGGAGACGGTGTGAATGATTCTCCTTCGCTTAAACATGCCGATGTTGGTATCGCTATGGGTCAAGCGGGCTCGGACGTGGCTAAAGACGCATCTGATATCATCCTGACGGATGATAATTTTGCCTCGATTCTCAATGCCGTCGAAGAAGGTCGTCGTATCTTTGATAATATTCAAAAATTCGTGCTTCATCTATTGTCAGAGAACATCGCTCAGGCCTGCACCTTGCTTATCGGATTAGCTTTCAAAGACGCTGATAGTCAGTCCGTCTTCCCTCTGTCGCCGGTCGAAATTCTCTGGATTATTATGATTACATCGGGTATGCCCGACATGGGCCTCGGAATGGAGGTGGCTGCCCCGGACATCATGAGCCGTCCTCCCCAGAGTAAACAAGGTATCTTCACCTGGGAGGTGATCATCGACATTCTGGTATATGGTATTTGGACCGCAGCGCTCTGCCTGGCAGCATTCTCTATCCGCATGTGGGGATTCGGCGACGGCAACCTAGCCCGCGGCTGCAACAAGGAGTGGTCCGAAGATATCAAAGACTGCGAACTAGTCTTCAAAGCACGTGCCACGACATTCGTGTGCTTGACCTGGTTTGCGCTGTTCCTCGCTTGGGAAATGGTCAATCTGCGCCGGTCGTTCTTCCGCATGCAGCCGAAATCCAAGAGATACTTCACGCAGTGGATGTACGACGTCTGGCGGAACAAGTTCCTCTTCTGGTCCATCATGGCTGGATGGATCACCATGTTCCCTATCCTCTATATTCCCGTTTTGAATGACGTCGTCTTCAAGCATAAGCCAATTACCTGGGAATGGGGTATCGTGGCGGTCGAGGCTGTTCTTTTCTTCATCGGAGTCGAGGCCTGGAAATGGGCTAAGCGAGTCTTCTTCCGTCGCAAGGCCCGAAAGTATCCGACGTTGAATACGTTGGGAGGTCAGGTGGACGTCCCGGAGCGACCCTAACGAATGCTTTCCCTGGTCCGACAAACGGGGCCGGGGAACAAATTACTTGGGAATGAAGTCACTAGGAAGGAAAGGAACGTGGGAGTCTGGGGTATCTGGAGGAGGCATGGGGGAGGCATGGGGGAGGCATGGGGGAAGCATGGAGGAAGCATGGAGGAAGCATGGAGAGGGTATGGAGAGGGCATGGAGGGGGCTGGGGGCTGGAGGAGGGCGGACTTGAAATTGATTATGGAAGTTTGGGCTTATGCGTTGGCTTATTTGGACTGCGTTGCCCCAAGCACTTTCTCACCGAACATGTACGTACGATAGGAGCATGTTCGACAAGCCAACAGTAGTTCATCGAAGCTCTATTTGCTGGGTCTTCAAACATAGAAGCATGTATGAGGTCAGTCACGTAATAGATAGACCGTACAACTATACAAGAGGATTTGAATTGGGAATGTGGCGTCTGAATAACTGTACCTAGAGTTTACCAAGTCGGGTAATTAAAGCCCTCAGATATAGAGGCTATGTACAGTCCGAGTATGGGGTGAAATATGAAAAAGATTGGATAAAAAGAGTCATCATTCACTCAAGACGTTTACCAGTTTGAACTAACCCGAAATTGACACAGGGGGTTATTGTATCACGATCATCAGGACCTGTAGACTTACGATAGCTTGTTTCCCAGAGCCACAGGTTTTAAACAGCGCATTACATCGCCATATCCAAGTCCATAGCTACCCGATGAAAAAGAGTTTAATTTGAGAAAACCCTAGAACGCCTTAAGGGCAAAAGTAGGTCTAAACCCAGGCAAAGGGCAAGGCCAATGCCACACATACACATCCCACAAGCTGTGGGTACAATCAAATCAATCAATGCATGAGAAAGGGAATCAATCCTCGTCTTCGGTCTCTGTGTTGGTGTCGCTGGTGTCGCCAGCGTCGCCGTCGGTATCACTTTCGCTAGAATCGTCGGAATCCTTATCCTTCGACTTCTTCTTGGGCGCTTGGCCTGTCTTGATCGCCTGCATTTGGCCGGCGATTGAGTCTGGAAAAACAATGTTAGTAAATGGACCAAATAGTTTGGTGGGTAGTAGCTAAGATGAACTTACCCTCGTCTGGCTCGCTAATGTCGTCTTCCTCTTCCACGGCAACTGCCTTGGCAGGATCGTCGATGTGCAGGGTGATTTGGGCCGTGTTGTCAAGACCCAGGTAGCTGTCACAGATCATGTGAAGGATAAAGGTGAAGTCGCCGACCTGCGGGGGAGCCTGGAACTGCATCTTGAGGGTTTGGACGTTAAATGTGGGCTTGCCGGCCTCGTCGAAGATCGGCTTGTCGAATGTGGTAAATGTGAATGGTGGCACAGCCATCTTGCCCTGCTTGCCGTCTGCGAGGAAGATGTTCCAGCGTGGGGAGTGGTCGCGTGCTAGGTACGGTGCGTGGGCAAGAGGGGGCTGGATGGTTTCGATCTTCGACTCGACCTTCTTGCCGTCTACCATCTTCGTGGCGCGGTTCTTGGCTGGCTTGCGACCCATCAGAGCTTCCAAGTCGTCCTCGTCGGGGTCGATGTCCTCGAGGTCGAGCGGGTTTACTGGCGGCACAGATGTGCTGCCGGGCGGGATGAAGCGAGCCTTGACTACCAGCTGTACCAGACTGCTGGGTGTGATCACCTTTTCTCCCATAACCTTGAAGAAGATCCGCTCGGGTTGGAGCACGGGCAGTTGCTTAGCAACGGACACGGCGTCGGTATATTGCTTATCAGAGAGAAGACCAGCACCGACAGTAAGTTTGCGTCGTTGAGCCTCTGGCAGTTCCATGTACCTTTGAACACTGAGGTGCTCTTTGGAGTCTTCGCCCTCTATGGACTTGACAATGGCATCGGTGAAGTTGGGAAGTTGCAGCAGTGGTGATGAACCAGGGGGCACAGCCTGAATGAGATTCTGGGCAGTCTTGAAAGCACCAACGATTGGTCCGAGGTTACCAAATGCGAGCGAAATAGCAGTGAAAGCTTCAGTGAGAGCAAGGGCGACAGGAGCTGCTTCATATTTTTCTGCGGAGACTCAGTTAGTGGTATTTTTCGGAAAACAACTAGAGGCTTTTCTTACCAGCATCCAGAGAGGCATCGTCAAGATCAATTCGGCCAAGATAAGCCCACAGCAAAGCCAGAGCCTTCCGACGAGAGGAGCTATCCAACTGCTTCAGCGCCGCACGATCCTTGGCCGTAAGGAATGAGTCATCATCTGCCAGCACCCGTTTCTCGAGCTTAGCCAGGCCAGCCTCGCCCCGAGCACCCTTGAGCATATCGTTAAATTCCTCGCCGGAGGACAAAGCGCTGATGATTCCACCTTCGGTGATATCCTCCTTGTACTCGCGGAAAATGTTTCCAGCGCTGGCAACAAGAACTCGCTCCTTGGTGTAGCGCTGAGATCCATACCACCACTTGCCGACGATATAAGGCAGAAGGACACCCAAAAGGGCACCATAGACCATCAAAACATATTTACCATTGCCATCCATGACAATGAATTTGGGAAGGGCAATACCAATGCTGAAACTCTGCTTGCCGTCGGGGTGGCCGAATTGGAGGTAGTTATTCCGGACCTCCTCATCAGTGAGGGCTTTATAAGCCTTGGTGAGTTCTACGAAGCGCTCGTTGAGCGTTTCCATAGTCTCATTCTTTGAGGGATCAGGGCGGATTTTATCGGGGTGGTAGATCAAAGACATGCGCTTGTAATGTCTGGAGATGGCTTTCTCATCTGCGCTCTATTTTCGGAATTTAGTCAATTGACATCCTCTGGTTGTATTGGAATAGCACGCGCCGAGCTGGAGAACTTACCCTCGAGACACCCAAAATATCATAAGGGTCGTATGCCTTCGCCACAGTCCTGGAGGTGACGGCAATCAGGTAGACCATCCATGCCATTACAGCATATCCAACGATGACCGTGATAATGCGCTTAATTCGGCGCTCTTTGCGCAGGCGCTTGCGCTTCTGCGCGTCGATGAGGTCCGCATCTTTAGGTTTGAAATCGGATTTGATGCGGGGAGCGGTATTCTCAAGCTCTGTAGGTCACATAAAATGGTTAGAGCCTATAAGGCACACCTGGTTAGAGTCTTTCCACAGCTCACCTTTGCTAGGTCGTAGGAGGTTATAGGTGAGAGGGAGAGTGACCAGGCCGGTCAAAGTGAGGATGAAGAAGGGGAAGAATTGTCCCTGAAAGGTCGAGTTAGCGTTACTGTGTCTTGGGTGGATCAGATCCCATCCTTACCTGCTCATCATAGGTATAGTCTGACGACATCCTGCGGCGGGTTCAGGGTACAGACAGCGGTGGCCGCTGGCCGCGGAATTTAAAGATCGTGTTGCACAGGGCTGTTGACAGTAGCCACTTTGGACGGTCAAGAGAACGCTTTAGGATTGTAGAAATTTAACCAAAGCCTAATTAGAGCCCAAAAGCCTGGCCCACAAGAAACAAAGGAGTGATGAAGGGAGAGTCAATATCGCGCTTCCTGATCTGGTGATGACCGTGTCCTCAAGCAAGGACCACTTACCGCCTGCCTTAAGTGGGACTCGATACGTGGCAGTTCCTTTCAAGTGGCACAGGCGGTGAGACACGGATCACAAGCATCTGATCTACAGACTCCTACCTACTTCTATTGTCCTATGTTACTCTATCTTCTTTATAATCCGTTTTGGCCTTTTTTGTTTCAAATATGTTCATAAATTTTGGTGTGAATGCGCTCAAGGCTGCATATATACTGATTAAATACACTCTAAAAGAGCTACAGAGGTCATATCCAATCGAATCCACATGCTGCAGCCTTATCCATTTCCTTTCAGTATAGGAGTATAGACAGAACGGATCCATCGCGCACAGTTCTCCCCTCATGATCAAGATAACCAAGACCCTCCCCCAGTCTGCCCAGAAAAGGAATTCAAGCATCAACGACTCAAGGTCGGACGCAAACTCAACCAATCAAGACAAATGGATAGAAAGTATCAGTCAGAAAATGCCTATGACTCATTTTCTCGTGTGTGCGATAGTATCGGTGGACCAAAATCCACATGGCCCGGGTCAAAAAGGACCAATCCAATGCCTCGAGACATCTTCATTGCTGCAAGTCGGGGACCCGGGGTAATCCATGGATTCTGGCGTTCTTGCCACTTTGTGGTGTGGGCGCATTTGCAGTGGGTGACAGAAAACGCAGGGCGTCACATTGTCGATTCATTTTCGATGGCGTTTTTGTTTGTTTTGTTGGTCGAATGCGGATTCATAAGCGTCGCAAATTCGTAAAATCGTTTTGGTGTTTTGTTCTTTTTTGTTGACTGGGTATAAAAAAAAAATAGGGTTGCGAAACAGTCCGGTTAAGTTTCCAGGACGAAATCTTCCGACATTCAATCTCCAAGGGCATGGCCACTCGTTCTGAAAGAGGTGTCAGGATTGATGTTTTTTTTTTAAATGAATCGGAATTGAGTGATACTCACGAGTCGATGTAGTCGAGTCCGCCGAAGTACTCCAGCATCCGGTAACAGAGGCTCACGTCGTCGCCCGGCTCTCCGCCGAATAGACGACACTGCGCTTCTTCCATTCCACCTGATTCCAGTCGCAAAGGGCGCTCAAGGGTCTGCCAGGCTGTATTCCCATAGTGCCATGATGGGGCGAGGGTGATTGCCGGAGAACCGCGTGAGATGCATGCTTCAGGAGAGTTGTCGGCAGACACAAGATTGCAAAAACTATTCTGGGGTGTTCGAATAGATGTGATTGCCACAGGCAAGGTCGGATGTTGAGCGAGAACAGTGATAGAGCGGGTTGAACGACGAGGTGCGGCGTCTGTTATGCCTCTGGCCCATTCTCAGAAGTCACAAGTATCGCAATTTGGACAGGAAACCACTTTTTTTGGGGAGGGGGAGAGACCATCACCTCCTGAAAAGGATGAGATGAGGTAGGGAATAAGAAATCAAATGCCATGAGGGATTTCCTTTATAGAGTAAGTGAGTCACTTAAAGGAGAGAAAAATTCCCAGACCCACCTTGGGTGGGACCATCCCGAGATCACCTTGTGTGATCACCTTATGGCTGAAAAAAATGGCGCCAGCTCCCACAAGGTCCTGCACTAATTCTGATTGGATCGAATATCGGAAAGGCGTGATACCTCTTGTCAAATGACAGCTTGACTATCGCGTCATTCGAGATTGCTCAGAAATGAGTAATTATTTGACTCTAATTGCTACCTATGTGATTCACATTGGAAATTGCGATTGTAAAAATAAAAATTCGAAACAGGAAAAATTGAAACGTCAAATGACGACAGGCTCCATAATGAGGAAATTCCCCCAGGCCGGATTATCCAAGTACTGCCGTGCGGACCGAAGGGCGATCGCATCAGGCAACAAAGAGTTTCCCGATTTCACCCTAAACCACCCTAACCCACCCTAGACTACATACGGAGTACCCTAACGCACCCTATAATAGCACCCTAAATCGTCGAGTCATGCAGGGTCCCGGAGCCTTCGTCAGTCTCCGGTTACTTTAGGCAATTTGGGTAGCAAGGGATAGTCAAATTTTTACACCTTGCAGAGAAGAACACGTGTGCAACGTGGAGAAAATTTCAGATGCCTAGCCCAGGCAAGAACTTTTGAGTCATTTAGGTTATTAGTTTTTCTCGGATATTCGGGGACCTGAAAGAGATCATTGACTATTGACTCAGATTGAAATAATTGATGGGGTGCCTGATCTGTGAGGATCCTAAATATAGCCAGGCTGAAACCCCCTTTGACTCCTTTGACTCCTTTTACTCCCTCGAGACAAACAGAGCAAACAGAACAAACACTAAACAAATGCAAACATCTTGATTTCTAGACTCTCCCTTGCAGCAGAGTCACTATATTCCGGGTCAACAAACGCAGTATGCGGTACTGTGAACCCTCCCTCGTCCACTTTTGAGCTATCAAATTGCATAAAGACGAGAGGTTCATTGGGGTGTTGACCGCTGAGATAACACCACCTCTGATTCGGACTAAATGCATACCGCCCAAGTTCATTCCACCCGCTTGGCAGCGTTAAACGAGTGGGCACTCCCTCGTCTTGGATACTAACGGAGCTCCAGTCACAAACCGCGAGGGGATCTCTCTGGATAGTTTTCAGCGGTCGCCAGACATTGATAATCAGGACCCGGCCAGCAAGGAGATGAGTGCGCTCCTGCTCATCCGGAACAAGCGTCTTCAAATAGTGGAGTGCACCTGTCGGCGTAAAATCCGAGTGCACGTCGTGCGCGGGGGCGCGGTTGTTCGCGAGCCTGGATGTGTCTGCTGCGAGACATCGGACCCGATGTACAAATGTGACTGTCTTAGTAGCACCAGTTCTGTGAAATCGTTCAGCTGCTTCAATCACAAGACACGCATGATTATTCTGGGAGTTCTACTGACAATTTGCGAACTAACTCTTCGGTCTTTGGAATGATGGTGTCCTTAATATGCGTCTCGTTCGAGGCCTTGTCGAGCTCGGGCATTTCGTGTGACAGGTATACGAATCCATTTTTGTCAAGTGTGTAGGATGATTCCTTTCCTCGGATATCCTGGATCTGCACCCGATGCTTCTCATGTGAGGCGTGCATGTTCTTGTTTTCCCCCTCTGTTTTATCATTGGGAAAGCCAACTTGGACACAGTTGTCGATATCTGGGCGTCTCCAGAAGCGGAGGTCTGCGTCGACATGCTTGGCTATATATTTGCTGTGGTCTCCCATAGTAAGTATTTAATATCGGTATCGATGGCGAGGACTGATATGTTCGTTCAAAAAGAACAATGCTCGGGTCCACAGTTGGGGGGTAGGCTTATAAGTACCTGCGTCGTAGAGAGCCAGCCACCAATCAAGACATTTCGGTGATTTCAGATCCGATTAATGTACATAAACCGAGGTATAGAGACTAACACTATGTACAATGTATAGGGGTTGAACGGGGCGTTATGCTCGCTTCTAGGTTAATCAATGCCCAATGGAGGCATACATACGAGTACGAACCCGAAGCAGAGATCCTCGGCGCATGATTTTGAGATGCGCAAATCTGGGGTTCGTCTTCTTTGCACGTCACTCGTTCTGATGGTGAATATAGTGCAGATTTTGTTAATTGCTAGTCTATCTATGGCTTGGTGCGATACCTTCAATATATATAGTCATGGAGAGTGAAACAAGGATAGCAAGAAAGCATATAGATTCAGCCAGTTGAGCTACCGTGTAAATTATTTCAGTAAATGGAAACCTCGTGCGCAGGTGAGGATGGCTAATATATCTCACTCACACAAGACCGTCAGTGAACCCATGATACAGAACTAGCTCTAGACGTGAAATATATCTACACTAACGAACCGCCCCAATGACCGGAACAAAAAGAAAACAGTACATCAATTTGTGTAGCTTGAATGGATTAGGTGGAATAGGTACATTCCCCTCGTTTGCTCTTGAACGCGGTCAAATTGCTGAGGCTCTGCCTCTGGCAGAACTACGTGTACTCCTTCTTTCCATCGACATTTCTTCCCTCTCTTCCCTATCCCTCCTCTCTCTTGCATATCCAAAAGTCTGTCTCAATAAATCCAGTTCCGAAGGTATTACTTCTTCCTTTTCTCCCCCATTTGTAAGACTTATTAACCCACCCCGGAAATCCCAGTTCCTATTGCCTGTCTCTAGCCCGCAAGGAGAATCCTCCCTACAAGCGAGAATACAGAGTGAAAGAGCGCCCAGAGAGCTGCACCCAAGTCCCCAAAGGGATCAGAAGAGCGCGAGATCCAGGCAAATGAAGCTCTTACCTACGATATATGACGCAGGCTGGGAGAAGATTCCCTTATGATTTTTGGGACCGCTTGTTTCTCCCACTCTTCATCCAAAAAAAGAACAAGAAATCCTCAAGGAGTATTCGACGATGACCACCTGTCCCAGGCGCAAGAGCATGCCGCCATTATATAACCCAACGCCTTGACATCAAACGACAACGATGACCTTATATATGATCGTTCCTGGTTCTCGCCTCTTCAGCAACACTCTGTCATCCCTATACAAAATGCCAAATGCTTTTGGGATCCCAGAGTCAATCACGCCTCGCAAAAGACCGCGCAGGTCGACATAGGTTGTTTAAAGCCGAAGTGTGATTGCAACCGAAGGGAAGATAAGCCGCCCGTTCCAAAATTGATGGACCTGTAAGTTTCAATCTTACTTCGCCGAGTTTCTAGATGGTTGCTAATCCACTGCAGGAGGTGGCATGGTCCACTGTTCAAGATATCCCTAATGTCCGGGCAGAGCAACGGGGTTCGAAATTCTGTGATCACACCTGGTACGTTCCCGAGAGCTGGGTTTGCTACACAGTAGGCTAGTTGCTTTCAATTGCTAATCACGTTATTAGAATTTGAAGCTAGGGATGTTCAGTCACGAAACTCGCGTGTGATATACTCATGTCAAAGATAAACTTATAGTGATTTGATGAGATAAAGGAACATTGGAAGCGATGACTGGCCACTACTGAGTTAAGGAGGGTACCTTGATCCAACTACACAGTCCTTTGTTGTTCGTTCTGTTATTTAGATTTCATCTCATACGTCCAGATTGACTGTACGATTCTCCCACCTGATAATAGCAACTTTTTGTCTATGTATGATGGAAGTTCTTAGATCCAGAATAAGGACTTGGAAAAGCGCAATAGCTAAAACTCAAGGGACCAGTCGCCGTTGATAAAAAGTCAACAAGAAATCGGTAATATCAAGTATCGGAAGCAAGATTCCACGGCTATCGTTGACTAGATTCTCCACCCGGTCATAAGTAGAGTCAAATACAAGAGCAATGCATTAAATGATGTATAACGGCGTTAATGATGAAAAAACCGGCAGGGGCAATGAGGAAAAAGAGAACAAGATTGAAGAACCAGGCCATAGACACAAAGCCCGAAAGAGGAGAAAAAGGTAAATGGAAAGAAAGAAAAGCGAAGGGAAGAGTAGAAGAGAAGAAAATGGCAAAAAAAAAGAAAAACACAACCCGCGTGTGTACTGTACAGGGTCCCCGGATCCGGACCATGCCTGACCACCAAAAGCCATAAGTCCTGTCTAAGACGCGTATGAACAGGATCCAACTACCATATCAACCACTCCCCTAGGAAGAAAGAGACAGCTTCTAGCGCTGTCTGCTTGCGCATCCCCGAAAACACAGACCGTAGCTCCAAAGACATGCATGACAAGTAGGAAGGAATCGGAAAATTCGACTAGCTACTGTGTAGCTTCCACGCAGTAGTTCCAACCCTTTAGTTCTTGCGGTTGGATCGGCGAGCAGCGAGATCGCCCTCGGCGAGCCACTTGCTGGCATTCACCATCTGGACGACGTTGACAAACTGCTTGAAGGCCATGATGGGGAACGAGATGCCGGTGATGATCCACGGCCAGGTGCTCTCGAGCTTGTTGGCACGCGCCATTTCGAGGGCAGCTGCGCTCCAGGGGCTGGCGAAGATGCTGGCTGCCTCAGGTTGAACAGGGTTTCCGGGCTGGAGGAGCGACGGGGACAGGGTCGGCGAGGAGAAAGACAAGAGGTACAGACCGATGAAGAAGGCTTCGTTGGCGGTGCAGCAAATGAACAAAACGGTCTAATAAAATGTTGCGGATAAGCTTGGGGGGGGACGCAAAATCAGTTCAGGGTGGAGGCCTCTTACCTTGCTGGTGTAGTACTGGTACATAATCCAGCTACGGTTGGGATCGACCTTCTTATGGCTCTGGCTGGATCCACCCATGCTCAGAGTAGCGTACATGTGCATGTAGTGGCTGGCCAGGTCCAAGCTGATGAGACCTTGGAAAATGATAGCCCACCGGGGCCAGGCGGAGCTCAGGAAGACTAAAAGACACGCGGTGGTGCATCGGTCGGTCACCATGTCCAGCACTGCACCGAAGGTGGTAGATTGATGGAAGTATCGTGCTGCATAACCGTCCAGGCCGTCCAGCAGACAGGACACCGAGTAGAGGAAGGAGCAGGTCCGGGGGTGGAGGGGCATGTAGTATAGGGAGGCGAAGGTCAAAAAGACTCGGGAATATCCTGAGAACGTGTCAAATTTTGAATCATATAGCAACTCGAAGCTTCAAGCCACATCAGCGGGGCATCCTACCGATAAGATTCGGAATGAAAAGGAAGATGTTTTCCTTGTTTTCTTCACTCTCTTCCCGTGCGGCGGATCTGGCCCTCTTCTTGGATGAGGCGCGCTTTGAAGGGGTCGATACGGAGCCATTCTCATATGAATCTTCACTCTCCTCAGCAGCGAGTGAAGCCTTTTGTCGCCGTGTTCTTGCGCTCATTGTGAAAAGGGATGTGACTGAAGTGTTCTCGTATAGGTCGGGAGGGACGTATTGATAGCGAACAAGTCTAGGCACTGTCAGCTTTGGAGGGGTTGTACAGATGCAGCAGAGATCCCCGGATGGAAATACATACCGTGTTAGCGAGATAAGAATAAAGGAATTCCTTCGGGATAAGGATAGGAGTGCCCAGGGAACAAGGAGAAATTTCAACGATAAGAGATAAGCACGCTTTGTGAACACGCACTTGAAACCCTTGAGGCGTTCAATGAAAGTAAATCGAGAAAAAAAAGAAGGGATGAAGGAAGGAAAAAGGAAGAAAGAGAAATTGTGGAATGCCCTGCGGATTACGCGGAACCTTGGAAGACTCCAGTGAGCTTTCCCCACGCGGTCCACTTGGAGATGATCGTGAGATACTTGAAACACATAATGAACTTGGACGAACTTGAAACATGTCATGGATATGTTGTACATCGAATTTCAACAGATTGCATATCTTTAATCTGAACTACATCATGACCTTGGAAAAGTTTGTATAATGATCTTGTATCGCGTCGATGCTTTCTTATTCACAAAACACCATTGATTATGTACGACCAGTCTAGTGGCCGAAAAAAAATTATGTACAGAACATAATTCCCAAATATACAAGAGACCCAATTCACGTCCGTGACCTGCGCGGATCAGTGGCGTCCTGTCGACGCCACTCGCGAGACTCCTTAGTACCCATACTACCAACGCCGCCCTCAAGACGACGCTCCCAACCACCAAGGCGAATTACAAGACAGGTAGCATTGTCACCTTCTTTAGTGACCTCGGTCGAGAAATTGACCACGTCACGCGCCCCTTGCTCTGGCGTCTTGGATTCCTTCACGATATCAACGATCTCCTGGTCAAGCAATGTCCCGCTGATACCATCGGATACCATAACTAAGAACGAGAACTCGGCCGGGCCAATTTCTATGCGCTTGAGTTCAGGCTCAGCAGAGACTCCAATGCGTTTGGACTGGACATCGCCAAAGGCACGTGTGTTGGCTAGCCCGCTCATACGTTCTTCGCCGAAGGAGTCTGTTACAAAGGTTGTGGCATACCGTCGGAGTCGGGTTGCCTCGATCGGCGAGGAGGGGTGGTGGTTTGATGTGATGGGAATGACTTCGCCAGTTTCTGTTGAGCAGAGAAGCATGCGCGTGTCGCCGACATGGGCTACTAGGAGGCTTGATGGGGCGATGGGGTGCCAGAAGGGGGTTGGCGTCGGGGTCGAGATCATAGCGACACTGCCGGTGCTGCCACCCTTGAACCGGGCGCTACCGCCAATCTTGGGAGACCGGGTCATGCTAGGCCTATACAAGATTTCATCGTCGTTCAGAGGCCTCTCGGCTTGAACTAGATCATCGTCTCGCTTCGCTGCTTGAGCATTGACAAAGTCTAGATCCGCACGCAAGAAGGCGTACTCAACGACTTCCTCGATGGAGATGTGGTTTTCAATACGCGGATCGGTAGACTCGGTGCCATTGTAGGCGAAATGTGGCGGCTTAAATCTCCTGAAGTAGCCACCGACTACTCGTCTCCAGGTCTGCACAAGGTGTTTCTCTAGGTCTCCGATTCTGCGTCGGTCGCCCTCTTGCATTACAGGGAGTTCGCTGGTAGCGGGTGGGACTTCGGCACCAGGTCGTAAGCTGGACCGTAGTTCGATATCAAATGCCGCATTCTGGATATACTCGTGCAGATAGTCCCTCAAGAACGAGCTACACTCGGATCCGCCATGGCCATCAAAGACACCAAAATAGAAGACTTGTGGGTCTCCACTAGCTGTTTCCGCACCGCGCGACTCCCGAGGGTGGGCTAAAGGATCTTGTTTGTTGGGCCGTCTAATCGTGAGCGAGGCTGGAGGTCGCTTCGCAAAAGCGGGGATATCAATGACGCCGGCTTGGTACGTGTCTTCATTCGACGGGCGGGTTCCGCGGGAAGTGACAGCACCGAAATGGTGTTTCGCGTTGCGGAGTGGAATCCGGACGACTGTCGTCTCACGGTTCGTTAAAGCTTGGAAAGTAGCTGGCGATTGTTGAATCTCTCCAGTGTGAGGTATAGAGGCAGAGCGAGGAAGCTTATGAAATGACGACGACGGACCACGGGGGTCCGGATGAAGCGAGGACGACGGCAGGTGGGTGACAAAGTAATCGCGGAATTGTGGCTGCTTCCTAAATGTTGAATGGCCGGGCGGCACAGACTCGGTACTGTAGCATCGCGCTCGACATAGGAGAGCTGAGCCTAGGCTGTGTTAGGTCAAGGATATTCGTAGATAAGCAAGTAGCTTGCACGTACTGTAACAGTCGCCCGAGGTCCAGACCCGGCCTGTCACTCGCCTGGCTGAAAGGAGAGTCATTGGCCCATCGAAGTACAGTTAAGTAGCAGGGAAGAATCGAAGGTTGAAAGGACTGTGGGGAGAACATATCCTGGCCCGAGCGTCGGCAGATAAGAGGACTCGGCCGGCACACTCGTTCCGCCCGATAGCTCTCTAAGTGCCGCTCCAAGGTTATGTACCTACATGTATGAGGAGGCATGTTTGCAATTGCCGATTAAAATTACATACGCTGGTTCATGGTACTCAATTCAAGAAGTCCTTACACGATTCCTGTGAAGATCTTCAAAACTGTGAAAGAGTGGAAGAACAACATCTACATACACAAAGAAGTGGGTATCTTTCTCATTGAGCTCCACTTGGACTACATGTACTACAAGCAGGGTGAAATCTTCAATATTTGTAACTCCATTGACTACCTTGAAACTAAACAAACAGGGCAACAAGATGCTAAATCACGCTGCTAAAATCGATCATATCGGTAGCAAGGTCCACTTCTACCCACAGAAGTGGAAAAAGAGACAAAGGGCACACGGGAGTGGCCGAATAAAAAAAACAAACGGTGAAAGAGTGGCACCTACCGGGTAGTAGAGCCGTCCACAAGTCCAGGGAAGACGTTAGGAGGATCTGCCTTCGAAGATTGTGCCAGGTTAGATATCGAAAATCAAATGTACTCGGGGATGAGTATCTAGATAGCCTTAGTCCGGGAGAAGAGACTGCTGTAGACGGCGTCCACGACGGGTTGGGCGGTGATCTGTCTACCGCCAAAGTATCGGCCATTGAGGCCCTTGATGGCATTCTCACCACCTTGAACACGGTCGAACTTCAGGTAGATATCTCCCTGGGAACTGGCATCTAGTGAAATGTGAACAACGTGCCCGTATTTCTCCTCACACTCCGAGCGGACGTCCTCCTCCAGTTCCTTAATCCAGGATTCACCGGTCTCTCTGTAAGTCTGTTAGCGTTGGTTCTCTATGATGGATTTCAGGAAACTTACTCGGCGGGGTCAAACATGTTACGGAGCAAAACACAGCGACTAGCCATATTGACATTGATGGGAAGTGGCTTAGTCTCGGTCTTGGGTCGGAGGAACTTCTGACGGTCGTCGGCAGAAGGCTGGGGTTCATCTGTTCGTGCAAGCTTCCGCATCAACGCATCCCTAGAGTAGTTGTTGAAGTTCACACCAGCTACATCCGTGTCGTCGAGTGCACTAGCACCGGCACCCTTCTCGGATTCCCTGCCGCCAGCACGGTCAAAGTTGTTGGAACCTCCGGCTTGAACGCCACGACCTCCCTGACCGGAGAATGAGGAACCCTGGAAGTTTGATTGGTTTGTAGACGAAGCACCTGAGGGGCGATTGGCGTGCGAATCAGGGGTGAACTTATCATTGCCGAGACCGACCCGAATAGCTCGTCCAGCAAGTTCAAAGCCGTTCATCTTTTCCAGAGCATCTCGAGCTTGTTCGGGGTTGGAGAATCTGGTTAAGTTGGTTAGTGGAAACACCAATAACATGGTGGGACGGGGGGGGACAACTTACTGAACGAAGGCATAACCTTTGCTTCTACCAGTTTCGTCCTTTTGCAACTGAACAAATTCGAGCTCGCCAAATGGTTCGAAGACATTGGTGAGATCGTCTTCAGTAATGCTGAAATGGACGTTACCAACATAGAGTCTGTGGAATGGTGCGGTGTGCTGATTTCCTGCAGTAGCTTCGGGGTTGCGAGCTTGGCGGTTCTTTTCCGCTTCAGTCAGTTGCGCAATGATGGGGATTCCTAGGAGCATCTGGCCGGTAAGTCGGATTGCCTCGGTGACAGACTCCTCATTTTTGAACTCGACGTAACCGACACTATAAAGATGTTAGTAAATACTTATTTGAAGTAATCCTGTGAGAACATACCCTTTAGAGCGTCCGCTAACACGGTCCTTGACGATTTGAGCATCCTTAACGGGGCCGGCCTTTTCAAAGAAGTTAAACAGATCTTTGATCCTCAGACGAGCAGCAAGCTGCTGCACAAAGATAGTACGCCTATCACGTTCATCCTCATTAAGTTCTGGGGACTTGCGGCTAGAAGATCCACGGCGAGCATCATTGTCACGGCGGGGGTGTCTTTCTTCCTCACGCTGGCGGCGATTGGGCCGGTAGTGGCGATCATCATAGGGAGAACGGGAACGGGAACGGGCGCGACCTCCACCACGATAGAAGTCACCGCTAGAGCGGTAGTCGTCACGGTCACGGCGAGGACGGCGCCGCTCAGATTCGCGACTCTTGCTCCTCTTTCGGCTTCTAAGGCTTCCGTTAGCACTGGCAGTGTCGCTTTTCATGACTTCATCGCCCTCAAGATCTCGATCGGGACGGCGATCCCGGCTGTGGTCGCGGCGACGGCGTCTGTCGCGAGAACGATCATGGCGCTCGCTGGGGTCCACGCGAGAGTGGTCGTCACGGCCTTCGGAAGTGGTTGGGGCCTCGGCGGGGGCGGCCGCAGTAGACTCAAGGAGAGCCTCTACATCAAGTCCAGACATTTTGGGAGGTAGCCTGTCGTTGATTGGGGTAGAAGTAATGGTTGGGGTAGGGATATTGTCACTTTGTAGGGGTCAGATGGCGAAAGGAGACGCAGAGTTGGCTTTCGAACCCTTATGATGCGATGGATCAGCGGAAAATTCCGTTGGCTTCCGGCGCTTTTAGCGCGTTATGGTTGTTTCTTCCAAAGCCACGAATGCGGCAAATTCTCGAGGGGCTGTTGAAACAGTTGAGCGTTGGTATAATATTTAAATAATTTGGTTGGTCGCAAGGCCCAAGACGCTTGGGGCGGTGAATGCGACAGTGTCACGTGCGAGAATGGAAGATATTTCGTCGCCTTAAATCCAAGGCGAAGACGAAGAGTATTCGGCCTGAGGCCTGTAACGCACAAGCCAACTGGCAACCTTAACATCTTTACGGAGTAGACGGCTGCTCATGCGGCCTTATGATGTCTTACAGGTCTTTTCAGCGGTCTTTTCTAATACACATTTTTCTTAGATATCTTTGAGATAAAGTCCCTCGTTTCCAACCTTACAGGTAGATGGTAGAAAAAGGCAGAAAAAGCATACTTTGTGCAAGAGAATTTCCCATGTATAATTTCTGACTGACTTATACGGAGTACTTTTTCTATAATTACATATGTGGTATGCATGTAGATACCTAAATTAAGCAGAGTATTGAGAGGTTCTTTCTCTTCTGTTTGTGCCCTTCCCCTAGATGCCTAATGCTACAGAGGATTACTTCTCTTTCAGCTCACTGTGCCCTACAAGGCGGCAAGTGGCCACTTTAAATGAGTGGGTAAAAGTTCAGACAAGTAACTATGACAACAACTGCATCTAGCAGACATAGAGCACAGTGGATATGAATATAATTTTCTTGCATTATGATTAACGGTCATATACACTGATAAGTGATGTGTAAAAAAGAAAGGAATCAACTCCGCCTTGCATCTAGCACCATCACAATAGATGACATGACGGAGTCTATTGTACAAAAGTAGACCCTAAGACCAACCAGAAACTCCAGTAGCCAATGTACCTGAAGAGGACCGAAGAGTAGTGACCCGATCGTACTCGGCGTTAAATCGTGACTTGAGGACCAGTGAAAGCCCTGTAGCAATGCTTGGGTTCATTAGGCTCACTGAGCCTTGGTGCCCTTCAGAGCAGGAGATACCAGCTCGGTACCGAACACCTGATCCCAGAACCGACTAGTCACGCCAAAGCCATTTTCGAAATCAGCGAAATGGTGCTGGAGGTGGTACTTCTTGAGTTCCTTGTAGTACGAAGGAAGACTTAAGTGGTATTAGCGTGGGATTCATTGCATCAGGTTAAAGAGTTCAACTTACTTGCGGTGGTGCAGGAAGTAATGGGTGAGATCATAACAAATGTACCCGAAGATTCCGCCACAGAATACCGATGTAGCCGCGTACCAATTGTAAAAGAAGACTGCGTGTGCCAGCTTCCAGAATGGAGCAGCTAGAACCACAAACAGTGTCGGTGGCATGACAAGACGATATTTGTCCATCGGGAGGTAGTGGTGGATACCGTGGAGCAAGAAGTGCAGGGTCAGACCGACACGGTTGTCCGGAAGCCAGTGATCAATGTGGAAGAGGAACCGATGCATCAGATACTCGATCAGAGTCCAGAGACCCACGCCGCTAAGGAAGTAGGAGGCAGCGACGGGGGTGCTCCCCAGCCCGGCAGCTCCGACCGTGATACCGTAGCTAACCAGTGGCAACCAGACCATTGGCACGACGTACCACGCGGTTTTGCTGAGAGGCTCGAGGAAATTGCCGAACAGAGGAGCGGACTCTCCTCCCCGGTAGTGACGAGGTCGATGAATCTGTTCCAGATAGAACTCCTTGGAGAAGTTGCTGCGCCACAGCTGCATCAGAAGGGGCTTGTTCAAGTCTAAGAACTTGTGTGTTTTGTAGTCCTGGGTATAGTCGGTATCAATCGACAGGTCCTCCTCCCGGGACATCCCGGTGGTTTTGTAAACAGGACCAGAGTCGGTTTCGGTCACGGTTTCGATGATGGTAGTCGTTGTCGTGGTTTTGCTAGACACCGGCACATCCGAGACAAAACCAATGTGGCACTCGTCCAAAATTTCGTAGGCGGCATCGCTATGTTCGTGGGACATCTCGTCCTTCAGGATATCCTTCACATCCTTGCCGGCATACTCCAAAATGAGATCACCACCACCAGGGTGCGCGTCGAGGAAATCGGTGATGTCGTAAACGTTAGCTCCCAAGGTGATGTAGCACGACTTGGCCGTATCGTGGGATTGAACCTCAGCGGAGGTAAACGTCGGCATTACTCTCCCGGGCATGTTGGGCGGAGATATAGGGGAAGTTGAAAATAGGGAGGTGTAGAAGAAAACCCGGCGAGGCGGCAATAATAAGAATTAATCAGGGGCGTGGCGTGACACCAAAAAAACGAACCGAGGATCCGCCCGCTCCGGAGCCTTGGAAAATTTTGAATCGTCGACTTACAATTGGATCAGGCCACCTAAAAACCGCCCAGGTGGATCCATATCGGACTTGGATAGCCTATTGAATTATGTAGGTAATTATGCGCATATTGTACATCTTTTACTTGTGGAGCTTCTTCTTAGCATTCAAGAGAGGAAATTACGGTCTGGGCATAGCTTGCTAAGCCTTTAAGCTCCATAATCACATGATAGTACTCTGTATGCTCTCTTGTAGTATGTACTAGTAGCCTCTCGGTGCTGAATTCGCTTTGTTGTGACTCCATGCTCATGGATCTTTAGTCGGCAGATCTCGACATGATGGTGGTCATAGAAAGCTGTTTGCGACATGGATAGAAATATGAGAAGACGTGAAGATTAAGACCAAAGCATTGTCATTTTTCGGATATATGAAGTAGGTAGCAAAATTGAGTGAAATATATTGTATTGTCACATTCGTTCCTGCTGGAAATCCCTATGTTCAAAAAGCCTGTAAGCCAAGGGATCCTGGATGTTGCCATTCAACTAAATAGACAAAGACTTCTCGGAGAGTGGACACCTATTGGCATCGCTGTTAATTAGCTCCAAATGTGGCTGTATCTCACATCTCTCAAAGGTTTTGATTCACTGAAACCATATATATGCAGGAGGCGAGTAAGAAGATGTGGTCTTTGAATGGCTGATGATAGAGAGCACTCATTACTAAAAGCTACCTAATAAGAACAACTATTCAGTACCAGTTATCGATGCAGCATGTCCATATACTCGGACTTAATAACCTGTCATGTAACCTGCATACTACTCGAACAAGATCAGATATTATAGTCCCGGGGTCAGATATAGCGAGGGTCATCGCACATAGGCTATGCCCAGATAGGCATAGATAGGTCGACTATACCCAAACAGGCTAGACCTTTCAGGTTAAACTGCTAAATAGCTGAATACTAGCCTGGCTGCTAGCTCCTTCGATGGGTTTCTGAGCAATCCTCCCTGAATTAGAGACCCAATTATCAGACTGATTTCTGGATTTGCCACCCGGTCGATCGGTTTAATACGGAGTATAAACTCGAAAATCCGCAATTAGCCCCCATATTGGCTCCAATAATGGAGACGAGCCCCATCATGGTCTGACAGGAACAGCAAGTCTGATGTGGAAACAAAACCCAAGATCAGCGGGAAATATTAACAAAGGCCACCCTAGCATCTACACAAAGTACAATCACATACAACATACTCCGTGAGAGCACAATCTCTGCACGCGCCCCGGCTCTTGGTCTAGGTCCCCACCAAAGAAATTAGTGCTCTACGCGGCACGCGGGGCTATTGCCGGAAAGATTCCTTACAACGGTATGGGTTATTTATCGGCTTCTGCATGGTCAATTCCCAATTTGAAGCAGGGGTTAGACACACTAAGTAGTGGAGACTTCAGCCCCTCTTCCTAAATTCTCTACTTTCTTTACTCTTAACTTTTTTTTTTTCGTTCTGTCTATTCCATGATGCAGACTTCATCTTCTCCTCGGTCCACCATGTCGATTGCAGCGGACTGGTCCCCCGAGAATCCCATTCTCGCTTACCTACAGACATTGATAGCTACCAAAAAGACCCTTCCTTATGGGCAGCCTGTGGTCGCCCACGCCTCCGTCAATCACACTGGTTCGGCTTCACTTCTGCGGCTGGCCGCAGATATCGGCCCGTACATCGCCATACTACAAATTCCAGCCGATGCCATCGATGATTGGTCCAGCGATACGATCGAACAGCTTCAGTACTTGTCTAGAAAACATAGATTTCTACTGTGGGAAGCAAGCAAGATTCTGAATCCTATGGTGAATTTCATTGGCAGAGCGGATGCGCCGTTGGAAACAAGGCAGGCATTGGCAGACTTGATCAAGAAGTCATACACCAGTGGCCCGGTGAGGACAGCAACGTGGTCCAATTTGGCCAGCTGCTGGGCCCCCGCAGCCCCAATCGACCAACAAGAAAATGATATATTGATCCCAACCTTGAGATCGGCAGCCCGCGAGGCAGTCGCGACAACCGCAAAGATAATCCAAACCGAGATCTCCGCCGAAACAAATAACTACTCGTCGAGCGAGGAAGTGGAAATAATTCTCCCTTGTGCGGAAACAAGCAACGGTTGGAAAGAATTTAGTCCGAATAATACGGGATCAGTATTACGGAAATCGTCAACCATCTCGGTCACGACCGAGTCTGTGATTCCACACGCGCACATTCACGCAGATGACGGTGTCCCAATCCCCCCGTTACTGGCCCGCAGTGTTGCACTCTGCCTACCCAGCACCACTGAAAGCGCATTTACCTCCGAATTCCGCCAGAGTACGATAGTCGCCGCATGTGCCAACTCCGACTTTGTCATTGGACTCGCAACGAGTGAGCCCTTTTTCGTGAATCACCGGGGAAACGATATTCTTGATTTGGCATTATTCGACGGCATCGAAAATCCCCAACTAGGCATCAGCACTGCGAAACTTGCTACCTTGCCTTACGTCAACGAACACCAAAAATCACTCGCTGTATTCTCTCTTGTACCACCTAGTCTTAGCCTTGGCTTTGAGTTTGATCCTACCGTCAAGCCTGATGGAAGTCCACCATCTGATTCCGACTCTGAAACTCCATACACCGCGCAATACCTATACCATGCCGTCGGGCAAGCGGTAGCCCTTCGAGAAAAGAACCGACAAGAGCAAGAACCCAGCGTCTCTCAAAAGCAACCGATGGGCCCCAACCTTATACATCTTCCGGTGGTTATCGTTGTATAGTGTCACACGGTAGCGCTTTTTATTCTACATATTCGCTGAGTGGCCGTCGGCGAGTCTTTGTGGCCTTATCTTGGCTTTGTACTTGAGTATGCTATACGCCCATCGTGTCTTACTTTTTGCGAATAGTCGAATAGTTACAAGTCTTGCTTGTGCAGGTACTTGCAACAAAAATGTCTTATACAAATACCAATGAATGATGAACAAATGAATGGCCGTCCTAGTTTGTGCTCGAATTCTACCTGCAAAACCAAAGTCGTGATCTAAAATCGCCCCATTGTAAAATGATCTTGCTGCCTGAATTATCAGGCTAAATGCACGTGCCCATCATTAGTCATCTGATGGGAATCCCGCCCCGGGTAAGGTCGCCTCCAGGGCCAAGATGGGCACGGATATCAACAGTAAATGTGCTCTCAGCTGTATAGTCATCCTGCTCTATCTTTTCTCGGGACCTCTATACATTTTGACTTGTCATTTGTCTTTATAAATCTGATCATGGAATCAGATTAATGTTTGATTGCCAAACAGTTGACCTCATTGACATCGAACACCAATCGTCATCTTCATGATGAACACATTTTGAGTCTGGAAAATACTTTACTATGACAGTGCATAACACAACTTTTGAACATAATTTCCGGAATTATCTTACTTCCAATGCTTTGTCGTCACAGCCACAGTCTCACGCCAAATCATAATCACAGAGATCTTCCGGGAACTCGACATGAACCCAGCCAAAACCCCAAGCCATAACAATGAGCTTTCTAGTCAGAACGACTCCCAAGAGGGTAACGATGAATCGTTCATGAGTGTAATCTCTGCGAATGGCGACTTGATTCTCGAGTACATCGCTCCCGGTGAATCTTCATCGTCACCAACCAGGCGCAGATGGCGGGTGGCAAGCGAGTGTCTTACCTCCCACAGTCCATATTTTCAAGCACTGCTTGATCCCACCAAGTTCTCCGAGGGCAGGCAATTTAGTGCCCAAAAACAAGCCTGGAATGAAACACAAATACAAGACTCAGCGTCACAGCATGCGCTACCAACCGTCAGGCTCCCCGACGTCCGATCTACTAGCATGTGCGGAGAAGATGCCATCGAGTTATTTTTGAAGATATTATGCCTTGACTCTTTCAATGAAACCGAAAGAACTGTGTTCGAAAATGGGTTGAAAACCCAGTCTACATCGCTTGTTGCGAGGATGATCGACCTTGCCGATTCATTGAATTCCCCTCGTGTTGTCCAAGATACTCTACATAGAATTGGATATTTATATGGAAAGACAAAGCCTGCGCTCCTTGTCAGGTTTAATGCAGCTTTGCTGTCATGGAAGGAAGATCGAATTCGACAGATCATCTTCATATCCGCCTTCCTCAATGATTCAAGGCTCACTAGAATTATGACTCATGTCTTGCTGGTTGTGGGCTCCAGATTCTGGCAAAACGGGCTAGAAGGCCCCGAGGAAGAATCTCTGCGTTGGAAATATCTACCAAATGGTTTAGAAGGTGGGTTTCCAGAGAGTCAATCCCACTTCGTTCCAGTCAGCTAAATTATTCTTATGCAGAGGAACTTTATTGTCGGCGTCAATATGTTTTAAATACAATCACCGACTTACAGGCTCATTTTCTTCGAGTCTATGGGGGTCTGGAGGAAACAGGCAGTGCAAAGCCCGCACCAAACAGAACATTAGGCGCAGCCTTCACCGCATCTGCGCATACACTTCTTCAATCTCGTCACTTCCAATGCCGAGGCGGATTCAACAATGCCAGCCAATGCGACCTCTTTCAACTCGGTCAAATGATTCGATTTTTCTCAACGCGCGCGAGAACGATCTTTCTAGGATCAACATTGATAGACCCGGACTTCGACTCAACCTTCAACGATGACGATCACGCGGTTGACCAATCCAGGAACGACCAGCCCCCAGGCCCACCATCCGATATTACAGCCATCATTGCCTCTATCAAGCAGTATCCTGATTATGCAATCGACGAAGCTCACACCGGCTGCGGTGTGCGACGTCGAATTATGCCTGCTTTGGAGTGCCTTGAGAAATTCGTCTGGGATGACCGTGGTCTCCTTGGTATCAACCCCGCAGTTTCGGAGACGGGTGTTTCAGACCCATCTCGACCTTCGAAATGGACGCGGTGGGCAGACTTCACGCGCAAGAAACACGCGGTCGATATTTCTTTTGCTAGAGTAACGGCTGTGTACTACCCTTCCGCGCCATCGAAGAACCAAGCCACCCGTTCCACACCACAAGAAGAACTGGCACGGCTATTGTTTACTGCTGCTCGGAGAGATTGGAGTGCGGCGGGCTCAGTCTGATGTCCCAACTACTATATATAGAGAGATATATATACTACTAGACTGACTATAATGCAATTCATGTATTCCTCAAAGCTCCAAGGTGGGGACTCAGTACGAGCCTGGGCCGATTTACAACTTTATCATATCGCCTACTATATTATGACTTCGACACTTTTGAAGAAACAATGGAGCTTGTCATTGCCAAACTTTAGAAGTTTATTGTAGTTTTAGAGTATGTCCTGATCATAAGCGAGTCAACCCTGAACTATCATCTCGTACACTGGAACCGCTCACCAAGTGGAGACAACCTGTAGCTGGTCTCTGCTTTTCACCAATTGTGTACACAGAAACTTCCGAGATGACTCTTTACATTAGCAATATACGGTTCTATGGGGAGTACACTTCTCGGCAGCGATTACCACCTTTGTTGAGACGGAGTAAACAAAAATAAAAGAGCACATGCCTACTTACCCAGTTCAGTTGATTTCCAACTCTGATTCGTACAGGTACTCACGTCACAATGATCGAAAGCCCATCATGATAAGATCCGTCGCCCCCTAGCGGCAAGTCCGAAGATACGACAGAATGATCCAAAATAATGAGAAGAAGAGAATGAGTTCCGACCGGTCTAGACTTCGCAATTTATATCCAGGGGTGACTTCCGGCTGGCACCAGATACCCAGAGTTTGGGAGGACATGGATCTCGATGATCTGGTTCTGGGACAAGCTTAATATTGGAGGTTCTATGGATGCAAGGAGTATATGTGGACGATAGACAATAGATGGACTTGGAAAGTAGTGATTGGGATGAAGTATTAGTGTACATAGAATTATCAGATGCCAATAGACATGATCAAAGTTTCAAGACAATAAATGACAGTAGTATATCGAAGTGTGACTTGTAGATGGTGTGTAGTGCGAGAAGTTCAGAGAAACAAGAATCACTTTTCTCTATGGTGTCTATATGAAGACAGGGGTGAAAATTTCTCTTTCTTTTGATGGCATGCAAATGAAGCGACAGAAGAAAAAAACCCGAATCCAGATAACTGCAGAGAATTTTCCAATTTGATTCTGCGTCCATTATAATTTGCTTTTTTTTTCATGTTATCCCATCCACACACATGGATGCCAACCGTTCAGCACACCGGATCACCCCAGAAGTACCCCATATCAAATTCCATGTTCGGGCCAGATGGGAAGAAAGAGCCCGTAATCTGGCCGGTGGCTGGGTCATAGGGGAAACATTCATCATACGAGCTCCGATCCTTCTCTTGCTTGATGAACTGATCGAGTAGGTCCGGCGCCTGGAGACCGTAGGGGTCCTGCATACCGAGAGGAGTAGTATTAGATTGGTCCATCGGGGAGCAGACGATTGAATCTAGCTCGGCGGAGATAGCGTCAACCGCCACTGCTGCAGGCATGGTCGCGGATGGATCAAACGCCACATCATCTGCCGCTGGCTCTGCAGTATCAGGAACGTCAAAGAGGGAGTCTGACTCTTCAGTAGTTGGGAAATCATTTACGTTAATTCCAATATGTGGTGCTAAGCGGCGGAGGAACCCATCGCAGAGTTTCCAGGCTCTCTCTGACGCCATGTTGGTTTTTGATAGTGTTGACAGCCAGTCCAGGGCTTTCTTTGCAGCCTTGGAGACCATCGTCGCTTTCTCGGGGACGTGCTGAGCCCGGAATGCCAGCTCAAGTAGGAGAACGGTGACTGCCTGCATCAGATAATGTAATGTGCACCACCATGGCGACATGCGGTATAGCAGTACTGCGTCTGGGGTATCCGGGAATAGCGTAAGCATGTGGCATGCAGCCTCAACACATTCCGCTGCGGTCTTGTTGCAGAACTCGTAGGTCTTGTCCTCCTCAGAAGGGGATTGGTCCAAGCGACAGAGACATGGCCGGGTTATTCCGATTTTGGTGCTGTAGAATAGGAAAGCGAGGCCCATTCGCTGGCTGATGGGACATTGCGATGTCTGTGTCGAGGTAAAATCGTATGCAGCAGGGAGATTCATGAACCATGAATCAATTTCAAGCATCAGGCTCTTGATGGTAAACTCAGTGCTTGCCCATGGGGACTGTAGCGCTTCCGGGCTGTAGAGTTTCACGGTCATCCTCTTGGAAATGCTGGTCAAAGAGGCCAACTGCAGGAAGTAAAGTGAAGTGCAAGGCGGAAGGCTCTTGAGATACTCGGCTCGGCTCATTTTTGTCTCGTTTTCAGCAGGCAAATCGTTCGAATCAGAATCAGCTGTTGACTCTAGGTCCTCTGCGCTGCTGTTGGCGGGAATCCGCTCGGAACCACTGGATGTACGGAGTACAGCTGTGCCTATGAGCCGGGCCACCTCGTCTTTTTGGAAATCACTCTCATCAAAAGGCACAGGCATTGGTGTGGTGCAAGAGCTGTCAATGATACATGAAGGACGCCCAGTCATGATAGTAAGTAGATGATCCAGAGTATACAACGACCACCACACCCGATAGCGTATCTCCTTGGATGTGTCGGATATGCTCGCACCCACGTTGCGCAAATGCAATCCAAGAGCCAGTGCTCCTCGGACTGCACTTCCGGAAAGTTTCCAGGCCCTGCAAAAATCAACATCGTGAATATATCATTGGAAGAGGTGCATTTTAGACTGTCAACATACCGATTAATATGTCCCGATGCAATTAGATAGAATGAAGTAAGCCCCTCGACTTGCAACTGCTGTAGATCAGGATGGTGGAGAATCTGATCTTCCAAACTCAAGGCCCGCGCCCTTGAGAAGTACATTTGATGGTCATCATCTTCTTCATTCCAGTCTGAGTTTGTCAATTGTCCATATTTAGCCGCAATGGCAAAGATCAAATTGAGTATGGCGAGCCACTTGTTTCCAGGCTTGAGAGACGGCTGACTGAAGAAGACCTGGAATTGGGGAACAAAAGTCGAAACCCCAATTATTGGGAAGGAAGGGTGCACCGATGTCAGATAGGCATTCAGCATTTTGCCTGCCATCTCACGCGATGGGACTCCATACATATCACTTTGATCTGCAGTTGGAATATCCAGATCATCGAGGTAATAATTGGAAGCCACTACCCATGGCTCGCTTGGATTCTCCGGTCGAGGCGTCAAAGTTGGAGAGGGCAGGCCGTTATCGTCGTCTGTGTTGGGAATAGTTGCAGGCCAGGCCTCACATTCGCTGTTGACCTCTTTGCTAAGCCTTTGGAGCCAAGTAATCTCAGAACTTTTTCCAATGAAACCCGTCGCTCGCGCAGTTTCATCTCTGTTAAAGTCCTCTTCTGTCTGGTCGCCAGATTCCAGAGGACTAACGGATGATGCTCGGGAGGGTGGTGGTTCAGAGCCCGTATGCCATGAAATTCTTCGTTCTCCAGCTGCTGCAAGGCAAGTTTCTGGGTTGAATGCCAAATCAGGGGCCGATTCCTGGTTGGTATTAGATAACATGGTTATCGGATGTGGATCAAACTTCATACCGCCGCCAGAGCAATGTTCACGAGTTGCTCATCAGAGACGCCAAACCGATTGCTTAGCTTGCTAATGACATCTTCGTATGCCTGCACCTTTGCGGACAAGCTTGCCAATTGTCTTTTTTAATTAGTCGTAGACGTCAGCTCTTGGAATAACGCCGGCGTGTTTTTATATTGGTCCTGCTTACCGTTTGGACTTCTCCCTTTTGCCATCGGTGTAGCAGCAGATGATTCCAGCTTCTCGACAATTGCGGCATCCGGATTTGTCTCCGGTGCATTTCGTCTTCCGTTGTCTACAAGACTCGCATGCTCGACGGACATGTCGACGATGAAATCTACCAGGAGATGTGAAGGCAGATTCAGCTCCTTCCGCTAGCCGGGGGATGGCCATTTTCTTGGTGCCCACTTCAGTATCACCTCGTTGAAGATGAGGAACCGGGTTATCCTATAGATTCCTTATCAGATATAAGTTCTTGGCTTAAAGTGATCATGATTTCACACTTACCACACTGGACAACTGATTACACGTATCTGCATCAGCACACGATAATTTGAAGAGGCTCTGTTGATCATTCCACGAGGGAAATGGAATATTACTCATGGTGAACCACAGAAGGATATGATCACTGAAAGCTGTTTTTACTAAATGTCAATGGAACCCATAAATGCATCTTCATTCTCTACTTACTTGAAGTAAGTTGGGGCTGGGTAGTATATCGGACCCCAAAAGCTGTTGATATATATTGAAATGACAATACCAGCAACCACTTATTGCCGTGAGATCTGTCAAGTCAAATAATTCAATGGTTTGAGACAAGAAGGAGGTCATTGGATTTTATAAAAGACCCCAGAATTTGACCCACGAGAAGCATAGATCGGGAAAGGATGAAAGAAAATGAGGTTCGGGCTTCGGGCACCGTTGGGAATCGTGAGCTGGTCAAGCTAGATACTCTGTGATGACATCCAATGCTCGTTTAGGGTAATGATTAAACGCGTACCATTGGCCACCCGTTCGCCAGATAAGGAATAGCTGTGTGCGGGTTAGCCTCAAGTCTCCTTGTAGGGCATGGGGCGAAAGTTCAACGTTTTCATGAGCAAAACAACTTCTTTTGGTTATTGATCACGCTATTTGCCATCAACCAAACAGCCTATGTATTTGATCAGTCCAGAGAACCTGAGGTATTGGCTTAACCGACAGACTATCTCCCCCGGTGATCCATTTTTTTGACAGGCTCAGCTTTCGGTTGTTGGTACCGGCTGGCTCTGGACTCCGATGCAGCGACCAAGGGTCATGGATATAGGATTCAAGAAGAGAATGCCCCGGCATAAGCTTCGACGTAGTCGGCTTACCTTTAGCCACAGGGCTATTCTTGAAGCTCTGAATTGTGCGTTTCAATAAGCCCATGAACAACACTGGAGTTCTGCAGTCTCGAATCAGCCACCTTTCACAATAGGAATATGAAAACTTCCTCGCCGGATCAGCAATAAATAGCTCTCAAGTGTCCAGTGGCCCAGACCCGGGACTTCGAAGTCAATCTGACGTTAGATTGTGGCGGCACCGACTTTGCAGTGGTTCGTCCCTGGTTGGCATTCAGGCCAGGACCACCTCATTCGGAAAAAGGATGATAATCCCCAAGGGGGAAAAGCTTGACGGCAATTCTCACCAATATCTCCCGTCTTGATGTCTTGAGTTAATTTGCGACACAAAGCCCATAATCCTGACGTTTCATTACGTTCAGATGATTGAACCTTGTGGGCCTAATGGCCTTGTTTGTCAGGCCCCAACCTCTAATAGTTAGTTAACCTAGAATATGTTTCGAGGTTATATTGTAAGAGAAAGAAGTCAAAAAAAGAATCAAATAAGTCATTGGCTTAACACGATCTTGGTAATTAAAGAACACCACAATCCGAACATCATTAGGAACTCTATACAGTAGTCCAAGCCCATTTTTACTCAATGAGGTAGTTCTCCGCAACACTTCGGATATCTTTCGAGAACGCAACCTCCTCGCCCTCCATCTCCAGTAGAGAAACACTGTTAATGTCGACATCCACGAAAGGCTTAGTCTTTGTGAAGCGGACACTCATCGGGAAGAACTCGTTCTCATCAGCATCAATCGCCTCGAACTCAAAGCTGCCAGAGGCGTTTGACTCATCAACAGTGCCTAGGTTCCAGTCCAGACTGTCACCGGAGACCTCGTAGACCGCATCAAAGCTGGATACAGCAGGCTCCGTCGTGCCATATGGAATAGTAACAACCACATCACGGAGACTGTCATCACCGGTGAGCTCATACTCCACGGTCACGGTGGTGGAATCAGAACCCTTGTTTACCCAAACGGTGAAAGTGATAGGCAGAATATCGGCATTGTCAGCCGAGCTGGCAACGCGCCACCGGAGCACGCCGATAGAGTTGTTAGCGGGGAAGCGCTTAGTAGTATCCTTCAATTGAATCGCGGAAGAGTTGGTGAAGAGGGCCTTGTCGACATTGGGGTGGGTGCGGAACTGTGCGCCATGTGTGGGAATAGCCTGGCAGTCGAGTCGGAGTTTGGTGAGCGAGGGGTCGGTGATACGGAGTTGCATATCACCCTTAACCTCAAAAGACTTCAAGGCTCCCTCCCTAGTAAGCGTGGCTGAGATGGTCTCGGCGATTGTGAGTTGAATAGGTTCCCGGTCTGCACTGATAGACTCGCGGGCCGAGGGGATGTCGTGCACCGGGGCCGAAGCTTGTGGAGCCACCAGTGGACTCTCCTCCTCGATTTCGGGTCCCATATCACCCCGGACCTTCTCGTAGATATCCGTTGCCTTTGATTTCTTGCCCAGCTGCATGCCCTTGCCGCGAGTGGGAAGGGGCCTAGTGATTATGCAGTTAGTAAAGGTCGCGCAACGGATAAACCAGGAATCAGCAAAACGCACTTGGCAAAGGACTGTTTCTTCTCGGCCTCGTATGAATCATATGTGTCAGACACAGAGGGGCGCGCTGGTGGTGTGTAGACGGGGTAGGACGGAGTTCTTGCGGCCGCGGCACGACCTGTTCGAGCAACCTCTTTGCGTTGCATTTCCAGCTGCTTTGCTTTCCTCTTGCGCTCCTCGGTGGCCTCCAGCTCTTTGTTCTATCAATGTATGTCAGCCAAGAACTAACCTCGCCGTGGATTTCACAACATACCCGCTCAATGATCTCCTGGATTCTCTCTTCATGACTCTCCATTTCCAGGAAAGTCTTGATTTGAGAGAGAGAAAGATTCTCCCGGTATCCCATGGTCACCAACTCATCAAACGCACTCAGGAGTTCAAAGGCATTGCGAAGAATCTCCCGCTCGTCCAGGCTCTTGCAGATGCTGGTGGTGACTTGCGCAAAGAGATGGAGACTGTCGATATCTTGGAGGATGTTTGATTGACGGTTAGTGATCAGCACGATGTACATCTCGTCCAATGGCTGATAGACGAAGCGCACGTTGTCTTGCTCAACGGTGGTATGCTGGGTTCCGGAATCCGCTAGCTTGGGAAAGGAGGCGAGAAGGGCTTCAATTCGGGACCGAGATATTTCCCGGAACTGGCGCGAGAGGACCGCTTTACCTCCGCGGGTGCATATCGACGCTGCGAGAACGACCTGTTGTGTGTTGATTAGTGTAATTCCCCCGCGAATTGGATTGAACAAACGCTTACCATAGTGAATAGCAGCACAAAAGGGACACACAAATGGCAATAAAAGAGTGATTAGAGAATAGGTATAGAAAAAGTTAGAGAAGTGTAGGGTTGTCCAGAAGTGTATGCCCTGATGTTGATTGTTAGAAGCGGTAGGGAGCTACTCTGTTCACTTCGGCGGTTGGCCCGTGCATTCCTTTCGCTTAGTCGTCGACCAGACACTTTCTCTTCTCTTCATCTTTTTCTCACGCGTTGAATACACTCCACCAACACTTAGTTCATCGTTTTTCTTACTCTTACCTGTAGCCCTTCGCTCTGGGTATCGCTGAGGAACTTGCTGTTTTTTCATTTAACCCTCACTTCAACCGCTTTCATGGAACATCATTGCTGAACTTTCCAATACTACCTACGACCCTCAGTACACATCTTTACGCGTTTCTTGATATGACAACAGCTCCCTTGATTGCATATTCCACAATGGACATCCCAGCTACGGGTGATTCTATGGAGATGGCCTCGCCCTATCAGGGGCAGGCTGACGATTTTGACATCGACATCGACCTCATGGAGGACAATGTCTCGAACATGGACAGTGATATGATGGGTGCAGATGATTTTACAACTACTTCTCAGCCGAACGAAATGAACAATGACGCGATCTACGATGCCGACATGGCCGATGAACCCTCCGAAGGGTCGATGATCGACGCTGACAACTACGCTGATGAAGACAACGATATTGACGTGCAGTTTGAGGAAGAGCCATATGAAGAAGAAATGATTGAAACTGATCAGGCCGAGGACGTCAATATTGCCGCCCCTGTCATTCATCTTGAACCTGCGGGCAGCAATGAAGATGCCGCCAGTCCTATTAAGGAAGATGTCATAATCGCACCCGCGGAACCCCTCGAAGCAACACCTCAAGGCCCAAGCGGCTCTGTGGAACCTACCTCCGCTCAAGACGAAGCCCAGCCCTCCGGAGCTGAGGGCCCGGACACTCAGGCTCAACTGAGCACGGCTACTGATGACCTTGCCGAGGAAACATCCGAAAACGTCATCGGCCCCGAAACCGGCGGTCGTCATGTAAAGGCAGATGTTGGTGAAGAGGCTAACAAAATATCACAATCTTCTGTGTCAGAGACTGAGGTACCCCAAGATGCCAATGAAGGCCTAGACACCAGTGAAATCAAACCCTCCGCCGAAGATTCCCGCGGTGACGCCGCTGTGCACCCAGAGGCACAGCCTGTGTCTGAGGACAATCACCAAGAGGCAGATAAGGACGAATCTCAACACGCCCCATACATAGATGAACCTCTTCATCCAGTGAAAATATTCTACCAGGACTGCGAGATCGCTCTGTTCCCTCCCCTTGAGGGAGATCTGTCGGATACATTCTTTATTGAAGATGAAGGTTTGGCTTACGACAACATTGGTCAAATATTCAAGGCTCTGCGCCAGGTGCTCCAGAGAACCATGACAGGCAATGAGGTCTTGATCATCGATATTGACACCCTTGGTATTCAAATGACAGAGGTAAGAACCCTCTCAATAGTCCCTCGCCGTCACACATACTAACTCATCCTCTTAGGACTCATTCCATACATCTCAAGTAACCTTACATCAGGTCCTAGATCTTTACCTTAGACTTTGTCGTAACGATGGCATTACCGAGCCCGATGCCCTTTACCTTACACTGAGCACAAAGCGTGCGTTCCCGGCTGAAATTGCGGATCTCAATGATGCCGCAATCGACGGCAAAAAGCTTTCCGAACTTCATGCCGAAATTCAGTCATGGGATGAATATGATGAAGCCGAGCCAGGGTCTGCGGATGATCTTGACGCCCATGAGCCGGAAGAGCAAGAAGATGAAGTCTATTACACCACTGAGGCCCAGAAGGAGACTTCGACTGCAGAAGTGCAGACGGCTCCAGGGCCCGAAGGCGAACAGGCGCTAGATAATCAACAGTCTCAGGTACAGCCCGAGGTTGTCTCTGACGCCCAATCGGAGATCGTGCATGCGCAGCATGAGCATAGATCTATCTCCAGTGAGCAGAGTGCCGAGGCTGCACCTGAGTCTGAATCCCATCCAGCCCAGTCCGAGAGCAAAGAGCTAGACCACCCTGATGTGTCTCCCCAGCTCGAAAGAGGCGAAGACCAAGATCAAGAACACGATGATGGCCATGGTGATATGAACGAAGAGCACTATGATTCCGAGGGCCCGCTAAGTGATTCCACCGCCACAGTAGCTGCACCGCCTGGTGCAAGCGAGGTCAAAGAGCATACCCAGCATGTCTCTCTGGAAGTTGCTGCGGATGCTGGCACACATCCAAACGACGAGGAGGACTATTACGAAGAGGACCACGAGAACGATGATCTGGGAACCGAAGAATATTACGAGCATGAAGATATTGGCTCGGTCGATGATTCAGAAGCTATCCAAAGAGATATCACTGGCAGTGAAAATGCTGATGCTGATGCTCAAAAACCAGCTGATCATGCGTCTGTCCTTGATGAGGAGGACATAGATGAGTTAGATGCCCCGCCGACAGACGAAATTGTCTCGGAGATTCTTCAGCAGGATGCTACAGACCACCCTTCCTATGACCAGCCTGCGCCGCCACGTGACAACGGCTTGCAAGACGCCGCTGAGAAGAAGGAGCAAACACCAGAGCCCACAGATGATTTACTTGGAATCGCTGTAGACCTGATGCAGACTCCGAGAGATACGGAGAACGATGCCCATGATCACTTCGAGGGCATAGACTACGACGAGCCTGAGGATGAAGTTGATGCTCATGTTTCAGCTGATGAGGGTGTGGAGGATCATGAGCTTGACGAGAACCATTTTGGCGACTATGACAGCCATTTTGAAGAATCGGAGGCTGTAGAGCTGGTTGGAACAGACCCTTCCTTGACAGACCCCCAATCCAACCAGATCCCGTCTACCAAACGGTCTCGCGAAGATGAAGATGACTGGGACGTGGTGGACACTACTGTTGACACCAAACGTCGCCGCTCTTCGTAAACCGCGTTTCCACCTTCTTTCACCCCTGGAACGGTTTCCACAATTTCTCCCATTCGTCATGCCTGGTGTCCATTGAGCCCCTTGGCTCGTTCCACGCGACTATTACCCTCCACCCTACTAATCATATTTGCCAGCAACGACCTCGACCGATAGATGGCAGTGTCTCGTTCGACTACTAACACGAAACAGGTATGTTCGACCCCTTTCCCCAGCACGCGCATGCTCTCAACTTGGGACATGCGCTTTCTCTTTTTTCCATCTGGATCAAACCCCAGCTGCTCTCGACGCATTCAATTACCCATCTATCCTTGCGCTCTTACTTTGTTTGACTCTTTTCCCATTGCGATTCGAGATACCACGGCTTTTGGCCAAAAAAAAATCTTTGCTCGGTGTTGAGGGGGGCGTGTTTTTCCATGCATCTTCCTCCGGATCTGGCGTATCGGCGCGATGGGTTAGGCCACGTGTTTGTAGTATCCTCAATTTTTTATTCAACATGCTTCTGCTATCTCCAGTACTTCTTCATTTTCTCTTGTATTTCTCATTAAATCAGAAAGGATCAGTCCAATCTCATATCCCTTGTACCCCCAGATTTCAAATCGCTCGTTTCGCTTATACAATGGGGGTACAAAGGGGAAACATCCCGGGGATAGCGGATCGGGTGGTAGGCTAGATGTTTTGCAAGGTATACATGTACAATGTACAACTTATGTACGGAGCAATTTTATACTCAGATTAATAACTTGGCCAGAATGTCAGTGGGCCCAAATTGAAGTCTCTGGGGATTCCAGGCTAAGTATAGAAATGCCGCATTCGGTTGGAGCTGAAACGCCGGTCTTGGCTTCATTTCAGGGTCTATTTTGAATATTTATTTTCATAGAGTATGTGTATTATCAGTGTATATGTTGTATGTTGAAAGATCAGACTGTTAGATATAGTGACACATAATAGTGTAATAGTCCAATGCCTTGATGCCACCTATCAGATCTATCTACATTGTAGCATTCTTAAATTAACCAGGGATTAAAATTAAAATATTACCTAAACCTCGGTCCTTGACAAGTCCCAAGCCTCCCCCAAGCCCAAGCCGTTCTCTTACGCGTCCCCCGATCGGGCTTGAAACGGAACCCCACCGCACGCATCTTCTGGCCTGTGGCTTCTTCTAGCCATCTTCATCCTCCTTACTCATCAGATACTCACGCTGGCTCGTCTTTCTATCTCCCTTGATTTCTGTCCCGTTATCATCTCGATCCCTTCCTTCGCTCACGGTCTCTCTCATTCCCCCATCAATTGCCGGCACTGGAGGTCTTTCGACAGTAGGAGCACTCGGCTCCTAATAGAGGAATAACGTCAATATGATTCCAGATAAGTATGGCTGCCTTAAATCTGGGCAAGTTGGCCGGCTCTAACATGGTTGCGCGCTGCGCCCCTGCAGATATGTCGGGCTTATCTTAGCCATTGTATCTACCATGGCCATCGGAACGAGTTTTGTTATCACCAAAAAGGTTGGTATGCCATGAATCCTTAGAAACGAGCGATTGGATCCCGGGCGCCGAACACCGCGACGGTTCGGTCCACAATCATCGGAGCGAAACCGCTAATACATCTGAATATAGGGTTTGATGCAAGCCAGCGAACGACATGGGTTCGAGGGCGAAGGATTCTCATACTTGAAGAGTCCTGTCTGGTGGGGTGGTATAGTGACACGTACGAAATCCAATGGCTTAGATTTAGTATTCGGGGGATGCTAACAGATTCATAGTGGCTCTTGGAGAAGTCGCCAACTTCGCTGCTTACGCCTTTGCGCCTGCCATCCTGGTTACCCCCTTGGTGCGCTGAGTGTGTTGATCGGGTAAGGGTCTCTCAATGGCGTGCATAAACTCATGGCTAACATGACATAGGGCGGTCCTGAGTTCGTACTTCCTCAACGAGATACTTGGTGTATTAGGAAAATTGGGCTGTGCGCTGTGCTTGCTGGGTTCGGTCGTCATCGTTCTCCATGCGCCTCCCGACAAGCAGGTAGAGACAGTCGATGAGATTTTGGCATATGCCGTTCAGCCAGGTAAAACTTGATCGTGCCCGCCCCAAATCCACCGCTGACTTTGCGACCAGGATTCCTATTCTACTGTATCACAGTTGCGATCTTTTCGACTGTGATGATCTACCGGGTTGCGCCAGTCTATGGCAAGAAGAACCCGCTCATCTACATCTCGATTTGCTCCACTGTTGGATCGGTTTCCGTTATGTCCGTCAAGGCCTTTGGCATTGCAGTGAAATTGACCTTCAATCACAACAACCAATTCGTCCACGCATCCACCTACGTCTTTGCCATTGTGACGTTGTTCTGCATTCTGACACAGATGAACTACTTCAACAAGGCATTGAACTCTTTCTCGACTTCGATGTGAGTATAGGCATCAATCAATAAAAAGGTGTGAAGCTAACATGATTCCTTCGATAGCGTGAACCCCCTTTACTATGTCACCTTCACCACCGCGACCCTCTGTGCCTCGTTCATTCTTTTCAAGGGATTCAACACCACCGACGCCGTCAATACCATATCTCTACTTTGTGGATTCCTTATCATCTTCACCGGCGTGTACCTCTTGAACCTCTCGCGACATGACCCCGATGGACACTCCATGGTGAATTCCAAGCTTGACGAGGATGGAGTTCCAACAGATGGCTTGACGAGCTTCCAGACCCGGCGCTCAATGCAGTCCCGCCGGAGCTCCTCGAGCGCATATTTCAATGGAGCCAGCGACCGCGAAGGCCTCATCCACGCATATGACGCAGAGCACGGGATCGGCATGAACACCTTGAGTGAAGCAAATGAAGGGGAGCCAGGTCCGACATTCCCGACCGAAACACAGACTGCAATGCACACCAAGCAGAACAGTCAGATCTGATGTAAGGTCTGATTCCACCGTCGAGGTCGTTGCAGTGATTCCTTCTCTACACATTCGACTGCAAGCTTCCTTTCCATAGGCTTGATCTCCACTTGTATTTTTACTGTTCCCCGAAAATGCTCGAATTGCATTGAAACATGGGCGAACTCATCAGGCACTGGACATGTCTGTATGAACGACTGAATATGACTCTGGGTTTCTCTGGATGGTTGCGATATGTTTCTGATTTTGTTTTCTTTTTTTCTTCTCTATCTGGGCAAGATACTTGTATATAGTTCAAGTTGGAATTTTGAATAGAACGCATCTGGGGTGGGGCTAGACCGATGATGTATTTGCAGGTCAGCTGTTATGGACACCCGAGATTCTTGCTTTTTCAATTTCATCTTTTACCTACTCTTTAATGACAGTCCTTTGGGCCTAGAGGAATCTTCTACGCGGGGAACTTTGCGCAATGCCCGCTTTATTGCGCAAATTGGCCATCGTTGCCGCGGTCGACGGTTTAGTCCTACATGCCCAAGCCAACGGACCACGAAACGCCGGTAGCAATAATGAAGCGTCCTCTATTCGCATCGACTATAAGACCAACAAAATCACTGCGTTGCCTACTTCTGCTGCGGAGTCCCTCGACCGAAAGGACGCCCTAGAGGCCTACGGTCTCGTAGGTATGTTGATGAACTAACTAGAAGTTGAGAAGAAAGAAACTAATACCAGGGAATTTGCTGCCGCAGGTCTCTTATCTGTCGCTTCGTATTCATTTCTCGTTTCCATCACACAGCGCGAGCAAGTAGCGCAGATCCAAGGCCGCCCGATCTACGCCGTAACCAACGTCGCAATCATTCCAGTTTCATCCCAAGCAGATGCTTCCCGCGCAATCACACACGCCAGGAAAGAATCTTCGCAGAAGGAAGTCACCATTGAATCTTCCTCCGACGAAGATGACCTCCCCGACAACGAAACCGACAGAGCCGAGGCGGAGGCGGAGATCGGCAGCCTGCCCGCATCACCTACTCGCGATACGTCTCACGCCCGCGGCACCAGTGTTGGCAGTATCGCAGAAGATGTCATCGCGAAGAAAGTCCGCTTCGGCAGATTTGCTGCCAATTGGCTGTCGCGGAAAAACCTGGGCTTGCCCAGGCCAGGAGCTCTAGAGGAGGACGCGACAGGGTCTCCCTTGGACGAGGCTGCTAGCCCTTCGGATGATCCCAGTGAGGCAAAGGTCGAAGCTCTGGATAAAGCTTTGGCTGGAGAGGCTGGGTCTCAGAGCGAGCCTGATCGGCCTAGCCAGGCTACGGACTTGTTGCCAAAATTGCTGCGCTATACGAAGCTATTGTTTGCATCGCATAATTTTTTCTTTGCATACGATTATGACCTTACGCGCTCTGTACATATGCAGGAAGCTCGGAGAGATCAGCTTCCCCTCCACAAAGTTGTGGATCCATTGGTATGCACAAATCGAGGGCTCGTAGTATAATTTCTGTGGAGCTTGCTGACTCGTTGGCAGTATTTTTGGAATAGGCATTTGATGAACATATTCATTGATAATGGGGCTCATGGCTTCGTTCTGCCGTTGATTCAAGGCTTTGTCGGTCAACGAGAGTTCACAATCGCTGGTGCTGAAAAGAAACAATTCTCGGAGGATCCAGTGGAACTCGCAGAAGGCCGAATCCTCGGTGAAAAAAACGAAGCCGAACCTGTCGAGACTAATGCCAGCAAACGTGATTATCTTTTAACTCTGGTTTCTCGGCGCTCTGTCAAACGACCAGGTCTTCGTTACCTGCGCCGTGGTGTCGATGATGAGGGCAACACAGCAAACACAGTCGAAACCGAACAGATTCTCTCGGTTCCTGATTGGGCTCCGTCTCACCCTGCCTACTCATATCTGCAAGTGCGAGGCTCTATTCCTCTTTATTTCTCTCAATCGCCATATGCCTTGAAGCCAGTTCCAGTACTCCATCACTCTGCGGACACGAATCTCCTTGCCTTTGGTAGACACTTCCGAGAGTTCAGTCGGCGATATGGAAATGTTCAGGCTGTCTCTCTTATTGACAAGCTGGCAGGTGAATTGAAGCTAGGAGAGCAATATGAGCGATACACCCAGGCCTTTAATGCCGCCGGTGGGATCGATGGTAAGCCATTGCAACTTGAATGGTTTGACTTCCATCGAGAGTGCCGGGGCATGAAGTTTGAAAATGTATCTCGCCTGGTCGACCGACTGAAAGATACATTGAATGAGTTCTGCTACACCATCATTGCAGACAACGATATCTTGCAGACCCAGAAGGGCATCATCAGAACAAATTGCATGGACTGTCTCGACCGCACTGGTGTTGCCCAGTGTGCATTCGGCCAATGGGCTCTCGAGCGTCAACTGGAAAACGAAGGCATTGACATTGATCTTGGCGGTGACTCTTCCACCCAATGGTTCAATACACTCTGGGCGGACAATGGCGATGCCATCTCCAAGCAGTACTCATCTACCGCAGCTCTGAAGGGGGACTACACCCGTACACGCAAGCGAGACTATAGAGGCGCCCTCAACGATTTAGGACTGACACTTTCCCGCTACTACAACAACATCGTAAATGACTTCTTCTCTCAGGCCTGTATCGACTACCTCCAAGGCAACGTCTCAACCCGAGTCTTCGACGAGTTCGCCATCCAGCTCCAAACCACCGATCCAGGGATCTCAGTCCAAAAGCTCCGTCAGAACGCCATTGACACAAGCTGCAATATCGTTATCAGTAGCCCCTCTGAAGAATTCCTAGGCGGTTGGACCATGCTGACACCTCGCCAACCCAACACCCTTCGTACCCTGCCCTTTGAGGAAACAGTCCTTCTCCTTACCGACGCCGCAGTATACAGCTGCCGCTTCGACTGGGAGACGGACAAAGTCCTGTCCTTTGAGCGCATCGATCTCCGCTCCATCTCGCGCATCCACTACGGTACATACATCACATCTATATTGACAGATAGCCAAGCCGACGAAGCGACCAACGTCGGTCTCGTAATAGTCTATCGTGACGGCGATACAAACACCCTGCGCGTGAATACCCGATCCCTGCAGAGCGATGTTCACCTCAGCTCGCTCGAGACCACCGCTAGCGCCAACAGTGAATGGGACCTTGTTTCCTGGCTGCGGGGTAGCAAGCGTGCGACGACACGGTTCGTCGCATTCAAGGGTATCCCACTGTCGAACGCGGTTGCTAGTCCGCGGCTGGGCAGTGCCGGGACTGTTCGGGAGGTGGATCGCATTCGCTCGGTCTGTCTGGATATCGAGCGTGCGATGTTTGCGGGTCAGGGGAGTCACGTTGAGGCGGGCTCTGCGGTTGAACAGTCAGATATCATCTCTTTGGCGGATGCTAAGAAAAGGACCGGGTGGTTGGAATATCTTGTTTATGATCTTAAGAAGATGGTTTGGGCGTGATTTCATCTGCGATGTCGAGACTTTTCTGTTTATATGAACTTTCACTGTCATCTTACAGATTGGCCGTACGTGATCACTGACATCTTTACTGACTTTTTTTTTGCATATAGTCATCTTTCGATAGGCATCTTGTTGGTACTGAACTCTACATAGTACTGAGTGTTTTGTAACTATCATCAATTCTGAGATAGGATATGGGTCTCACATGTGATAGAAGACAAATGAAATGAAATGTTCTTACTCTGTACCCACTGTGTAATGGTATTAAGAGTAAAGTGTGGGATATAGGGAGTGTATAGTCGTGGAACAAACCCTTGCGTCCGGGGAAGTCACTCCCATGTATCTTGGGAATATTGTCGCTGTGATTCCCATTCCAATTTTTCCATCGTGACTTTCCTCTACCTGTCCAACTTGAGCAGATTAGGAGCGTCCGGTCAAGTCATTCCTATGTATCTTGGGAATACTTTCGCGGTGGCTCTCCGCGCTTTCTTTCCATCGTGACCTTCCACTACCTCTCCCCAACTTCGGACTTCAACTTTCCATCTACACACAACCGTCATTGTCTATGATACCTTTATCACTAACACATTTTACAGATAAATATACTCTGAAATGCGAGACTTTCTCTTATACCCTTGGACTTCATCCCCAAGTGACTGACCGCCTACCGTTTTCAACAGACTCTTTTTTTCTGCCTGCAGCACATACACCCCTCAGTCTGAGATCGTCCCGGGACAACTTTATTGGATTCTGACCTTATTCATGCAAAATTTCTTTGGCCAATTACTTTCCCTCTCATTTCTGGATCTGCCTTAGCGGATCGGAGATTTAGGCCTTTCCTTGATCTGGGGAAACGAAGGGGGCCCGTTCCCACATTCTCGGCGGGGCTCCTGTGCTACTCGCACTTTCGACTAACCTCTGTCGCATCGAGTCTGTTCACTAGGACAAGATGAATTGGCAACCTCAGCAAGAGCCATTGAGGCAGTTGGCTCGCTACCTTCGCGATTCGCTCAATGGAGCTAACCTTCCCGCCCGAGCAGAGGCTGAACAGGTATTTCTTTTCCCTTTTTTTTGTCCTCATTGAGCTTCCTCTCAACGGTGGTCGCCGCAAATGCACTACCACAAGATGAAAACTGACCTTGGTTTTTTCTTATTAACAGATGCTCGCACAAGCCACCTCTTCTCCTGATTACGTCAATTACATCACCTACATTTTTTCCAATCCGCAAGCTGCTTCCCTGGCAGCGATTAACGAGAATGAATACCCTACTGTTCGGTTTGCCGCCGCTGTGAACGTCAAGACGAAAATTGCCCTTGCTTACAGCACGATCTCCCCTCAAAGCTTGGATTTCATCAAGTCCGCATCTCTGGTCACACTCCGCGATACCGACCGCAATGTCTCCAGGGCTGCCGGTAACATCATCACCGCAATGGTGCTTCATGGAGGTCTCTTGTCCTGGCCTGAGATTGTCAACGAGCTACTGACTACTGTCGCTAATGCCAACGGAGATGTCCCCATGTCGGCTAGGGAAGCTGCAATGGATACATTGTACAAGGTCTGCGAGGACAACCGCAAGGTTCTGGATCGTGACTATCAGGGCCAGCGTCCCCTGGATGTCATCATTCCCAGCTTGCTGCAATTCGTTACGGTCGATAACTCGCGCATTCGGATTGCTTCGCTGAATGCCATCCATGTTTTCTTGCCGTTCAAACCCCAGGCATTGATGGCCTCGCTCGACCAATTCCTTTCGCAGTTGTTCAGAATTGCCGGTGATGAAAACACCAGAGTCCGACAAATGGTCTGTCAGTCGTTTTCCCAACTCGTTGAGACTGCGCCGGAAAAGTTGGCCCCGCATATGGAAGGATTGGTCAACTACATCATTATGCAGCAGCAGTCCCAGGAGGACCCGGAGCTTGCACTTGACGCCGCCGAGTTTTGGATTGGTGCTGGAGAGCAAGAGTTATTGCAGGCCGAATTGGCTCCCTACATGCACAAGATTATTCCGGTTCTTCTGCAAAACATGATCTACGACAAGGACGAAGTGGCCAGACTTATGGAGGAGCAAGATGATGCCGACGCCGAGGACCGCGCCGAGGACCTAAAGCCGCAGTTTGCCAAATCGAAGGCTGATCGTCTGAACATGTCCAAGTCAGGTGAACAACCGGACTCTCGCGCTCTCGAGCAACAGGTAGAGGAGATTGATGATGATGATTTAAGCGAAGGTGAAATTGAGGACTCGGAATTCGGAGACGACCCCTCAGGTAACTGGACTTTGCGCAAGTGCTCTGCTGCTGCGCTTGATATTTTCTCCACCGTTTACCACCGTCCTGTCTTTGAAATCCTTCTGCCGTATCTGATGGAAACCTTGCGCCATCAGGAGTGGCCGAACCGAGAGGCTGCTGTTCTTACACTTGGTGCAGTGGCGGATGGCTGTATGGAGGCCATCACTCCTCATCTCCCAGAATTGGTCCCTTACCTGATCTCGCTCCTCAATGATGCCCAGCCTGTTGTGCGACAGATTACTTGTTGGTGCTTAGCCCGCTATTCTGGTTGGGCCGCCCACCTCCCCGACCCAGCTCAGAAAGCCCAATTCTTTGAGCCCATGATGGAAGGTATTCTCCATCGCATGTTGGACAACAACAAGAAGGTCCAAGAAGCTGCCGCGTCAGCATTTGCTAGCCTGGAGGAGAAGTCGGAGGAGAACCTAGCGCCCTACTGCGAGCCTATCTTGCGCCAGTTCGTGGCGTGCTTCAATAAGTACAAAGACCGAAATATGTACATCCTTTATGACTGCGTACAGACGCTTGCCGAATGTGTTATGGGCGAGCTGGCAAGGCCGCATCTCATCGAGATATTGATGCCTGCCCTCATCGGTCGCTATAACTACATTTCCGATGATTCCCGAGAGCTCTTCCCGCTGCTTGAATGTCTCGGATACATATCTGCAGCCTATGGCGATTCCTTTGCCCAATTCGCGCCGCCTCTTTTCGGTCGCTGCATCAAGATCATCTACGGCAACCTGCAAGCTTCTATTCAACCGACACATCCCGCGGCCGACGAGCCGGACAAGGACTTCCTTGTTACTAGCATTGATCTTCTTAGCGCCATCATCCAGGCCATCGACCCACAAAAGAGCGGCGAGCTCGTGGGTAATTCACAGCCATCGTTCTTCGAGCTCCTTCGTTACTGCATGGAGGATGAAAACTATGAAGTCCGTCAATCCACATATGCTCTGCTGGGAGACTGCGCCATCAGCATCTTCCCTCACTTGGAGCCATACCTTCCTACCCTTATGTCTGTCTTGATCAAGCAACTTGACTTGGACCTGATTCGCGACGACGATCGTCATACCGGCTTCAGTGTTCTGAACAACGCCTGTTGGTCGTGCGGCGAGATCGCCGTCCACGAGAACGCCCCGCTTGCCCCCTATTCGGAGCAACTGTACCACGGGCTCTTTACGATTATCACTAACGAGGAAATCATCGATTCAGTGAACGAAAATGCTGCGATGGCGTTGGGACGACTGGGATTCTGCTGTGCGGACCAGATTGCGGCCCATTTGAGCGAGTTTTCCGAGCCTTTCCTGAAGTCAATGGACAAGATTGATTTCACGCGTGAAAAGGCTTCCGCTTTCCTCGGGTTCAACCAGATTGTGATGAAGAACCCCCAGGCCATGGAGTCGAGCCTGCTCGAATACTTCCAGGCAATTGCTTCGTTCCCCACCCGCTCACTGGCACAGGAAGAGTACCGGGATATCCAGGCATCCTTCCAGCAGGTAAGATCATTTTCCCTTGATTCTGAGTAATATCCTACTAATCAATATGTATAACTTTAGGTCCTCCAGGGATACAAGAGCTTGATCCCTGACTTTAGCAACTTCCTTGGCCAGCTACCCCCGGCTGTAGCCCAGACACTACGCACCGTGTACCAGGTCTAAGTTGAGAACTTGATGATCTCTGCTTAGACATTGGTCACCGGGACGTCACTTGACGTTTACTCCTGTCTCAAATCGGGCCGGGATTGGGTTGGAGGGAGGAAGACGTGGGAAGGATCAGTACATAGGGGGTCAGCGGCCGGACTTTCACGTTAATAGAAAGAGGAGGGAAAAAGGGGAACATGATCATGGGAAGGAGCATCTGCGATTTAGCTGTTTTTCTTACGTTACATCTCATGATTGCAAACATGGGCACGCATGACCCTTTATGATTTCTATTTCGTTGACTTTGCTTGATTCTTATTTCTGCATTGTGCATAAGTCATCAAAGTCAGGGCTGGCTCATAGTTATTTTTTTTTTTGTCTTCTCAGCGCTGGTTTTGGGGGTTTTTTGCGTGGCACATTCATATCCCCTTTAGATAGATACCTAGACAAATAGATCTTCGTTAATGAAGATCTCAAAACATATTTCTGAATGTCAGGGGTGTAGTGTAGCTTGCTGCTTTGTTTCAGTACAGGCATCATTGAAGTATACATAGCATGTCCGTGTGTTGGGTTGCTATGTGTTGGCCTAACATAAATGTCTTCCGATTCCCTAGCATATATTGTACCTTCCGAATTAATTAACTTATTAATAGCAAGTCTCAATATATTTCATCAGGGTTGTCCTTGATGGGTAGTAGATCGTCTTCCTAGTCCTTTGTTGGCCATATCCGTTGGCCTAGTATAAATGAAGCAAACTTGGTAAGTGAGAAACCACCAATGAGATATACCCAATTACCTAAAGTTTCTACTTCAGCAATCCCATCTGTCTCTTCGAGAGACACAAATTTGGTCAAATATACCGATTGCCGGAGCGCATGCCACATCTATTCCGTTCACATATCTCCCTCACATCTGTACCTGGCACAAACTATCCCCAAGTACTCCGTCATTCAAAAGCACATACCTTGGAAGATCAGCTCGCTAAACCTTGAACCTTTGACCAATAGACGGAGCAGAAACCAAAGCAAAAGATTAAGATCAGCGGTGTCCTAGCAATCTCCGAGCTGCAGACTTATTTTTGGATCGACGATGCAGACACTATGCAAGTCCACCGTAGTCACCTGCCCCTAACGACTTAGGCATACATATCACATATCACAGACACACCCAAGAATTCAGAATCCAGAATTCAAGAATCCCATCCCCCGTTGCTAACAACCCAAGCCCCAAGCTCCAGTGAACAACTACTGCATCGTCCCATTTGGAGAGAACCAGGGATTAAAGCCCAAAGAGAGAGACATATGTACAAGCCCTATCCAAATCCCGGCCCTCGCCTAACTTATAATTAACTCGTCGCTAACTAAATCCCCCCAACAGCCATCTCCCCACCGATTGGTCGCTCAGACAAAAACCGCCCGAAATACCAAGACGCGAGCCTTTCCTTTAACTACTCTTTTTCACGAATCCGGACGCCAGCATGCAAAACCCCACGGACTAAAATGCCATGTGTTGATGGCAGACGTTTGATGCAGGCAAATCGTAGCGTCCCGGCCATCTGGTTCTTAGTGCGTAGTGCGCGCCATTGGAGGCCCCGAGGCGTCGGGTTATCTAGCTTTCTGGTTGGGCTATGCCTTTTGCGGCTTGCAGAGACGACGGGGCTATTGTGGACTGAGAGGCTTTTTTTTCGGTGGGGATTCCCGACTTCCAGCTCGATGCCTCAGGGGATATATCTCACGGAACCGTAGGCTCTTTTTTTCCCCGTATATATAGTGTAGTATTATCAGGGGTGAACGGGGGTTTGGAGATCCAGGGTTTATTTTCAGCCTCAGCCGTAATATAGGTTATATTAGGTGGTACGGAGTACTCCGTACAAGGAGTGTTGGGGTTTTTTGACTTGATTACTGTGGATTTTAAGAGAAATGAAACTTTGAAATTAATTTTTTGGTTTTACAATTTGAGATGTATGAAACAGGTAGGACAATAATCTGGCCATTAGAAACATTCCATGAAACTCAGGTGACCGTCTTCGTTTTTGATGCAATGTCCCAGGTTCACCTGACTGTCTTTGATATGTCCTTCGCCGTCATCGAATTGCGCGTGCAACATGGGTTCGTTGTCGGGACCTTCTAGCTTGAAGACAACGTCGCGTGAACTCTTTGAGAAGCCCTGGTCGCCCCAGGTGAATTGTCCTTGGTATTATATTAGTCTCTAGTCAGAGAAGAGCAAAAGGGTTTGGTTTTGGAAAATATAGACAGAAAACATGTCAAGAGAATTGGGGTTATGCTTACCCTTCTTTGCGCCAAGGAATTGATCCAGATCGAGCTCTGAGTATCTCGCTTCACCGGAAGGTCGCTGGCAATAAGCCGTGAGGATGTGCTTATCCTTCAGCTTGATGTTCATGGAAGTCTTGTGGAACATGTTCGACGTGTAGGAATGGTATATCGGGAGCAGTAGATCCGGTAGAATGAACCGATGGTCAATATGAAAGGATGAATGTGATATATGTTCTGCGTTGTCTGCTGTCTATGTCCGGTCATACGAGGACCATCAGATTGTACAGTATGGCATTATGAAAAGAGAACAAGACTGAAAGGGAGACTGATATGGGGAAATGTGTATGGCATTCTTGCCTCTAATGACATCGATATGGTGTAGATGTGGTGTAGATGTCTGTGGCCATTTGAAATCGTAAATCGTGGAGGCGAGTGGCTCTGCCATCATAGTTTTTTCATGATGACACCCGATGTATGGGTTGGCTGTACAACATAGTATACCGCACTCTGTGCAGCACCATGTCAGCCACCGCGGAGAAATATGACCTTTCTCGACAGCCTCTACGACCGTGTCTACCTAGGTCCAAGGTCATGATGATCTCATGAGATAGGCTGTCAGCCTCACCCACGTATCAAGTGTCGGGCATTAGTTTCGGGCAATAAGTATATAAGAATGCAAGTGGCTTGAGAAACAGGGTTGACGCTAAGGACTCTATTTGGGATGTTGTACCTAGCTTAGGGCTACTGTCCTCCGGAGCATCCAGATTGCTGTCGATCTCTCTGTTGCACAGATTTCTTTAGACTTTCCCTAAATCTAGTTCCAGAGGTCATGTCCACTCTTTAGGGCTTTACATATCTCACAGCCTTTTCAGGATTGTGCAGAGGCATTTCAGTCCATGACTCCACGGTATCCTTGCAGCTAATCATTAGGCCCCAAAAAATCAGCAGGTCCAGGATAGCCTAGCTCTTGGCACTATAGAGTTGGTTAGCGTGCAATTCCACGGGCTGTGTTTTTTTGGACTTTTGCTTGTTTCATCACAGTATGTTTGATATGTACTCCGTATGTTTTGGATCGTGCCGCGGAAGTACAAACCCCTTGAAAATCTGATACCAGGTTAGACTGAAAAAAAAAAAAAAGACGGAGAGTCCAGGAGTACTTTTGGCCCCCAATCTATACCACGTTTGGCCTGATGTTGCGACAAGCGAGTCTCTCGCTGATTGGACTCGCGTCCGAACATTTCCGGCCCCTTTTAACCTTATAGGCCTGAACAGGAAGGCAAACTGGTCAAACATGATGTAATCACTGCCACGTGTCTGAAGTTGGCACACACCGACTTTACACCCCAGAAAACGTGGTAGGTGTCACATATGTATGCATCTTCAGACTCTGACTGGGATGACATCTCTTAAATTACTACCGTTTGAGAGAGTTCATCTGTCCTAGATATACCCCCTGGACCCTGCAGGAATGAATTACTATTCTACGGTCTCGCTTTGAGATCATTGGAAACCCCGTCTCACCGTTCCCCCTACAAAGTAGACCGTCAGGTTCATTTCCCATTTTGGGCTGATGGACGTACACCGTCAGGCTCACCAGACATGGTGTCCTGACGTTCCAGCCCAGCGGTAACTTTGAGAAGCAGATAGGGTCCGGGGATAGGTCACTCTAGTCAGGAATCAGGATAAGGGATGCGCAAAAGGAAACAAAAAAAAAAAAGTGAAATTGAGATGCGCGGTGATCCCGAGAGATTATTGGTCTTACACTGCCCCCTGGTTGCGAACTAAATCCACGTTGCCTTCAATCCCCAGGTTCCAAGGGGCGGAGGTTGGGAGGGGGGGGAAGTTGTTTTCTTTTTCTTCCTATGCAATATGCACAATAGGTACAATATATACAGTTGAGTTGGAATTCGGTTGCGATTACCGAGTTCAGCGTTTAATATCCCATCTGACTCACAGGCGGGTCGACTTCCGCCTGGCTAAGCGTGAATCTTAGCGAAACCAGTTCCCTGTCGTCTAGGATAGCGTGCACTCTTCTTTTCCTAACAGGGCTAACGGTCACTGACAGCGATCCACAATCCAGGGTTCAGATCGAAAGGCTGAAGCAAGTCGATCGATTATATTTTTTGTTTTCTCTCTTTTTTTTTTTTTTCGGGAAGTCTGGGGTCTGGGAACAGACCCCTGCATAGTCTTGGCTAGAACTATATTCGCTGAACGCGGGAGAGTAAAAAGCAAAGATAATATCCTTTCCTTTCCCTTCTATGAGTGCATGTACGGGAGTACAATAGAGACGGAATATTAGAAGCATATATGAAATATATATCTCTTCCGTATTCCGTGACTGGAAGGGCTAAATTCCTAATAAGATGGAGAGATTCTATATAAGCTTCCCCATGTGGTCCCCGACTAAGCTGACCGAGTGCTATATTAGACCGATTGTCTTTTATTTTTATTTTTTCTTTTATTTTTTAAATCTGTTTAATCTTAGATTTAAATATCATATCAATTTGATCAATTTGATCATTTTTATCATTTTTTTTTTCTTGGCTTACCCCCCTGTACTCAGAGGCTCAAAATCTCGATCATCACTGGAAAAGAAAACTAGACAAGTGAAATTTATATCTTACGTCTCTGTAGTGTTTCCCCCCCTCTGGCTTCTCTTCCCCCTTTCATCTCTCTCTCTTTCTCTCTCCTCTCTCTCTTTCTCTTCACAGATCCTCGTATTCTCCACGTGCTTAATTCAACGGCCCCCAAAGTTATTTTTGGTACTCAACTTCCTTCATATAACTAGAGGGCATACTTGCCCACTCTTGCACCATCCACCTATAGACTCGTCACTCCCTATTCTCAAAATGGTCGGCCCAGGCGGTGGTCCACCACGCAAGAGTCATACCAAGTCCCGGACCGGTTGCAAGACATGCAAGAGAAGACACATTCGATGCGATGAGACCTTCCCGCAATGGTTTGTTCTTCATTTTTCACTAGTATATTCCCAACTAATTCCAGATAGCCGCAATTGTACAAAGCACAACTGCCGCTGTGACTATCAGGATGCGGCCACTTCACGGGCTAGTCCCCCCGCGCCGCGCCGCGGGCCGGACCTGCTCAGTTCGCCAGATATTGAAATGGAAATCGACAGTTGGCATCGTACGGGCTTGCCTCCGTATCCAGAACTCTTGCAGTGTCCACGATCCGGATGGTCTGGCTTGTCGCGGACGGATCTGCGCTTGATTCATCATATCATTGGACTTTCGATTGATTTGCATCGTCGAGGGTTGAGTGGTTGCACGGTTTGGGCCCAGAAAATGCCCAAGTGAGTCCTCTTTAGACTTGGCTGGACTGACGTTTTTTCTTACTGACGGGTGACATTCGATAGTTTCCTGGCTATCGCGTTGGGCAGCGAATTCGTTATGAGCTCCATCTTAAGCTTTTCGGCATTTCATCTGGCTTTTCTTACACGGGATCAAGAGACTAGGCAACTGGCTTTCCGTCATAAAGTTACGGCTCTCCAGGGCCTGCAGACCGCTCTAGGGTCCTTCTCGAAGGAGAACTGCGATGCCATTCTCGCAGCTTCCGTGCTTTTATCATGGCAGGCGACAGAACAGTAAGTGTTAGAAATCAGCTCCTTGGAACTTCCCCCGGACTAACACCAGAACAGTCAAAGTTGGGTGTCTCTGCAACACGGCATCTCCAGCGTCCTAGAGTCAATGCATCCATACTGGAAGCAAGAGTCAGATCTGGCACAGTTTATAGAGAACCAACGAGCACTGAGCACAGCAGATCTTTCAATGGCCGGTGTCTACCAACCCCTCGATGAAGACATGGTATATCTAGATCAAACAATTCAGGCCTTGCGAATGACCCAGGGACGCATTTCCCACAACCTCGAGCACTCCCAACGCTTAGGAGAACTCATCGAATTCACCCAGAAATTCCGTGATGACTTCCCCAACCAGACAACCGAACAATCGTTTGAAAGCATCCAAACTCTCCGCCGCTGGCTCTTCTGGCTCCCGCCATCTATGCTCCGAAGCACCGAGTCAGAAGTCAGCACCCTCCCAATTTTAGCCCAATTCTTCGCCGTCAGCATCGTTCTCGATCGCTTTTTCCCAGACTTAGGTGGCGCATATTTAGGCGCTCTATCCATCAGTCCGATCGAGGAGATGTACCGCATAATAGCCACCCACAACGCCGCAGGCCCCTTCAGCACTGACCTCCGTCTACCGCTGGAGCTCATGGACCTGCCTCGCAGAGTTGTCGCCCGCTATCGCAGCCGTCTCTCCCTCCCTTGGTCTCCCCGCTCATCAGTCGACCACTACTCTCCTGGCCCACCCAGTCCTTTCCACCACGCGATACACGAGTACCCGCTCGTCACTTCTTCCTCGCCTGCTTCCACTTCGCCAGCCTACACCTCGCCTTCGTACGCCTCCCCGTCTTATGCTGCTTATACCCCGCCCTTGCATTCCCCTCCTGCCGTCAACATTGCCAATTCGCCTTTCCCCATCCAAGACGGCTATGTCTCCGCCGCACCTTCGCATTCCCTATACCCGCCCTCTCCACAACTCCTCGATAACCATGATGTACACCTTGGTCTCTCGGATCTGGGTCATAGCCACACCCATTCCCACCATAACTCTATTCCTCATTCCGTGGCTTACACACCACCGTATGGGGGTGAGGCGCTGTGTACTGATTTACCGCGCGCGGATGGCACACTCGGTCTCAATATGGAGGTCTATCCGCAGACACATCCGTTCGAAATGCCGGGCTTGGCTGCTCCCGCTTCACTTTGGACTTGATTGTGCTAAAATATACCGGAAAAAGAAACAAAAATATGGGTAATTTTGGACTACCACTCCTCAACGGGGCTGGTCAGTCGGGTTCTGGCTATTGGGTACCAGGGAAATTGGCAGACATCGTCTCTCTCATTTTCTGAAAATAGGGAGGCTACGGCGTTTTGTTCTACTAGGAATTGAACCTGGAGAGCATGTGCTTTTTTTTGATACGCGAGTGATTCGGCTTCACCACTCAACTCTGTTTGCTTATATATATTCGGTCCTTGTTTTTGTTGAGCATGAGCGTTGGTGTGTGATCTTGTGTGCGATCTACTCGGTTTGGAACTTATACTCGCAGTTGCAAACTGGACGGAAATGACTCTAATTGATCTTTTGATATTGATATATACCCTGATTTTATCGAATCTACTGTTAATCTGACTTGAAGTGCATGTGCGTTATGTAATGTGTTTTCGTTACCTATTGAGAACTACACCCTCAGAACTATAGACATCTCGGAAGCAAAGGCTCAACCCCCCCCAACGGAAAACCATTTCATCACCCCCATAACATCCAAAACTAAAGATAGCAACCACTGCTCGCATTCCCCGAAGAATACACCTGCATCCCACGATCGACAGGCACATCCCAGTCCCCAAAGCAGCTACCGGTCACCATTATCACAAACCCCATCCTAAGAATAGAGAAGCTAAAAGCACGGGACACATATTAAAGGAATTTAACCTACAGATCCATCCTTCTGATTGGCAAATCAATTCCCCGCCATCCACCTTCTCCAAACCTCGTATTCGGCCGCTCGCTTGGCTTCTCATAACCCGTCCGAATACGGTAGCAAGCCCCCGAGCTAGCACCGATTCGGGTTCCCGGGAGATTTAGGAATGTGATATTCGTATACATATGGCGTCTAGAATATAAGCGTAATGTGAATTGGGGTCTAGAGCAATTTTTGGAATTGGAGGTCTCTAATTTATGTAGTTAGTATATTTGTTGTTCTGTATACATTAGCGGACGAAGTATGACATCGTCTTTGCAGAGGTTGTAGATTATATTCGTTGTCTGTTGTCTATTTTTGGTTTCATCATTTCTTCCAGATTCAGGGTCCGAATGAATTCGGTTCGTATTGTTATATTGGATATTGCGGTTGGATCTTCGCGGGAACGGGAATTCGGTTAGTGATCGCCACCCTCTCTCTCGTGTCTATATATATCTTCGCCTTTTCTCCAGTGGACTGATTCCTTGTTTTTGGGGCTCTGGTTGCTTGTACTCTATTTGTGGGTATTCCTTCGTGCGGTTGTCGGCGGAGATTGAAGGGGAATATGGAGTTTGCGTCTTCGATAGCACTCCTTGTCTTGGTCTTTGCACTAACAGATGGTCACTGCTGTTTGATCCGTACGTAGCTAAGATTAAAAGATTCTTCTACCGCTAGTGATAGTTGTACTTTGAGCTATTTTTGGTGCGAAGATTGGGGGTGTCCGTCTGTTGACTTCGTTTCCTTGTTGTTCATTGACTCCCCCGGAGAGTAGAGTGACTGCCGATTCTGCTTTTGGGTTCCCTGTCTAAGATCTTTCGACAGTTCTCTTGGGCATTAATTGTATTCTTTCTTCAAAGACGAGATATCTGTAGAGCTTATCACTTCCATCTATGAACATTGTATGCTACTGTTTCTAGCATTCCACGTCCAGGTGCATTTTTGCTTTAAGTGAGATCTTGAGACTTCTAAACATTCCATACTCTTTTAAGCAAGCCTCAACTTGATTATCACAATTTATACTTGCTTCTTAGACTGTCCCTAATCTGCCAGGAATTAAAGTCACCTATACTTCATAGTGGATATACACGTGACTGAGGCTATATTTTCACGTGACAATGACATAATTGCATTCCCGTTTGGGGAAGAAAGCAACCTCAATATCGACAACACAACAACTTCCATCAATTGCCCTCAGCATCCATCACAGACAGTCAAAATGGCTGATGTAGGTGGCTGGAGCACTATTGAGTCAGACGAGGTACTATCACCCCCAGATTTATCCAAGCAACATACTTACCCAATCTAGGGTCTCTTCACCTCTCTGATTGAGACACTCGGAGTAAAAGACACCCAATTCGAAGAACTCATCTCTCTAGATGCAGACACAATCCGGTCTTTAGGGTAAGCCTGAAACTCCCCAAAAACCCCACCGCAATTCCACAACATCCAAACTCTTCCTATGTTCAAAGCTTTCCTATATTATAAAGCTCACCAAGCCTAACCAAACCGCAACCAGCCCCGTCTACGGCGTAATCTTCCTCTTCAAATGGACCCGCGAAACAAACAGCGCACGCGCCGAAGCCCCCCAAGACGGAACCTACGACCAAACACCCCCAGACAACCTCTTCTTCGCCGCCCAAACCATCCAAAACGCCTGCGGCACGCAAGCCATCCTCTCCGTAATCCTAAACCACGACAACCCCCCGGCCCCGGAACCACCCATCATCCTCGGCGACGAGCTACGCTCCTTCAAAGAATTCACAACCGGATTCCCGCCCGAGCTGCGCGGCGAAGCGCTCTCGAACTCGGAGGCAATCCGGAGCGCACACAATAGCTTTGCGCGGGCGAGTCCGTTTGCGGATGAGACGGCGCGGCCGCAGGATGATGAGAAGGGGGCGGATGTTTACCATTTCATTGCGTATACGCCTGTGAACGGGACTTTGTATGAGCTTGATGGATTGCAGCCGTATCCTATTAGCCATGGGGCGTGTGGGAGTGAGGAGTTTCCTGAGAAGGTGATTGAGGTTTTGCAGAGGCGGATTGCGAGGTATCCGCCTGAGGAAACGCATTTTAATCTTATGGCTGTTGTGAGGGATCCGAGGGGGAGGGCGAGGGAGATTGGGGATGTGGAGACGCTTGAGAGGGAGGAGAGGGAAGAGGGCTGCGTGGCAGTGGGAGAATACGCTGCGGCGGCATAATTTTGTTGGGTTTATTGGGGAGGTTATGAAGGGGGTTGTTGGGCTTAAGGAGAAGGATGCTGAGGGGAGGGCTTATGAGGAGTGGGTTGAGGGTGCGAAGAGGGAGACGAGGAAGAAGCTTGAGATGCGTCGGTAGAGGGTTGGGGATCTTTGTGTTTGATTTTTCTGATTTTTCTAATGGCAATTTCAGATACCCTATGTGAGATGATTAGGATTGAAATAAATAAGACATGGTATTCGATGATGATGTTGAAACCCCAACGCTATAGTGTAGTAGATACATGTAGGTGTGATAAGTCACCGATTTGGCGTGGTATGTACTGGCGTCCATATTGTAAATCATGATAATGTGTATGAACATGAACAAGTCTCCCTAGAGATTATCGTTATTTCTCCTCCAATTCTTAGTATGCGACAAGTCGTGACTGGACATGCTCCAATAGAGGCGCAGGCAATTCCTCTGGTTTGATCAGATTCAGTGACAGCAGATCACCCCAGAAGAACATGACTCGGTCCTGTGCGTACGCCAGGTAGTCAAAGTCGCCGTCATCTTCTTCGACATCCGCTTCCGCGGGCGTCTTGGGGTCATCGCCATTTCGAGCAGCAAGCATCTCGGCAATGCCTTCTTCCATGCCAGGCACCTTGGCCTGGACGATACCCCAAGCCACCCACTGCGCGGAGTTCATCGCCCGCCACATCCGGGTCTGCTGCATGAGGAATTTCACCTCTGCGTCAAGTTCGGCCTCTTCGGACTGCTCATTTTGCGAAAGGCGAGAACTGGGTCTATCGGACACGTCGTCCAAGTCCAATGGTGCGATCACAGCAGAGGTGCGAGCGCGAATGGTCGGCGAGGCCAGAGGTGAAATAGCCCCGCTGTTGCTGAAAGGTCGGTGGGTAAGGTAGGTTGATACGAAGTGATACTGCTGCTCCGGTGTCGGGTAAATGCGGTTGTTGCAAGCCCATGAGCGTTCTTCGTCGTGGTAGTTGTAGCACCACTCGGTCTGTTACAGTTTAGAGTTAGCATCTATTCGGATTGATGGAATTATTGGACTTACAAAGTGGTTGGCGAACTCAAGACCCCGCGTGTTGGCAGAAGAGTACTCAAAGTCGATGACGATTAGCTGCTTGTGTTCGTTGGCAGGCAGAAGCAGCGGTGACTCAGTGGCCGGCTCCATGCGAAGTAGATTGCCATATTGAGTCTAGATGAAAAGTCAGTAAGATAAGCAAAATAGGCGCAAAAAATGAAGGCTTACATCATTGTGCGCAAATACAAGCTGTCGCTTGATCTCGGCGCTTCCACCAGAGCTAGTAACCAGCCACTGCCGGTACTTTTCCACAGCTTTGCGGAAAACGTCCCACTTTACGCCGCATACATAGCCGCGACGACGCCATGGTTCCAGAGCCGCTTTGGTCTCATTTTGAGGGGATTCGATTTCTTTGTCCAGCCAGGTCATCACTTGCTCGCAACGATCCACCCACTTATCCCAATTCTTGAAGATCATAGGACCGCCTTCGCGTTCTTCTTCAAGGAGTTCAACGCCATCATGCAATTCTCTCATTCGCTTGGCAACCTGCTTCGCCGTTTCGGGCATCCGCAGCTCCTTGGGAGTGAGTGGGCGAGCCTCGAAGTACTCTTCGAACCGGCCGTTGCGGAAAGTACCAAGAATGCGTGGGCCAATATTTTTCTTTCCGAGACGACGAAGAATCTGTAGCTCATTCTCTCGATCGATTAGATGATCGACCTGAGGGCCGTAGATGCGCAAGAGAAGCTTTCTATAAATCCAATTAGCTGGGTTTTTCAAGTAAGGAAGGCAATTCGTTGCTTACGGCGGGGGCTTCCTTGAAACCAGACTGCTGCTATCGGTCTTGGGAGGAGGCAGATTCTTCGGTGGTTCAACTACATAGACGGCGTTTGTGAGAGCACCGCTGAGTCTGACCACTTCAATCTCTGCCGCCAAATCCGCGGGGACCCTGCGCCAGCCCTTAAGTTGTAGAGTGTGCACAAGACGCACGATCTCGGTCTTGAAAATCACCCAAGCCTCTGCATCCTTTGCTTGTTTCACACTAGCGCTGGAGTCGGCAATCTCTTCTACTGCAGCGCCACCGGTGTAGGCAAGTGTCTTTGTATTGTCAAGGACAGCTTCCACGCTTGGTGGGGCCCCGTCGGCATCTGTGAGTTCCGACTCGGATGCCGAGCCTCTGCGTAGGCCTCTGAGACGATGTCTAGAGTGCCGTTTGACAGGTTGCCTGTGGGTCAACCCCATTGCACTGCTGGGCCGTGTAGTCGCATATTGGAGGAGGATCTTTTCCAGTTTATCCAGGGAAAAGGTGTTCTCCGAGGTATTCGAGCTGGGTCTTTCTAAAGCATCGTCTTCTGCAGCTGATTCGTTTTGGGTTGTTGCATTGGAGTGTGTTTCGGTTTTCCGCGCTTTACGATTCTGTCGTCTGACTTTCTCATGGTGAAGCCATTCGTATACTTGATGGAATAGACCCTGCTGGGGATCTTCCTCGGGTCTGGTGTGGTGCTCGTGGTCCTCGCGATGGCTGCAACACGAGTGATCGTCCAGAGAAGGCATGGTGAATGATTGCGCAATGGGCTTTGTGGACTGTGAGCCCAATACTATTTCAGATATGTTCTGTTCAGCGAGGAGCCGAGAACAGTTCCACAAGCAAGGCCTTAGTCAAAGAGCTGATATCCAAGTCCGTTGCCGTAGATGAATCTGTTGGCAATTAGTTGGGATTAAGAACGGATGATTCGAGTGGGATGAGGCGAGAGTCGCATCGCCTCCGAGATGGAATTACAAGTGGACAACGTGTACAGGGACACGTAGCGATACAGTTGATTCCCTAACTACAGGAGAGACGGTGGAAAGGAGCGCCTACCTGTTTAAAAAGAAAAAAAGGTCGGGTAAGCCAAGACACGGAGGCTCAAAGTCTTATCTGTTGAGCACGCGACCAGTTGCAAAAGCAATTTCTAGACGAAAGAGTGTCCAGTTGAGATGTTTCATAAAAAGGGGAAACTGAGGTGGGGGAAATAATTGGACCCCTTAAAAAATCCAATAAAAACCACGGCCAAGCGAACGGAAACGTCCTGGAAATTGCCAAGGTAGTTCTGGTCCCTGGGATGCTATCCACGGATTCAAATCTGGGGAAATTCAGTAACTGGAACTCCAAAGCGCAAAGCAACACTGGAAAGAAAGTCCTAGATCTGGACTTTAGTGGGGGAATATATTCAAGAAAAAAAGTGGCGAAAAAAAAGGAGCTTATCAGCTCAGGTGACTGTTTCGGGTGCCTGGCTAATCGGGCCAACCTCGTTCCTGGTCCTTTTGCGGCGAACATGTTGTGCTCATCACACTTCCAGTGCTCCCACTTAGCCCATGAAAAAAAAAAGTGTCATAAGGCCTCGGAATTTCCAGGACTCACTAGCATCACTAGTCGTATGGAGTTTTCAATGGCGTTCTATGGGGAGTTGGGGCCATAGGTTTATCACCATCGGAGCCAGATGCGGAAAGAGCAAGCACTCGTGTTGGGGAATCTGACAACCGATATGAGTGAACAATATAGGTACATGGCGCTCATGGCTTTCAATTTGTCGCATGTGGGAGATGAGCTGGCGCCAAAGGAAGCTTTTCTTTGGTCTCGGCTCCGGTCTAGTCATGGGAACGTCCGTGGGGCATGTCAGCTAGGATATAGGTGTGTATACTGTGTGTATACTGGAGATTTGGCATTTTCAAATTCGTCGGCAGATGTCTGTGTGCGATATGAGCGTTGACAGACACAAGGACGTTGGTTGTTTAGGAAGGGAGGTGTAGAGAGGGGAAGCTTGATAAATTACCGTATCAAGCGGTCTACGGTATTGTTCTTACACACTGCATCTATACGGAACATGATATATCACAAGCAACAAAATATAAGAATCTCTCTAGCATGCTACTCAAGGTGTTTCTCCTCTCTAGTGGGATAGCTCTCATCTTATCCTCTTGCTGATCATAGATATCCTCCCGTTTATGACAAGATATTGGGTTATGTATTTGCTTGTTTCACAGCATGGTAGAGAAATGCATGAGAGACCTGGTGAAAGGCCGTGTTTTTATCCTCCCTTATTGCCAGCCTCATGGTGCATGACAGTTGGACATTGCCGTTGTGACACAAAATTTGACATCCGGGAATTCCAGTAAAAAGGCGAGAATGCAGGATGTGTGCTTAGAGAACTTGATAGCCCTTCATTTACGAAGATTGCGGGGATTGGCGTGCACAATACGCGAGTGATGGTCGCCTAGGAAAGGTGGTTTGGCGTCCCAACCATGGGCGTTGTGGAGATCCATGACTCTGTCACCAAGTGGCCCATCCTCTTTAGGCCATCTTATCAGAGCCCAGCCACGCTTTTTCCCATTTCGGAGCACATAGACCGGGAAGACCTTTTTGATTTTGTGAGCCGTATCGAAGTCGTAATCTTGATGATTAATGTCGACGACAATAAAGGTGCGTTCTTCCCATACATCAAAAGCGACAGGAAGAACCCGCGGGTCATTTTCCCAACCAGGAAAAACCTCGCTGACAACTCCCGTGGCAGAGAGACGATAATCTTGAGAATCCAGGCTTTTGGTGCTCATTTTAATAACAATTCGTTTTGCAATGTCATTTTTAAAGATTTCTTTCCGTATGTCGGAAATGCTACCTATGGAAGCCATGCAGCTGCAGGTTTGGTGTTTGAACTGAAAGATAGTGTAGATATCTCCAAACGCGTGGATCTCTGGGGAGGAGACCTCGAGGTGGATGAAAGTACATGCAGCTATCCATCTGTTCTTATATCTGGCACGGTCAATCGAGCCGCTAATCCCGAAATGGCAAGAGATGGATGCCTGGAAGGACGCCTACTCCTTACCTCGTCTCGTTTACAGCAATTGATTTCATTTTTACAGAAGATAAGATAGAACAAAATGCATCATTTGAGTCATTCCAGGAACGTGGTAATGCTTTGTGCATTTGCCGGGGACTAAGAATCGTACTAAATTGACAATTGCCAACCTGCCTGAGCAGTCTTGATAGTACTTGCCATCCCAACTGTGCATCTATCACAATTAAGCGAGGATTGACCTGGTCCGAACTAAAACCACCTCATAGTATCTAAGGATGTTGACCCCAAGAGGTTCTCGTTCTCTTCTGTTGGTATTTTTTTCCGGTGGTATCGACAATGGCGTGGACTCTAGTTGCTACAAATAATTCCGCTTCTTCTCTTCTATCTTTGGAAGAAGGTCACATATTACCGAACAGAACAATATGCCTTGTTACCCCAGCTTCCACCATCGCTACTATGGGGCCATTTGTCCACGCTAGGGAAACTCGCAAAGGTTAATCGACCAAATATACACATTGGTCAGGCGAGACACATTCAGGTTTGGAATATAGAACTGACTGGTTGCTAGATGAACTCTTCAGGGCCATACACGATAGTCTCAACAAGCCCGCCCTATTTGTTGTCGATTCGCGACCAGTTAGCCCCCCAATGTGCGTGATCTGCGATCATGATGTTGCAGAGCAAATATCCCAAAGTTCGAAGCTGTTTCAGTACAGCCTTCCCAAGTCAGAAGTTACTCGCTGGTACACCGACATGATGGGTCCGCTCTCCATTGTTCTCGCACAGGTAGGCTGAAGGCTCGGTCGAGATAGATATAGCTTATACTGACTGAATGTCTCTAGGACGAAGAGTGGAAATGCCTTCGCAAACAGTTTAATCCGGGATTTGCTCATAAGCATCTGATCAGTCTCATGCCGTGTATATTGGATAAAACACAGATCTTCATGACCAGGCTCGATCATTATGCCAGCACTGGCGAGGAGTTCTCACTGGACGAACTATGTACAAATTTGACATTTGACATTATCGGCGCGGTCACCATGGGTATCGATATGGATGCCCAGCTCGGAGAAGAAAACCAAAGTGCAATCGTTCGACTCTTCCGCAAACTAGGCTCAACCTATCGTTCTAGTCACAGCGGATGGAAATTTTTTCTTCCTCTTCAAAGGAAGTTAATCTGTCGTCAACTTGGGACCCGCATCAAAGAGCGCATCAAGGAAAAGTTTGAGGAGCAAGCAGCTTCACAGAAGCCATCTCGTAGTGTCCTTGCTCTCAGTCTAGCCGACACCCATGAATTAACGCCCAGAGTTCTAGACCGGACTTGCGACCAACTCAAATCCTTCCTATTTGCTGGCCATGATACGACCAGTATATTGTTACAATGGACATTCTATGAACTGTCTCGGACACCGCACGTCTTGCATCGTGTCTGCAAAGAACTGGATGACATCTTTGGTCCCGACTCGACTCCAACCCACATTCGAGATCAAATCTTACACCATGGAGAGAATGTTCTTCGACGAATGATCTACACCTCCGCCGTCATCAAGGAGATTATTCGCCTGTATCCACCAGCTGGGACATCGCGCTTTTCCGCCCCTGACACTGGGTTCACCATTCGACTACCAAATGGTCAAGACGTGTGTCTGGATGGGCTCATGATCTATAACTGTCCGAGTATCATACAGCGTGATCCAGCTGTGTACGGTGACAAAAGCGATCAATTTATTCCTCAACGCTGGCTGGAAGCCAACTTCACCATACCGGCGAGTGCTTGGCGGGCTTTTGAGCGTGGACCACGCAACTGCATTGGACAAGAGCTCGCGAACATCGAAGCGCTTGTGATTCTTGCCTGTGCGACACGGCGATATAATTGGGAGAAGGTAGGACTTGGGGCAACCAAGCGGGATGAGTCAGGTGCGCCGATTGAAAGCAAAAATGGACAATACGAAGTTCAGTCAGAGCTATACAATGTAAGTACTTGATAGGACTACCGACAGGACTGGAAGTGAAATGCAGTTACTCACAAAGCTCAGACACTAGAGATTACTGCCAAGCCAGTGGATGGAATGAGGATGCGAGTGAAGGTATCAAGAGGATAGAACCCAATATACCGGCGTCTGGATGGATTGTATTGCAAAACACCCAAGAAATGAGTCCTCATGCAACATGCACTTTCACAGCATCCAAGAGAAGATATTATTCACCTTGAGACATTTGAGCTGCCAAGGTCTTTTTTGCAGACTGCAGCTCGACTGGGCGGAGAGAGGAAAGACAAGCCGAGAAACAGATGCATTGGGCCGAAAAGGCAAATCAACGGAGCTGTCAGGCGACTATCTATCCCGACTGCATACCCATCATTGTTTAGCCATTTCCCCCAAGGCAGCCAAATAGCTATAGAAAACTCTCTATATATATGGTACAGTCTGGAAGAGCTCAATGATAAGGCGTATAGGGCAACTAATATCCGAAAATCCATAGGTATGTAGGTGTTGTCTCGGCTATCAGCAAGGGATAACTGTCCAAAAGCCGACAAACATCCCCTAGGCAAACAAACCACGAGGTAATTACATGAAGGGAGGCGGAGCTGCTGAGTACAAAAGTGTACGCCACTCCGTACTCCGTACAATATATACGAGACTGCACGTCTGACCCCAGATCGAGATCGGCATGGCCGATCTCTCTTCATGCCAAGCAATGGAAATTTGAATTCGAGTTCATGTGGAGAGACCGAGTGAAACACGATCACTCAGATTAGAGCCTGGAGCTATAATTAGGGTGGTCTTTGTGTCGTCGCCATTATACTGCAGACAAGATACCGTAGTCCTTCATAATACTTATAAAAGCCCGATCCCCACCAACTTATTAGCGTTGGATATATTTTACAATTCTCCTTTTATCTACCATTGACCAAAATTCCACAATGAAGTTCACTACGGCAATCATCGCTTCCCTGTTGGGAACCAGCACCGCCTTGTTTGACAAGAACCAGCGTATGATATGCTATACCCGTTTATAATATTCCGAACTAACATTTCCTCGATGATATAGCCTGGGGTAAACGCGACTACGCCTGCGTGAACGTCTACCAAGGCATCCCTGATAATTCAACCGTCTCCACCGGTCAAACCATCCGCGTCCGGTTCAACCGCAAGCCCACAGGACGGTGCCCAGATCCATTGAACCAGTACCCTGGTGACGACTACAGCGTGTGGCTGTACAATAACCCTGTGCGCAAGTTGGATACTATCTCCTTTGACCAGTCTATCAAGATTACGGATGGTATTAAGGAGAAGACGGGTCTTGTTGATGTTACTATTCCCAAGAACTTGCCTCAAGTTAAGGATGGTTCGGTTTGGTATTTGAGAGTTGGAACTTCGCTCTCAACGGCACCACAGGTATGTTTTCTTTCTTTTCGATTTTGCTTTTTTGGGGGGTGGAAGTTTGTGCTTCAGGGGCTAATTTATGCAGATGCCCACCTTGTTTAACGCTGCCGGCCCATTTACGATTAGTCGTGCATAGATGACTTGGGCTCGATTTAGATTTTGGTTGAAAAGGGGATATGATCTTATTTATGCATATAATCATAGTCAGGTCACTGCAATATCCTGATCAAGTACGAAAGGGTAAATCAATTGGAGCATATGTATATTGAGTTAGGCTTCAGGCTCTTAGCCGATGGGAAGACCCAGACTTGTTAAAGATACTATAAATAAATTGGTTCCTAGACACCAGCCTTGGAATAACCATGCACGATTCCGTCACGTCATCAAATCAACACTCTAATCACGGAAGGAGACACTGAAGACCTTGTAGCCAGTGGTAGGCTTATCCTGGCCACCTTTAGCATCCAAGTGTCCCTTCTTGTCAATGTCGATGTACCGCCCTTGCTCCACAAACTGCATGATATAGCCAAGTCCATTGCCTAAGAAGGTGAATTGCACCTGAGTTGCATGTTCACTCTGATTTTTGGGGACCAAAGTACCACCGGCACCAATCCAGCGGCCATCCAGTGCGCTGGAAATCGTAAATGTGTGGCTTTCCTCATCATCGTTGTAGTGGATTACCCAACGCTGGGATCTATTGTTGTGCTGAGGGCTAGCAGGGCTGGCCACAAGGCGGTGGCCATGGGCTGGATTAGTGATGGCTGCTCCATTCTTCTCAAAGACTAGATATCGGCCCTCGGTGAGGTAGCCAATCACCTCTTTGAAACCCTCTTCAAACCACAGGGTATTAACATCGGTTGCATTGGTCTGTGCCCCATATGGAACATCAGGGCGTGTCTGCTTGTGGCGAGACTGACAGTTAGATGTACCGATATACTCACCCTTGTCGTTGGTATCAACCGTCCCGGCATCCGGAAGATCCGGAAGAGAGTAGTCTGGATGATCAAAATCAAGTGCGTTGACTAGATTAGACATGTGGTTGCGTCGCCATGAAACCATCTGATCGGTTGTAATATTTTTGTGTCCCCGCGCTGTCAGCCATTCCTCAACGAAGAGAATCTGAGAGGTATGGTCTGCCCGCTCAGTGAACACGCGGTTTCCTCGGGTCCACGGAGAAATCATGTAGAATGGTACTCGGAATCCAGGCCCCACAAAGATATCCGAGAACATACCCAGAGGATCTGGCATCCATTCTCCCGGAGTGTCTTTAGGGGAATGGAAGGGGGTGACATGGTCACCAAAGCCACCAGTCTCATCAAAGCTGATCATCAGAAGTGTTGAGTTATATTTAGGGCTACTCGTGACGGCGTCGACAACCTTCTTCTGAAGCCAGGCTCCATCCTTCGGCATGTATGGCGGGTGCTCAGACAGCTCGGCCGGGCCAACGATAAAACTGATCTCGGGCAATGTGCCGTTGGCGGCAGCCTGATAGAAGGAATCAAGGCCAACAAAGGACATGCCTTTTTTGGCCAGAGGGCTATTCTTTGAGGCTTGTTGAAATTGTTCAAACCAGGCAACGGGGTTATCGTCGAAATTGTTTGTGTCTTGGAAGAGTTGCCAAGAGACCCCTGCCTCTTCATAAAATTCATAGACGGTCTTCCATTTGAGTGGATAGCAGTTGATACCGTGATCATCACAGCCTGGGTTATCCTGGTCAGATCCCAAAATAGTCTAAACATGATTGTGTAGAGAGATAGGATTAACAGAATATAAAGCTGAGACATACCTGGTACCTCATTGTTGTCAATATATACACCTCCCTGGTCCTTGCTCTGGGGACTCCCGGGAACGTTGATAGAGCCACTGACCAGAGTAACCCGGTTAGGACTTGTAGCAGTGATTTGACTTTCCTGTTTCCAAATCAGTTTCCGATTTCATTGGTACCAAATCTGGCCACGCACCTGGTACATGTCTCCCGATGTCCAACCTTCGGCAATCGCAAACTGAACCGGAATATCTTGCCGTTTCAGATAACCCCAGCTCCAGGGGGTGTTTTTCATCACCCAGTGGTTATTCAACCCGTTATTTAGAGACTGCTGATTCTCCACGTAGCCGTTGCTGCCCGCGACCATGCACTGAATCGCATCATGCCAGTCACCACCTTGATATCCAAAATACCAGGGTAGCAAGGTCTTGGTCGCGTTTGACTGAGCCGGCTCGACTAGTCTGATAAGGAATATTAGAACATTCCCTTCCCTTAGAGCTCCGGTGCCCGGCACTTACTGATGCCAGACTGAGTTTCCATCGGAGTTGACCTGGACATTGGGATCATTGAAGCCCCGCACTCCCGGCATAGTACCAAAATACTATGAATTGGTGAGCACGATAGAAATGTGTTATAGCGCAGGCAAAACATACGGTGTCCCACGAGCGATTCTCTTGCATGAAGATAACGACATGCTCGATATCGCTTAGTGAACCACCAGAGACGAGCCCGGTTTTCAGAATGAGCGCAAGAGCGATGCACACCAGCAATTTGAAAACCATGATTCGGTAGTTACAGAAGGGGTGAGTGGAAAGAACGCAACCGAGAGAAGAGTCCACTACTTATGTACCCCTAACGAGACATGCAGATGACCGAGAAAATTGCGAACAAAGTACTAGTGTACCTACATATTAAGGTAGTATCAGGTGCATGTAACTACCCCACGAGCTCTGAGACTTCGTTATACCTGCATGTGTCTTGCCGCCCCGTGGCTCCAGAATGCTCAACGGACAAGTCAGAATGTGGGGATTAGAAGACAAGGGATGGGCTGTCATTCTTGTTGATGCATGGCGCCGATCTCAAGGTATACAAAAGAAGTCGACGATAGACTGAAGGAGACTGAAAGAGAAGGTCCAATCTGATATTTGGGTATCTCCACGTGAAATACCGTCCCATGGTTCGGTCAACACCAAACAGGAACACACTTTCGGCAGGAACGAGCTTAGATACTTTAGGCTTAGTTTAGCGCCACAGGGGCTTTTATACATGTCCTATCTATGCAGGATGCAGGTATGAGATAGATATCACATTAATTAAACTGTTCATCTTATCTTCACTCTGATTGATCAAAAAGGGCACGTGCGTTGCATGTCTTTCTGTAAGGTCACATTGGATGATCTCGTGCAGGGCAGCAAGGGTGAGGTCATAGCGCGGGATGCTCTTTCCTCCGTTTGATCTCGTCTATATATTTGCAATGTTGAACGGATGTCCGGTATCAAAGCATGCGGATGTACAGTCGGCGGAAACCTGTTACGAGTCCAGAACAGTTGACCCCGCCAATGCCGGAGCTGTCACAACGACCATGGCCAATCGTGGGCTGTTCATTGGCTGCTTGTTTTTTGATTGGGCTGGTTTACCTTCTCCAATCTACATTTATTTCTCTCGTACCATTGATTCTGCCTGGTCGCCATCATCACAACATTCAGAAAACTGAAGCTATCATTGCTCGGCCGCGGACAGAGCTTCACCCCGATGATCATGCGTACCGGGTGCCGACGATTCAATACTTAGATTGGCGTGTGACCTCGGATTTTCGCAGACCGGATGGTGTATTGAAGCAGGTATATCTCATCAACGGTCAGTAGTAGGGACTGACTGATATCACGATTCTCGATCTGACCGGAGGATATCGACCTAGGCCTCTTCCCTGGACCAACGGTGGAGGCCCGCTCTGGTGACACCTTAATTATCAACGTTACCAACGCCTTGTCGGATGAGGCAATTGGTCTCCATTGGCACGGTCTTCATGTGGCTAGTAAGCTTATGGTTTTGTCGGCACTCGATTGAGAGCGTCAGAGCTGACATGTCTAGATGCCATGGACGGGGCAGTCGGAATCTCACAGTGTCCTGTGGCTTCTGGGGCGCATTTTACTTATAATTTGACAATTGCAGCCGATCAGAGTGGTACTTTCTGGTACCATGCCCATTTAGGAGTCTCGCGGGCGGATGGCCTTTATGGTGGGCTAGTCGTTCATGCACCGGCTTCCACATCGACCACTCGGGGCTTCACATCCCGGAGGTGGGATAAGCCCCGCCGTTACACCTATGACAGAGAACTTCTGCTTCTCATCGGGGACTGGTACCATCGCCCTGCGGGTGATGTTCTGGAATGGTTTATGGACCCAGGGAACTTCGGAAACGAGGTGAGTACCGACGAGTGGCGCTAAGCGTTGGATACTGAGATTTAACGCTGGTATTAGCCTGTTCCTGATTCTGTGCTCATTAATGGAGCAGGGTATTTTGACTGCCTCAGGGCTGTGCCTGCTAGGCCAGTGGACTGCATTGATCAGCCAGTGAATAATTCATTTGTCGACCTCGATCCGCACACTACATATCGAATTCGTGTGGTCAACACTGGGTATGTAACAGCACTACTAAAGTTAAAATGATCATTAGCTGACCAGTTGACAGAGCTCTGGCCGGGCTCGGTCTTGTCTTCGACAATCACCAACTGGACCTGCTTCAGGTCGACAGTGTTGATGTTAGCCCCCAGAAAGAGACAAATATAAATTCCGTCGGTATACTCTTCCCTGGGCAACGCATGGACTTTGTTCTTCGACCATTATCACAACCTGTTAAAAGGCAGTCACATATGACCGTTCAGTTGGATCAAGAGTATGAACAGAGTCACCGAGGACCATAGTAGTTGTTGGATGGTTGCTAATGTCTCTATAGTTCCTTCAAGTATGCCAACCCGGTGTTGACGCCAGATCAAACTTTCCCCATGAATTATCATTCTACTGGCGCCCAGGTATCTCCATTCAAGGTCCACCATATCAATATCGAAGAAGTACCTTCTGCGCCCTCTATTCTTCGCTCTATCCCTACAAGAGCGCAACAAATACATGTGGTCTATACCAAAATCCAAAAGTTGGCCCGATTTTCCAACAAGCCACTCGGTTACTTCAACCAGACTACCTGGAAGCCCCAGCAAGATCCACCCGCTCCGTTGACCTCTATACCACGAGTTCAATGGGACGCAAATCAGTTCGCAATAACCACGGGACCAGAGCCTACATGGGTGGACCTAGTCATCAACAATCTAGACGAAGGCTCCCACCCTTTCCACATGGTAAAAATCCCCCTCCCCTGCCCATTATCAACAAGACACGAATTAATACCCATTCCAGCACGGGCACCACTTCTACATACTCGCAGTTCATCAAGCCGAATTTGGCTGGGGCTCCTACAATCCTTTCGTTGACAAAACCCCACCACACTTGGAAGCTGACTCAGATGCGTTGAAATATGACACAGATGACACCCAGCATTCCAACACTGGTTATAATTCCAGTCTGTATGACATATCCCGGGCTGCTTTGCGTGACACAGTTCGGATTCCAAGTCGCGGCTATGCTGTTCTGCGTTTCCGGGCGGACAACCCCGGCGTTTGGCTTCTTCATTGCCATATGCTTTGGCATTCGGCGACGGGTATGGCCATGCTGATTGATGTGCAGGGCGATCCGACAGGAGTGACTGCGCACGCTGACAGCGAATTATGTTCTACATTTTGAGGTGTACTATTTGTTGGCCTTTGGACCAGATTTGTCAGTACTACACCCCAGAGCCTAGCTTGTTGTAAATTTTAGAGTCAGTAGATTGTACTCTTCAGTGCCTGAGGATGCATGTTGGCATCAAATACGGATTACGGAGTAGATTGTCTTAGATTGTGTGGATTGTTGCCAAGCCAAGTCAGCGCTCAAAGTAGAGATGCCTAGGTACTCCCCAGGGGTAACAGCCAAATGTCTCACATTCTATTGGAAGAAAACAAATCAGCCGGAGAATTAACGGGGTCAAGATTCCCACGGCAATTGACCAAATATCGAAGTCAAATTCATGAGGTCGACAATTAGAGACCGAAATGGTAGCTTTGTGTTTGATACCACACTGTCATCTGAAGCCCCCGGGGCTTCTTATTTGAAATGACTCAGGCCGTCGACAAATGCCACCAGTTTCATTGTATTTTACGCCTCCGAAAACCATGTTCTCGAGGCCCACCGGCCCCAAATGCACGTTCGCAGTTTAGCGTGGCTATAATCTCACCCTTCTTTTATTTATAAATTATAATTGGGAGAGTATCACACATCCTTACAACAGGCTGTAGGACTTTTGCGAGATGCAGCTGGTTCGTTACGTTCGATATTTGGTGCAGTCACTGCACTTTCGCTTCGTGACGACGGTTGAAGCCCTCCGCCCAGGGACATGGAGGGAACAGCAAGACCAGCTTATCTCAGGAGCTCGACAGAAGTCTCAGTACTATTATTCCCCCCCAAAAAGAAAATTTTTTACTATTACCGGAGCGATAGCGGCTATGCTGGTACTTTGGTATCTTTTTTCGCATCCACGGCTTGATCCGACTCCCGTCGACGAACGTGCTTGCCAACATCCAGTCGCTCGGCTTGTATATGATGCCGAGCAGGCTTTGAATAAAACATTGAGTCAACAGTCGAAGTCTTTGGAGGAAGCAGTGGTGGAATATCGACGACGATATAAGATGCCACCACCTCCCCATTTTGATAAATGGTATGCGTTTGCGACGTCGCGAAACACGGTCTTGATCGATGAATTCGATACGATCTATCATTCTATGCTGCCTTTCTGGGGACTTGCACCCAGCACGATCCGTTCGCGTGTGAGAGACGACCTTGGGATTGATTACTTCATCATGGGCTTTGCCATTCGCGACGGCAGAGCTATCCATCTGGGCAATGGCCAGGGGGATTTCCAGAGGGATGCAACAATGAAGATCCTGGACAAGTTCTCTCAATGGTTACCGGATATGAACATCGAATTCAATGTACACGACGAGCCGCGAGTGGTGGTCCCGCATGAGGAGCTGCACATGCTGATCACTGAAGGCTACGCAGCCCACGCTCGGCTAAGTGGTAATTCGTCATTGTTGAATCTATTTTCGCCAGGGGATGTCAACGATCCTGTCCCACCAGTGCCGGCCTCCACGAACAGATTCAACGACCTCGGGCGCCAAGAGACATGGCTCTATTCGCGGCTCTCGTGCCCACTAGACACACCTGCTAGAGCTCTGAATGGCAACGCACCAGACAACTCAAGTGCTTACGCAGTAGGTCCTTTGGGCTTCGTGTTCAACCAGACCGCCGCTAGTGATGTGTGCAACAGTCCATCGCTGCGACATCGGCTGGGGCTATTTGGTCACCCAGACTCTTTCAAGGTGACAAATGAGCTGGTCCCGATGTTTTCCATGTCCCATCCGTCTTCATTCCAAGACATTCCAGTCCCCTCTCCGTGGTATTATGAAGATTTATCGAAATTCGAGCCAGAAACGTCCGTCGAATGGGAGAACAAGAAAAGCCAGCTATACTGGCGCGGAGCAAGCAATGGAGGACATAGCCAGAATGGCAGTTGGCGGAATCTGCAGCGGCAGCGTATCATTGGAAACTTGACACATCCACAATCGCCCCAATATCTCATGCAACCAACGGACAATTCAAGCTGTATTGCGGGCCGCAGCGAAGGCTGGGAGGTCAAAATCGCAAATCGATCCCAGATCGAGGGATACTTCAATACCCAATTTGTTGAGATTGTGGCTTGCGATGATGATTGTGATGAGGAGACAGAGTTTTTCGGCGATCTGGCGGAACCAGATCCTCTAACTGAGGCCTGGAAATACCGCTACCTGTTGGATATGGATGGTCATGGATACAGCGGGAGGTTTTACGCCTTCATGCGCAGCAAGAGTGTTCCCTTCAAGTTGACTTTCTTCCGGGAGTGGCATGAGAATGTTTTGATCCCATGGGTTCACTATGTGCCGATTAATAAAGACGGGAAGGAGATTCCTGAGTTGATACGGTTTTTCGAAGAAGATCCTGCCGGTCAGCAGATTGCTCGATCTATCGGTGAAGGGGGTCAAGCTTGGGCGAACAGGACGCTCAGAAATGAGGATATGGACGTTTACATGTTTCGACTTTTCTTGGAGTGAGGTTGATTGAGTATCTTTCAATGCTGACTTTGCTGACCTCAGCTCGCAGGTACGCCCGTGTGCAAGATGACCAGAGAGAGAGTCTGGGGTTCATGATATAGAACCCCTGCGATAGACCATGTCTATCTACCAGTCTGTTTTCTATTCAAAAGTCCAATAAGACAAGGTCGGTGGGTACTCAAATGAATCTGAGTCCTAGGCACAGCAATGCCAATATATCTACATTAATTGTCAAGGTGAGATGGTGGACCATCGATATGGATCACTGATATACGACACACGCATATTCCCAGTCCACGTTCATGGATTTCCGCATCTGCACAAAGCGTCACAGCAGGTCTGCGGCCATACATCGAATGACCCAGCTTGACACTGAATACGATGTGTCCGATAAATCTAGTCTAGGGGTCAATTGAGAACTGACCTATACAACGATGTCGGGTCAACTGTTGCGAATTGAACTGTCCGCAGCAAGGTTCTCTCCTCTCGGCTTGAGTTCAAGCTGAATAGGATAATGTCTATACTGCCATGGATCGATCTTCAACTATCCCTGCTATGAACCTCATCCATCCTCGAAAACAACAATTCCTGCCTCTCCAACAAAAATCTCTCCAAGAAATCCAAAGAAACCCAACAATACTTCTGCGGCGCACCCTTCAAGAATCCTTCAACAAGAGCCATCTCCAGACTAACAGCCACCTTCAACCTCCACAGCGCCAGAACCTCATATCCGTACTTGGACTTTTTCAACCCGGCGTTGAACTCTGCGTTACCGATACCTCCGTCGTCGGAGACTTCTCCTGGGATTTTACCTGGAGAGATACGGGCAACGTATTCAATTTGTTTGATAGGACTGGTGGTGTAGAACCAGATATGCTGGATGCTTGGTGGGAGGAGGTAACTGCGGTATTCGTGGTTTTTGGATCCTGAGGCTATGTTTTGCATATGCTCTGGTTTTATGCTCATGAAGATGTCTGATGTTGATTTGGTCATTTTGTTGGATTTCTTTGAAGAGGATGAGTGTGGGCTGTGTTAATGCGGGGTGATTCCTCATGCAGGTATGAAATTTAGGGAAATGCATTTTGTATGAGTTTATAACATCGATTGTAAGAGTGGAATGATACACAATTTCATAGAGGAATCATAAGTCCATAGGTTGAGAAAGTACAGTCGTGTACAAAGAATAATGCCATAGGTAACGCCCCCCAAAACAGAGGTGATGAATAATTACAAGAATGTCCAAAGAGAGTGAATATCAAAACGCGAGAAAAGAAACAAGAGGGAAGGACCAGCTTCGCTGTTCAGGTTCACGCATTGGAAGAGGCCCACTCGACAACCTCCAGAGCGCACATGACAAGCACAAGAGTCGAGGGGAGGATCCTGGAAAAAAAGGCATGTTAGCTTTGATCAATGCTTCGATCGACGACCGGGGGTGTTTGTTCCCTACAAGTAGGAGGGACAAGAACTTACCAGACAACATAGCTCTGGAACAAGAGTTTCGACATAGCGCCAACAAAGACATTATTGATCTGACAGATCTGCGCCAGTTGCAACGCGGATGGCGCACCTGTAAGCAGGAAGCAGACAATAATGAAAATAGGATCATCGAGGATACTGATTGGCACAAACTTGGCCATGAGCGCCAAAATTGGAGCCATGATCAGAGTAGGAAGAAGCATGCGCGCAAGCAGTGAAGCGATAATCAGCTTGCGTTCGTCACGGGGATGCTCTATATCTGCCATCGCCTCTTCGGGGATTGTATTGCGCGCGAGATTCGCGCCCAGCACGACCAGGATCAGCGGCACGGCGACTTGTCCGTTCTGTTCGACTGCACGGGTGACCGAGTTGCGTACAAAGGTACCGTCATCGAAGAAACCGTGCTGGAGTACTGGCACCGAGGCGACGATGATCGAGACTAACATTGCCCACAGGGGAGGGTTCATGAAATCCCATACGCCATGGAGGAAGCGACGCATTCCGCGTGTGGTCGATGCGAGGCCCTTTTGGACCTTTGGTGGGAGGCGCGCGTGGAGCGCGTTCGTTTTCTTCTCTCGCCACTGGCGCAGGCGATCTCGCGATCTGCGCAGAGAGGCTTTGCAGCGCTGAAAGCCTGTCTTGTCGGCTTCACGAGCTTCTCCCGCGGCGATTTCAACATTTGGGAATTGGAGGATGTCACCGTGGGTGCTTTGGCGGGGGAGGAAGGGACCAGTGGGTGGCGGTCCAATTACTGAGGGTGTATCGTCTGAATCGAGCTCGTCTGAGTGGGCGGAGGACAGCTTCGAGTAAGAATAAGTGCGCGTCGACACGGGTGTTTGGTCGCCAGATTGGAACCGATCGGTGTGTGCCGCGTGGTGGGCATGGTGTAGATCGTCTGAACTGCGTGTTCTGACTAACGGCTCGTCCGGGTCTGTCTGATCCGGGTTATCGCTATACCGCGCCTGGCCCTGCTCGATAATTGACTGGCCACTCTCGTCGCGCTCCGCCTCCTCGAGGTATCGGTCCTTGGGCGCTAAGAGAATGTGGTATCCCCAACTCCAGCGCACAAGTTGACCTAGCTGCTGGAAGATAAGCAGGTATAGAATACCACGTGCGGCGACTTCATCATCATTATCGTTGGGGATTCGGTCCCAGTGGAGGCCCTTGAGGGTCTGCGAAAGCGATATGACGAGAGAGATCGGGAGGGAGTTTGAATTGCCAAAGACCTATGGAAAACGGATTATTGTTAGAATGCAATGTTTAATCATCTCAAATGGCAGGACTCGTCACATACTGCCATAGCAGCCACAAAGTTCGACTGCCGTTTCTTGAAGCGACAACATCTTGCGACAACGAAAGAACAGAAGTATGAGACGAAAGTCTGGACAATAAAAATAACCGGGATGATCGCCAGGTCCGTCAGCTTCTCGGCGGTTAATTGCGAGCCCAATTTGGTGAAGACTGTCGATAGGAGTTAGCTTTGTCAAGGAAACATCTCATAGGAAGCGCATAGAGCAATACATACTGAGACAGGGGGTGAATAGAGTCACATTGAGGTTTGCCACCAGCTTCTGAGCATCGGCATCAAACATGCCCTGACGGGCTGCAATATAGCCCGGAAGACTGACACATACGACCTCCAGCACTGCTTCAAAAACGAGCAGCACTAATTGAAAGAATGGTGGGTGGCTCTCATGGGCGCCTATGAAGAAGCGGTTGACACCCATTGGAGCCTGGGCAGCATTGACATTTTGAAATGATCGGGGCGCGTTAAAGATGGCCATCAGTGAGAAATTGAGAAAGAGAATCCCAGGTGAAGTTGGATAGAAATAAGCTTGAAAGTCGCATTCCTTGATTTTGATCTGAATCTTGGCAGTCCCACGTTGATAGCTTGAATGTTTTTGCCTTATCTCTTGGACAATGGCGCAATGGGACCTTCCATGTCCTGTACTATTTCTCGATGCATCCTCTTTGTATACGATTTCTAGTGACTATGAATGTTTCAGATATTTCCATCTCCTATTGCTGATTGCTACTACACACCTATAATCTATTGTACAAGCTGGAGATCTGAAGATCAGCAATGACGCATTTGGGGGGCGATAGCACTACGCCAAGACCTTCCTCATCCGTCTACAGTCTCGATCTGGACAAAGTAGAAGTACACACTCTTCATCGGAAAAAAAAGATTGGATTAAACTAAATTTTTCAAAGACACTGTCCTAGAGAAACGGACTGGTATAATACAACCTACAAAAACATGCAGGTCAAGACTTCCGAAGTGTTGGCTGTGTATCGGGTTGGATCGGGCTGTGCAACTGGCGCTTTTACGCCTCATTCACAAAGCCCAATTTTTCGCCTACTTTGATGCGCTGGCCCTTCTCAATACTCCAAGTCCAGCCATCACTGGGGGCATCATCCGGCCAGCCGGCATCAATGGACCTGCGAGTTCCAAGTGGAGCTTCAAACACAAGTACGATCGTACTGCCAAGCTGGAACCCACCCATCTCTTCGCCACGTTGCAGTGGGTGTCCATTAAGTGTTCGGCTGGCGTGATGGTAAGTTGCTTCAACAAAGCCGGGATATTGCTCACCACGCTTGGCAGCCAAGGCTGCAGCTAGGTCCGCGGCCGTATCAGTCAATAGGCTGTTCGTGCGTAGCTCCGAGTCAAAGTTGATTTTAATGGAGCCTACGTTGGTAGCTCCGACCGGTGTGTAACTGAAGAATCCCCACCGCCATCGGCCGAGAAGTGCGACTCGCTCGTTGAGAGTGAATAGACCGGGGAGATGTCGCTGCAGATATGGTGAAACCGAGTATAACTCGCCGGCAAAGTGACGGCGGCTCTCAACTACCCAGGGAGCAGGGGAGTGGAAACGATGATAGTCACCGGGTGCTAGGTAGATCACAACGTAGAACAGGGCGTGGTTGGCCGCTGTCTTGGGTGCATACCATGGGGTTCCATCACCACGAGCCAGGTCCTCTTGCACTTGGAGTTCCGAAGTTGCTTTGGATGCGGTTGAAGCATCCAATGAAGCACGTCGTTTGGGAGCACCTTCGCCCGAAAGAAGGCTGGGGAGGGTATAGGAAATCCCGTTCACGTGCGCAAATTCTGCATGCGCATCCATGTTCTCGACATCCTTTTGGGTTTCCTTCTCGCTCTGATCCCTGAGTCTCTCGGTGTGGTCGGCGTTCGCAGGCGTGGCTGAACCTAGGAGAGCGTCCAGACTATATGTCACTCCCTTCACTTGCTCAACCTCACCCCGCTCGATCGTTCCAAATTGTAAGATTCGGCCATCGGAGGGAGCCAGAAGGGCACGAGGGTCGGGATCCAAAGGTCGAACGCCAGGCTTCAGTTTACGGTAGAAGAATGCTGCCAAATTCGGGTAGGTGTGCAGGTCAGGCTCGGCAACCTCTTCAAGGTTGACGCCAAAAGCCCAGGAATAGAGTTTGAATCCAGGAACGCGGAGGTAGTAAGGAAGTTCGATTTCGTTAAACCGGCCCCACAGGCGGGACATGGCCTTCAGGGGTAGAGTGGACATGATCTGAATATGCCATGGGCCTGACAGAGTAATCCTCGGACGACGAGGTGGCCGTTTGCCTTCCTCCCATTCATCGCCGGCCGCATCGCGGGCCAGCCGATTCCGTTCCGCACGTTGCGACTTGTAGAAAGACAGCAACCCTAGCAAACCAATTCCGAGTCCAACTGGGATGGGATACCATTCGACCTTGGTATTGCGTAAAGCAAAACCTAGTCTTGAGCCAAATCCTCCTCTATTGTTTTCAGAGTTATTGTCCTTCTGATATTGCTTCCATGATTTAGATGAAAAATGCCGGAGACTGGCCTTATGGCGGGCCGTGGCCCGGAACGAGAAAAACTCCATCGACGCCCCGGTCCAAGGGGCAGCGGGAGCACAATGAAAGAGAGGCGAGGAAGTGAAAAGGCGCTTGGCCATAATGTTTAATCCATCGGCCTGGAGCGCTAAAATCAAGCCCCTAAGCTTAGAGCGTTTTTTTCCGAAATGGGGAAATACGCTGTGGCCGACTGTCCGCCCGGCAGAATTGCACGTGGAGATGCTGGAGGTACAATGCAGCGATCTTCTTCTTTACATCAAACACATTCTGTGAACCAGCGGTTCTGCGGTTCGGACGCTTTGCATCTGTGATCTTTTACCTTCTTTCCAACTTGCTTTCTAGTTGTCATAGAGTCCCACGAATATCAATTACACTATCAACATCGCTTAGTTATCGATAGATGCCAGATATCAGCATCTAGATCGGCTCTATATACGCTTTCCAGCCCGTGAACAAATATAGCTCTGAAGGAATGGCGAAACGATCATCATCCCAGTCCATGGCAGAGGGAACCGCGCCGAGCACAATCACCCTTCATATACTCTGCCAGTCTCTACCCCCTCCAAGCCGGTTTACACTCAAAAACGTTCCACTCTCTTCCACAATTGCGCAGCTCAAGGGGCGGATCGAACAGTCCTTTCCAAAGAATCCCCAAGCATCACATCAGAGGCTCATCTACCGAGGAAAACCTCTAACTGTCGACGAGGCAACCCTCAGCGCAGTAGTCTCATCTATGGAGGTAAGTCACTTGTTCTTGACCCGCACCATATCACATTTTATCCTAACTGGATGGGATCGATCGCCTTTGCAGGAATCCACTGATAGTATGCACCTTGTGCTGCCACCTGAGCCAGCACAAGTAGAAGCACCTCCTGTCTCTGCCATGTCGCATGGTTCGCCGCTCGGGAATTCTGCTCAAGCTTTCACATCCACATCCACCTTGTTGAATCCTGATACTTCGGAGACTGCATCCAGTACATCCTCGTACTCCAGCATTCCCAGGACAATGAGCTCCACCCCGGCATCTCCACACGTCGCATCCAGTCAATACGTTCACAACTCTCGACCCAACCCACCTGAAGCCGATGGCGCGGATCTCGCTCAGCGTATTTCCACTCTACGAAGTCACATCGTGGATATTGAGGCACAACTGGACCGACATATCCTGCCATCCATTCAGAACATCATTCATATACGCAACCAGCTTCTTGAAATTCAAGATAATCGACCTGCGACTCAACTCCCCGTCCCTGGTGTTGCGGAACTAGTTGCCCGTATTCTTGATGCTCAACAACGTGCCCGCTTAATGGAGTATACGCAACAGCAGCATCCGCAAACAAACGTTCAAGTTCAAACCGTCACCGTTTCCCGAAACCAAGCAAGCGTAACTCCATTATTTATGCTGGCCTCGCCAATCGGAGACCATAATTGCCTCGTGAGACAGACTTTTACAGTACCCCAACTCACAGCGCAGCGGGAAACTTCGCCTAACACAGTGCCCGCTGGCGAAACTGGTGCACCTCTAGCACCCCAAGTTCCCCCAGCACCCCAAGCTCCCCCACCATATCAAGTACCTCAAGCACCCAACCAAAATGCAGCGGTAGTCCAGAACGCCCTCCGCCAAGCAATGCTCAATCAACAGCGCCGAGGCAACAATGTCGAGCACGCTGGTCTGGCACGACACATCCGCCGCATCTGGCTGTTTACCCGGCTGTGGCTCTTCTGCTACCTCATCAGTGACCCTGGTACCTGGAAGCGTTACATCTTCGTCAGCATTGCGTTGCTTATTACATACTTTTCCGAGACCAGTGCCCCGCGGCAGCTCCTATCTATGATCATCAGCCCAATCCAACACCACCTCGAGGCCCTCACCCATGCCGGTGGACCAGCAGATCGAGCCACTCAGAATGGAGCCACTGACGCTACGGAGTTCAATATTTGGGACCAGATACGCCGCGCGGAGCGAGCCCTTGTCTTTCTTTTTGCCAGCCTAGTTCCCGGTATTGGAGAAGGACATGTCCGCGCTCGAACTGCAGCAGACCAAGCCTTCGTAGCTGAGCAGGAACAACAGGCACGCGAGCGCCAGGAGCAGGAACAGACACGGGAGCGGGAACGCCAGGAGCAGGAACGGGCTCAGGCTGGCGTTGGAGACGCGGAGAATGCAGGTATTGAACAGGAGGCTTCTGCTGCGCACGCACAATCTGAAGCTTGAGCATGGTCCAGGACGGAACTGACTGACGCATATGGCGAGGTACATTTGCTTTTTATGTTCTTATTCTTATCAGCGCTAGCGTCTCCTATCTAGTTTACAATTGAACTCAACGTGGGCCAAAGTGATACCCACAACAATCATCAACTCAAATTTACAAGGTAACAGAAGAATGGTCTACAGGTCGTTTATTTACAGGTTATGCGTAGAAAAGTCTTGATACAACTTAAGCCTCTTTCTTTCTGCCGCCTACCTACCTATAGCCCCGAGAAGGAGAAAGCACCTCAGAACGAGGATCCATACACGGAACATCTAAAAGACGACTAAAAGAACATACAAGAAGACTTCTTAAAGCCACACCAGCGGCCAACTATTTTTGTACATCGTACCTTGTGTCTTCAGTGTTATCAAAATATATTGTGTGTATGTTGACTATGTTTCATGAGTCTGTACTTTATACCGCTAGTAAGATCTCGTTGCGGACGAGAGCCACTCTATGGCTATCGCCTAAGCATTGAAGTGATAGACCATGTTATCCCAACATTTAATAGCTCAGCTTTCGTGCTCTATTTGCAGTCACCGGTATCTGCTCATTTCAAAGAGACGCAATGGCCCCTCACTCTATCCATCGCAAGCCATTGCCCCGTATGATCACACAAATTATCAGTTCACAACTTCGTGGCCCCGACATTCGCAGATGGCTCAGAAGGCGAAGCCATGGTTATATTAAAGGATTCCTCGCCATCAAAGTGCCTGCCAGAGTCTATCAGTATATTTTCCCAACATCAAAGAGAAAAGAGAAAAGAGAAGAAAGGATTCCACTTACCATCCACGCTCAGCACCACCACTCAAAAAGCTACAATCCCCATTCGCAACGCAATCCCATCCACCCCCAACACCACGTCCATTCCTCCATTGCGGCGGAGACCCCGACGCACGAAGGAATGTCGTACCCTCAGCAAGCGTTTCCTCATTGAGATTTTCTTTCTGGTCACTGCTATGTCCGGCACTAGCAGTGGAAGAAACCCCTCTCCTCTTGAAAGTACTCAATCCAGCTGTGAAAACATTGAAGTCCTCTTCAGCACTATCGTCCGGCATGTGGCCCGTAAGAGCCCGTCCCATCGCGATGAGCGGCGCGGCATGTGCGCAGATCAGAACTGACTTGCTAGTTCTTTGGTCTGGTGGGAGGTCTGCTTCCAGGGCGGAGACTTCTGCGTCGATGTCTGCGATTATGCCTTCCAGGGCTGTCGCTATGCGGTTATGAAGCTGAGTGATTGTCTCACCGCGTCTTGAGGGGATGAGGAGGGGTTTGTAGAGTTGGCTGACGTCTGAGAGGAGGGTTGGGAAATGGGTGGACATTATTTCGGGGGTTGGATGGGCTGGGTGGTCGAAGAAGTTTGTCGCGCCGAACCATTCTCTGTATTCAAATTAGCTTATGTGTTGCTAAGGCGCATGTAACGTGCTTCCCTTGTTGGTGAGAAAACAGAATGATTGGTTTGGGAAGTGGGAAGGAAGTATAACTATGAAGAGAGGATATACTACTTACCCTAGCCCATTCTCAATTCGTACGTCTAGCTCCGCATGTCGATCAATTGATCCAATCTGGCCATCTATCTGGTTCTTGTCAGATTCAGCAGATATTCTCTTGAGCTCTTCAACAGACGGCTGGATTGTTTGAAGGCAACGGTAAAATGGACTCGAGTAGACACGGAATGGCTTCGGGTGGAATTGGGGGCCAGCAATGTGTTCTGCTAGCTCGTACGACTGATTGACGCCGTGCGATGTCAGCGCAGGGTCTGCTGGGTTTCCTGTGGGCGTTGGGAATTGAGCCCTGTATGTGCCCGTGCGAAAGTCAATGGTCCAGCTGAGGCGGTGCTGCGATAGTTAGGTCTACAAGTCCACAACAATGTCTCCATGGAATACATACCCCATGGCGAGTCAGATATATCGTGTCCAAAGGCATTTTGTAGTGTATAAACGAGCTGTTCAACTATGTACAGGCCTTAGTGATTGTTGCGGGGGACAAGGCAATATACATATGGCACCCGAGGGCGGTGAATGTATACCTCGGTCCAAGTCTACGTTTCTGAGAAAAAGGAGAGAATGATAGAAACATTGCAGACCAGAATCATCTAGCATTGATATACGAGCGAACCGTGTACTCTGCAAACCATCAAAAGTGCGGAACAGGGGGTATTTTGTTCACAGCTACAAATTCCAGATTACATTCCAGGGTCCAGCCCAGTACAACCAACGCCATGCACAACCAGTCAAAGCAAGAACTTTTTCTCAATTCTTTTTTAGAACGACTCCATCTAGTAGAAGAAGCCGAGGAGCTTGCCAGCAACGTGCTTGCGGCGAGCCTCCTCGTGATCCATGATACCGGCGGAGGTGGTCAGGACAACGTAACCGAACTGACGGGAAGGAAGGAGCTGGGTAGCCCACTTCTCGAGGTCACGGAGCTGGACGGGGTAGCGGGGGTTGATGACACCACACTTGTTGAGACTGGAGATATAAGCGTTAGACTGCTGTTATATTGAAACTGGTGGATGTAATGGTGAATACGTACCGGCCGTTCAGCTGGATGACAATCTTGCCGGAACGGTGGTCATCGACCTCCTCGAACTCGCCAATGTAACCTGAGAGAAAAGAGAGTCAGCATGTTGTGAAGATTTAAAAGTCGTCAAATACTGAAAAAAGCCATAACAGCGCTTTGGAAACGTGTAAGATCTTCGCAAATTGATATATCGGACACTTAAAAGGCAGACGTCGTAGGTGATTGAGACCGGCCGCCTAGTTATCAGCCCGAATGGGTGGGACAAATATTCTCAAGACAGGAAGTGAAAAAAAAGCAACAAAAAAGATGAATGAAAAGACGAATGGAAATTTTCAAAATTCACGTACCGTGCTTCTGCATGACAGCAAGGAACTTGACAATGACCTTGGAGGAAGGACGGATGAGGACCTGGCGCTTGCCAGCCTTCTCGGCGTTGTTCATGGCGTTAAGCGCATCGTTGAGGACGGAGGTCTTGACCATTTTGGCGGTTTAGTTCGAGATTCTCAAATCGTAACGTTTAAAAGTAAAGATTATGAGGTATCTGTTTGACGAAGGCGGTTCAAGTCAGCCACCACTAGTCTTCGAGCGCAAAGAGTGCCCCTTTTTTGCATTGCAAGGAGTTCTTCAGCCCGTGCCGAGTTGGGAGATGCGTATCATCTTGGCTTCCTGGATCGCGATTCCTGAGAATTATCTGTAATTCACGTATGGAAGCAATCTAGACAAGATGATTGCATCCCCAGACTAGCTGAGAGGCTGTTTTTGGGGCAGGGAATAACACATACCTCGAGAGATGGTCGTCGATGGATGAAACGGAAGAAATCGACGGTCGGTGAAAGTTTGGTTTTCGGGTGGTGCGCGGGTAGGGTTGGTGCCAGCTTTAGCCCTTATCGGAATAGGCACGTGAGATAATCATCGACAGATTGATGCCTGAATCCTTCAAGGCTGCAAGGCATCATATTTTCTACATCCATAATCTAGCTGGAACTCCAGGGCTGTCTGTACCTACGCAAGAATAACAGCTCGAAAAACCAAAACGAAAAATCAGCATTAAAACGCCAACACAAGTAATTATACAAAATCTTTACTTCTACTACTACTGACTCATCAGCCACATCATTCCCGAGGTCACTAATTCCATCCGTGGGCAAGTTTCGAATGGGTGGTTCTATACATAGTTTTCCAGCATGAGAGCATGGTTGAGGGCAAATATTGGCGTATACGAGGAAGAGAGACGAAATCAGGGACAGCTTTTTCATGACAATGACTCTTTTCTGGAGGGGGTGACATGAGGGGAAAGGGATACATGAATGGGGAGTACAGTAGAGGGGGAGGGGATACATGAATTCTTGGGCTACATGAGTCGCAATGCTATATGATGCGAGGAAGGGGGTCTTGTCTAATTAAAAACAACATAGAAGGGGGATTGGGAAAGGTGGAAAGGGTTGTATCAAGAAAAAAAAAAAAGAAACTCAGACAGGGCCGTACATAAATTGCGAAGGGTACCTGGAGCTCATTCGAAAGTGTCATCAGGGAACTGAGCACCAGTAAAGGGTTTTGAGAAACGGGGTTCGTGACCAAATGGTAGTGATGGAAGAGGGATCCTGTGCTGGGGAATAAAGGGGAGAGAAATTCGAGGCTATCAGCTAAGCGATCTGGTTCGACAACGTCGAGAACAGGGCATCCACCCAGCACACATCAGGAGCACCAATTCGGTGTGGGCTTAAGCAGCCGTGGGACCTATGGCATTGATGCCAACAGACCCCGATGTGAGTGGCAGACGCTTGGGGTGATGGAATCGGACCAGAAGCACTGGTGACCAATCGGATGAGACATGGTGATGGCTTTACGACATACCAGCACCCAGGTTGATCTGGCGCTTGACCTGCTCACGGGTCCAGCGGGCAGTCTCAATTGTGCGCTCACTGTACTGTCTGGTTGTGCGGGTCTCTCTAACAAGAGAGGTGACCCAATCGTTGCGGAAGTAGGCAGCGAGTTCGCCGTTGGGGAACGCATCAGCAAGATCACTAGAGATAGTTAGTATAGGGAATTCAGACTAGAAGCTGCTTAGACGTACCCAATAACACCCATAGCGGACCGCATCAGACCTTCGCTGCGGTTGCTCTCCTGGGAGATAATGTGAAGAAGCTGGAAAATAGACTCAATGAAGGGCTGGAGCTGGGTGACTGCGATCTAATTAGCATGCTGACATCGTATCTGCGCAAGGGGTAAAGAGCAACGTACTAGAAGGAGTGCCCTTGTAGGACAAAAGAATACCACCCCAAGCATCCATGATGCCTTCACGAAGAGAAACAATGTAATCGACCATGTCGTATGGGAGGTCGGAGCTGGTGGTCACGCTGGAGGCTTGCTGAAGAACCTGGCCAACGACCGCCAAATACGTATCGAAGTTAGTACCGATGGCCTGGGCGATATCGCCGAAGGTCTCAAGAATCGCAGGCTTGAGCTGGTTGGTGGAAGTCTGTTTCAAAGATTAGCATTGTACATCAATCTTGGTATATCCGAAAGAAACAATCTTACCTGGAGAGTCTTGAGCAGGAGGTTCATGAAGGTGTCACAGTAAGGCTGGACCTTCTCGTTCAAGGCACGAGCAATGTCACTGACCAAGCCGATGGCCATAGAGCAGAGACCGGGCTCTTCCTGGTTGCCCAGAGCGTTGTACAAGAATGGGCTGAACGACTCCATGTACTTGATGAAATCATCCTCAAGAGCACTAGCAATAGCACCAACGGTGGCAAAGATGACATCCGGGACGCTTGACTTGGCGCCAAGGGTACTCAGGACCTGAAGCAGCACACTCATGATACGGTCAGCCTGAGGCTTAATCTCGCCCTCAAAGCGCTGGACGATAGCCAGAATGACACTGATCAAGCTAGTCTGCATCTCCTCGAGGAGAATACGGTCCTCGGGGCTAACGACCTGCTGCTGCATGGGAACAGTGTGCTCAAGACGCTGGATGATAACATCTGAGAGAGTTGCAACCATGGGCAGGCTGTCATTGGCAGAGTTCATAACAAAGGAGTTGAGAACTTCGTATCCAGCGGTACGGAGCTGGTTATCGGCGTCTTGTCTGTACGGGCATTAGATAAAAAAAAAAAAAATCAAAAGCATTTCACTTGGGGGACATACCGCTCGGTCACGGTCAGCAGGGACTTCACACTGTCCTCAAAGTGCTTCGACAGAGGGTTAGTCTGTGAGCCATCGTCACCAGCAAATCTGTCTGCGACGTTCATAAGAGCCCAGCAGCAGGAGCTGGCGATCTTGGGGGAATTGGCGAGGCCGTTGAAAAGGCACGAAATAAGCGGCTGGAGGTGGACCTCGGGGTCGAGGACCTCGGGGCAGCAGTCACACACGCGACCCAGGGCGTAGGCAGTGGAGTCACGAACGGAGACGGAGCTATCCTCCATCATGCCAAGCAAAACAGACAAGGCCTGCTTGATCAGGGGCTCGAGAACTGCGGGTTCGGGGCCTTCCATAATAGCGCCGAAAGCAGCGACGGCGGCATCACGACGGTGCCAGTCCTCGTTGCGGATGTTCTCCTCGACAAAAGTCACGACGGGCTGAATGACATCACCCTGCACACACTGGGCGTAGAGCTGCATAGCCTGGTAGGCAGCACGGGACACGTTGTATTCATCATCACCAGCATCCTCGTCCTGGCGGCACATAGATTGCAGCAAGACGGGAACAACCTCGCGGGTTGCAACGCGAGCAAATCCGAAGAAAGGACGAGCTTCAACGCCTTCCTGCTGAGCCTATAGGAGAGATAATGTCAGTACATGTTCAAGCTCACCCGGTCTCGTGCGCTTGATACATACCTCAGCGTTGTCATCCTCGATGGCAATCTCCTCCTCGCAGACAGTGCACCAGAACTCAATAGCCAATTTGGCGACTTCCTCCTCCTCGCTCTTCATGCCCATGATGCTCAGGCCAAACAGGGCCTTCTCCATGTAGAAGCGCATCTTCTCATAGTAGGATCCCATAATGCGGTTCAAGCAGCCGAATGCAGCAGCTTGCACACGGACCTCATCGGCCTGGGTGGCCTCGCAGACGACCTGCATAATGTAGTTGCGCTCTCCTTCATTGTCCATATTGGTTCGCACGAAATCGACGGCATCACTGAGAGCGGCAATAGCGGCATAACGAACATCCATGTTCGGCTCCTCGCGCCGAGCACCCTGAACGACCGCAGTAAGGATAGCATTAGAGTGTTGTGTCAGACTGGCGCGGAGTTCAGGATCTTGTGACTCGCAAATGTAACCGATTGCCGTGAGAGATGACTGCTTCAGTGCGTCGTTTCCACTGGCGACATTTTGGACAAGAATTCCCATCAGCTCGGGCCACTCACCACGCGGCAACTCGATGGCGGCGATCGAAACAATCAGTGTGGCGGCGGCATTTCCAGCGCGAGCATCGGGGGACTGCAGAGTCTTGAGCGCAAGCTCTTTGACCTGTTTCTTGGTATCGGGGTTGATGCTCTGAGCCCATCGGAGCTGCACCTCGCGCAACTTGGCTTGATCCCGGAAAGTGAAAGCGTTCTTCAAAGCGATACCAGCAGCGACACGAATGTGAGCGGGGCTACTCTCGTTGGCGAGTTCCTGACCGAGGGTGATGAGGTAGGCAGCCTATCGGGTGACAGAAGTATCAGCATTCGGGGTCCTAGGAAAACCTTCCTTGACTCGAGGCAGGACGAAGGGGGGTTATGGGAAGACACATACGAAGTCAACCTCCGCGGCGTGGGCGAGTTGCTGTTCGGCATTGCTACGCTCGGACGCATCTGGGGCGAGGGTACTCTGCAACACCTGACGGGCGTCCATGATGTGCAAAGAAATGAAGGATGTGGGGGGAAGAGAAAAAAGAAGGAAAAAAGAGGTGGATGAAAGATTAGAAAAAAGATTTTGAAACCCCTCTGGACCCGATTCAATCAAAGGGTTCGACACTCGGAGATCACCACGATAGAAGCAGTGGTGGAAAGAGGATTTCCTGTGGAAGAGTGGGAAGAAGGGACGGGGTGTTTTTGTGGATATGACGAGGCGGCATGCACTAGGTCTTTCCGCAACAAGAGGCACTGAGAGGAACAGGTGCCTTGAGTGCACGCCCAAATTTCAACACACAATAATGAGGTAGGAAGGTCAGGAAAAGATGGAAGTAGCTGTAAAGGTGCAAGATATGTGAAGAGACTAAAACAAAGATTCGAAGCAAGAAAGACCACAATGAGTTGAGGTTCTACGGGGACCGCCTTCTGATTGGTCCTGGTGCGGGGGTTAGTAATATACACGTGACTTTATGCCTCAGGCAGAAGCACTCCCTTGCTCAGCCAAGGAGCGAGGACTTTTAAGTCTGCTAGAAAAAGAATGAGCTGAGGATATACCAATTTGATGAGCTCAATGCTCACTTTGTTGTAATGCAGTGACTATTCCAGACGTTGGGCCTGTCACATATCCCGTGAGATTTCCAACCAGAAGGGCCTCAATTCTAACTACGTAAAGAACAGTATTTTGGTCTAAATTCTATAATCTTTTGTGAATGGCCACCTTAGGTTATATGGATATCCCAATCATTCATGGACCATCCAAGGTCTTTGTTGGCCTAATGATCACTCGAGGGTAAATACTTGCGCTAGGTTTTGTAATTAGAATTGGCAAAGAGACAAACAACCCATATTACTACATGTCAACACACCGTGGGTGACTCTCTAACTTAAATAGAGTATTAGATGTGCTGGTATCCTCGTGCTCTATAATAGTGAGTTCGCGAGACATCTCCGACCTCGAGTAGGTGAGGCTTCGCAGCCTTTTCATATGATGCTTCATGACATATCAGGTCTACGTTTGAAAGATATTCGCATTAGTTTATAGGAAGAGGTTGCAAAACATATAGTGATGAATTGAGGAGCCGTGTGAAGTGCACGCGACACAATCTTCCACCTCTCAGCAACTCTCTTGAACAATATACAACATGGGCGTAGCTCAACTCTCTTATTAGCGCGGCTGGAATTGAATTTGTAATGGAGGAAGTGTGGTGGTAAAAGTATCCCGAGTCTCGGTCTCAAATGCCTCTCCAGTCTCGCCGGGACCGAATTGGATGTGGAACAATTGGGCCAAAGTGGAAAGCGAAATGCGAAGGCTCATCATGCCCAAATTCTTCCCGGGACAAGTGTAAGGTCCTAGAGAATCGTGTCAGGGAACCAATCATGAAGCTTGGGTTGGGTAGTACTTACCAAGGAGAAATGGAAAGAAGGGAGCGCTCTCTGAGCACATCTCTGTCTTCTCGTTCCATCGCTCTGGTACAAATTGTTTGGCATCGGTGTAGTACCTCTCATCTGTCTGAATCAACTGCACGGGAACGAAAACATTGACATCCCCGGGAATGTACACCTCATCGATCTGTAATCCCTCGGCTGGGGTAACGCGGTATCCACCCGTCATTACCGCAGGTCGCAGGCGAAGTGTTTCATGAATGATATCGTCAAGATAAGTGACAGACTTGACCTTCTCATATGACCAATCCTTTGACCTTCCCGGCATGACTTCATCTAAATGGCATTGCAGCTTTGATAGCACTGCAGGATTCTTGGCTAGATAGTATAGCGCAGATGCCAAAGTAGTAGCTACAGTCTCACTACCACCCACTACAACCACTCGGGAATCCTGATGGAGAGCAGCCTCGGTTGGAGCCGCAGATATATCCTTCTCGACATAGGCTTTCAACAGCCACGAGACAATATCCTGTGGGCTCTTGTCCATATCCCACTCCTGTATTCATAAGTACTATGCTGGATACGTGTGCGGAGACCAACTTGCGTACCTTTTGCTTTCGCTCAATTTCATTCGTACACCATTGGAAAAAGCTGGAATACCCAGACACTGCTCCTGGGATTCGATTGGCTAGATTCAAAAGCCAAGGAACATGGCCCATTGTTCCGAGAACAGCCATATGGTCATGAATGCCTTTGATCGCCGGATGCTCAATGCCTGTAGCCAGGTTGTTGAATTCTTTGCCGAATCCAACATTTCCCATAATGTCGAAACTGAGAAACATTGACCAGGCACTAGCATCAAGAGGTTGGCCTAGATTTCTTCCAATATAAGCAGCAAACTGGTCTACCTTATCCTTGACACGTGGCTCGTAGGTCGCAAGGGCTAGAGATAGTTAGTACTGTAGGGAGAAAGACTTAGGATCAAAGGTTGCTCTGCCCACCCCTGATGCTGAAACTACGGTCCCATGCCTTGTGTCGCTTCCGATGATCCACTACATCGCGCGTTTGATGAATCGAACAAAACTTGGCCTGCGTCGACACCTGAGCATAATATGTTGATTTCAAGCACTTAGACTCGGGACCAAATATCAGCGGCACGGCGGATTTTCGAACAATGCAGATTTCCCGCGGCCCTATAGAAACGCAAGTCTCCAAATCAGCCTTGGGTTATGTACCCCGATCATGTCAGACCAACCAGTTCGGATAAAATCGCCGTATGTGTCGTGCAGTCTTGCAATTTCCACATTATACTGGACGTTTCTGCCTGCAAGGTAGGCATCATAAAACCGGGACAGTTTGGAAAGCACAGGCCCTGGGAAGTGATTTAGACGGTGGAAAAATAACCGATAAATTCCAATACTCGATATAAGGCCCGCATTGAATGTGAAAGCAATCCAGCCCACGCGGATGAGTATTTGCAATATCGCAAGATTTGTGGCGAAAATGTATATGAGCGCGACCAAACAAAGGGTCACGATATACAGGCCGAGAAGTCCATAGAGATGTTCTTCTACTGGCAAAGTGCGAAAAATTGATACATGAGATAACACTCCAAGGCCCGCCACAGAGAGCCCGAGACTGAGGAATTCAATGCTTAATGCCCGACTGATTCCCTCTACGGAGAACAGCGATGAGCTCATGGTGAACAGCTATAAGAGAAAGAGGATTTGGTACGGTCGGAATACAACACAGGCTCTTCTCAGACATCGCCTTAGTAGTTCTCTGCTTTATATATTCTAATGACAACAGTATCATTGGTAGCAAAACAGGCTGCTGTATGACCCCAGGTACTTTGCCCCCAAAGATCAGTGCTGCGAAGCCATTGCTGAATGGTAATCAAATCGTAGCAAATTGGACACCAGTATGCATGCAGCTATTTTGGTCTCATGTCCCTTGAAGTCTCGCCCCCGATTTCTTCTTCTTTCCTCGATTACATGCGACTGGCTCTTTCTAGCTATTCTTCACGAGGCTTCATCCCAGTTTCGATACTCCAGGCCTATGACATCTCTTCTCATTCTGCACTCAGCCCAGAACAGCCTGTCAATCATTTCGCCAAGAGCACGTATTGTATAAAGACGAATCCACGATATAGTCTACGTTACTTGCAAAACAAGATTGGTCCATGATTTGGAAGTCTACCTCAAGATGGAACCTCTTTTGATTCGAGGTGAGCCGCCGAGTATGTTGTACTAGGTACTAGCTCTATATTACTCCCACTCATCATTACATCCGATTCCTGCGAGCCATACCTTGAGAATATATATGTCATTCGGGACACGAATTATCTCGTCCGAAACTTGTTTTATACGTCGATTTTGACCATGCATCTTTCTTGCTCCGCAACGGGAAAATCTCGCGCGCTGCTGCTATGGCCAGGCCGCATCATTTTACCTCTGAGTATTGAACGGGAGGCTCATTCTTAGCGTGATGGGGAACTTCCCGCTGTGGAGAATGAGAGCACAGGTCGGACTTGCATTGGGATCAGCACTTGAGCAAGCTTGCAATGCTTGGCAATCATAATCTCAGGCCCGGTTTAAAAATCTAACGAGGACCAGATCCTTTGTTGCTTCTCGCAGTTGTAAGATGGCCTTGCCTTCTACACCCTGCTTTATACGCTTTTATTGTATAGTAGGTGAACAAAACTGACAATTGGGAACCTTCGGCCCCTTACATACGGGATCATATCTATTATATTTGCTCTTAGTCCTATATTAATCTCTATTCGTCTTTACTATCGATGGCGTCTCGAGATCCTCGGTTGAGATGATATGGTCGCTATATGGGGGGACCCGGGAAAAGCTATGAACAAAGGAGCGACATACATATCTTATTGGTCTAGAATGAAAGAAGAAGAGAACGATTTGACACCATTGAGTCAGCACGTACTATTGACTGGCCTCTTACCCCTCCAGAAGTCCCTTCAATGCCTCAGCAGGTGTAATTTTGGGTGGAGCGAGCTCCAACACTGCCTTGCTCGTGGTCGAAGCCGTGCATTTTCCATCCCATGCAGTCTCCGCAGCGTGTTTGATAGAGGTGATCACGTTCTTTGATTGATGGGTCGGCGCATATTGGTACTCATAGAGCATATCCACGAACGACATATCTTGATAGTCGACATGTTCAACCTGTGTACCAGTGTACTGCTCGACCAAATCCACGACCTGCTTCCCAGTAATATCAACTGGTCCATTAAGAACATATTTGGCCTTGTTGTGCACAGCAGTATCGTCTTGGGACAAAAGATGAGCCGCAAAGACTCCAACATCGTTGGGATTAATCACACCAACAGGCGCATCCATCGACGCCATCAGTTTGAGCCCCCCCTGTTTTCCGGTTTTGCGGTACTGTTTGATGAATTCCGCAGCACCCGACAGATAGAAAGTTGTAAAGACGTTGGGCTGGAGTGAAGTCCACTGCAGGTTGCTGAATTCGGGCGAGCTCAACAGAGCCTCGATCGCCCAGTGTGTACGTGGATAGTAAGCTTTACAATCCGGGCGGACATTTGCAGCAGTGGTCGAGATTCGGACAACGTATTTGACTCCGGCGTTCAAGGCGGCAACGTGGAATGTAGACTCCTCGGAAAATTGACTCGGCTCGTTGTGTGGTGCAATGAATGCTCTGACTACTTGATGTTCACGGAGCCAGTCGGAGGTGATTTCAATCCAGTTCTGCTCCATCACCTCAACTCCAGGCAGTTTGGCGAGCTTTTGGGCCACTGGACTCTTGGAGGAACGAGTAAGAGCAATGATGCGGTGGTCGGACAAAGTCTTGCTTGATTGAAGCAACTTTGGCAGGGTTTCAACAACAGCCTGGCCAGTGTTGCCTGTGGCACCGACGACGAGGATGGTTGGAGCCATTTGGGAAGAAAATAATTGTAGGAAATTGTAAGGAAAGATGTGCTGTAATGGGTGTCAATGATCGAGCTACTTGCTGTGAACTTATACTTGCGCGCAGTCTTGGCAATTTGAATTTTGACTTATCGGCCCCTTGGGAATATAGGATATATTACTAAAGAAAGACGCAATTGGAATCCATCAGGTTCGTAGAATTGGTTGATAGCAGTGGCATCCCACTCTTGGTGGGAGACCGGTGGGAAGCCGGTGGGAGGCCGGTGGACGGGGTATGGAATCCCTAATCAACCAATGATAGCGTCCTGGAATGAGATCAACGCGTCATTGTCATCTCTCATCACCTCCAGTATTCGACCTTATGGCAAGCTCAGATGCACTAGAACACCCATCTGCGGCTGTGTCGAACTCCGATACATTCAAATGTTATTTTCCTGGCTGTAACGCCAGCTACCGGCGCAAGGAGCACCTGCATCGCCATGAAGGAAAACATCTCCGGCAGTCTTTCACATGTTCCAACTGTGGTCGAGGATTTGGACGAAGGTAACCTCCTTCTTCATATACTGATTCTCACCAATTCTTACCATCTGGAACTCAGTGACACACTTCGACGCCATGTTCGTCAACGTCATGGAATAATTGAACCTCTCAAGCGTGCACAGCGAGCTTGTGAGAACTGCCACGCGGCTAAGTCTCGATGCGAAGGAGGTGTACCTTGCGATGAGTGTCGACGTCGTAAGATCCAGTGCTCTTTCGACGACGACTCTACTGGTACGGCAGAAAATCCATCTCCCACCTCTGCAACACAACGCGCATCGAGCGTGAAGCATGATCAGCCACGGTTACAGAATGCAGAAAAGACGGAGCACTACATACGTCTTTACTTTGAGACTTTTCACCTCTCTTGGCCATTTATTCACAAAGGGTCATTCGATGTACGTCATGAAACGCCCTTTCTGATTCAATCAATGATTGTGATAGGCCTGTGGGCTACCAGAGAGCAATCTGCACAATCAGCAGCAGTAGAGCTCCATGGTAAACTCGACTTGGCCCTTCGAGATCAAAAGGTTTGCGCTGTTTCTCCACAATACGCCAGCTTTACTAAGGCTCTCTGTAGGAGAAATGGGATGCCTCTGAGGCAATTGAGGCTTGCAGTACCTGTGTCTGGCCAATCGCAATGTACCAGGCTATCCTACTACATATCATTTTCTCTTTCGTTATCAGCAACCGGGCTGCTATCGATTTTGACCTCAAAATCACCCTTCCCCCTGCTGATTTGGGATTACTCGATGCTCTTGTCCGAAGTTGTCGAAAGCTAGGCATGTTCTATTATCCGAACATTCTTGCCAAATATGGAGAAACCGACTTGGATTCTTTCATCTGGGTTGGCATCGAAGAAATCAAACGATTCAATATAGCCTTGTATAAGGTTTGTGGAAAGGCAACCAGCTCTACTATAAGAGACGGAAGCCGTGGTGATATCAATGCAGTGCGGTCTTTGTTAACCGCAGGTGAACTTCAGTTCCCGCTGCCGAGCAATTGCCTTTTGTGGAATGCCGCTGGCAAAGATCAATGGACGGTTCTTGTGGGTGATCAAAAGTTGGCTTTCTTAGACGATTACTGCCAAGAGCACTGGATATCAAATTCTGCAGAGGCATTAGATTTTTTCATGTCATAGAAGCTTGAACATTTGTGCTTGGGGTAGAGAGCTGGGCACTCATAAGCCTTTCATCCTACTGTGCATCTGATAAATAACGGAATCAACCTCAGAGGGTAAAAGTCCAATCAGACCAGTCTATAATGATATTGATCTGCTCCTGTTGCTATATTGTACTCTATGTGGTGCTCTATCTAGCCAAAGTACCAAATTTACATCCCATCCTCGAGGAACTCAATTCGAAGAGGAAGAAGAAAGATGGAGCAGAGAGGCGAATGAGTGTCAACTCAACAAGGCATGCAACTAGGTAAAAAGGGAGAACACGCCGATGACAGACTATTCAAATCGGAATCGCTATCCTCTGAGAAATTTATGTAGCAGGCCAGGCCAAAGTCAGTTGAAGGCAAATCCCTGAAGGGGGCCTGTGTTGTTGTGTTAGCCACACTGCCCTGTCAAGACCGAGAAGTGTGACTCTCGAAGTATCCTACGGGAAAGCCCCCTAACCCGAGGTTCCATATCATCCAAACGCGGTCTGGATTTCCGTATAATAATGTCTTAATTCTCATCATTCTCTTCGTCACTATTGGAATCTTCCTCTTCATCATCATCTTCTTCCTCCTCTTCCCCTTCTTGGTAATCCTCGTCATCTTCCTCGTCCTCGTCCTCTTCCATGGCAGCATCCAAATCCAAAACCTCATACCGCATAGCATCCCCATACAACACACAAATAGCGCGCCGTCCCTTCCGACCATTGACGTCAACATGCACAGGCCGCGCCTTAGGGCCATGTAGAGCAAAGCGATGTATGAGGACACTCGCATGAGGGGATTCAGCCGAGAGATCTAGTGTCGTAGCTGATGTAGTAGGCTTGGGAGCGGATGACGTGCTGTCACACTCAATGTAGTCCAGTACAAGAGGTGATGAGTCGGTTGTATCGCTTTGTGATTGTGTTGAAGCGGGCTGGAAGGGGAAGTTGAGGAGATAGGAGGAACCCTCTGTTTGGATAGATTGTTAGATTGTGCATACAGAACCTATTATAGATGTAACAAGTGGGTTTGTAAATAACTTACTGCTGTCGCGCCAGAGGACCATAAGTGTATCGTCGTTGACGAATTGGAGTTGGCGGACTTCACCATCTTGCAAGTCGAGGGTTGCAAGAGACGTGCTCCTTGTTGAGCTGACACCGCCGACGGAGTTGAGGACGACGCGGTAGAGGTAGACTGGTTACGCGGGTATAAGTAGTTGTAATATAAGGGAGACTGCATGCCGAACCTTGATGATTTGATGTGACTGATCGGGTAGCGACGTATATCGAGCAAGGCTGGCCTTCTACGACATCCTGTTTCGCAAATTAGCATCTGAGACAAAAGCCCTCAGTCTCGAACTTACTTCGTAGCAGAAAGTAAGATCGATAACTTCCTGGTCGCAATCAGAGTGTAGCGTCAAAGGCGAGCGATGGAGGATTCCCCTGCGTTGAGTCAAGGCAATATCCCCAAAGACTTTCTCAAACTGGACACCTAGACGCTTCGTCAAGTCATTGAGCTTAGGCGTCTCGACAGATGTACCATCACTGCCCTTGTCCCGAGACTCGCGTTGCTGTTGAAGAAGGGACTTATAGGTGTCGAAGAACGAGCGGTCATGGCCATCTGGAAGCCATTTATCAGTGGGAGGGGCAGGAGGCTGAACAACTCCAATCATAGGAAGTTGGCGGATGAAGTTCCGCAGCGCACTTTTGGTCAATGCGCCTTTGATGTACTTCACAGTAGGAGGGACATCGAACAAGTCTCGTTTCTCCTGCATCTCTTCTAGTGTTTGCGACAAGGGATCGCTGTTGAGAACATGAATCTCTTGACGAAGCCATCTGGAGAAAGCGGCGAATTGACCCAGTTCCTCGTTGGCATGAGTGAGGACATGGTGTGCCAGAAGATGGAGACAATCGAGTGTCTCCACGATAGTATTGAGCTTCGTTGTGTCCAGCCCAAGGACATCGCTTAGCTTGTGGAATTTAGATAATCCAACCAATCGACTGAGAAGGACTTGACTGCGTTCCAACGCTGGAAGCAGACATTCGTGTGTCAGTCGTCGAATACTCTCGTAGCCGCCTGAGACGGCCTTATCCCATCTTTTGTGGCCCTATGTCGTCCATTAGCGCACCATTACCCAAATCGCAAAGCTCACATACTCTTTCCCCAACAATATCCGTGAGGAACTCTTTCATCGGCTCAAAGCAATGACCGGTAACCACCAAGTGGTAGACAGCGGTGATAAAATCACACTGGCACTTCTCCCTCAAGTCCTCATTAACACTGCGCAAGAACCGCGCAGGAAGCTCCTGCGCATTCTTCCACTCAAGCTCAATCTGCCGTTGCACCTGACCGATATATCGCAGCAAATTCTGAAGCTGAGTAGTCTTTGACGCAAGAAGAGACAGATATCTCCCAGACTTCGTGATAAAGCGAAGATCCATGGTAACAAGTTCAAGCGGACCACGAGTATCTCCCTTAGCCGGCGATACCAGCAGGGCATGCGTAGAGCTCAAGGGGTGCGAAGAATGCCGCAGGATACGGCACGAGTCGGAGATACCGGGGGAGCTTCCCACAGGGAAAGAACCAATCTCAAAGCAATCAAATATGCGCAGGTGGACGGTTCCATCGTCGAAACCGACAGAGAGCACATCAACCGAGTCATTAGTATCCTTCGAAGAATGGAATATGGCGTCCAGAGACGCCCGCGAACTAAAGACATCGTCGTCGCCTCCGGTTGCAGGCAGGGTACTCAGTTTCGGTAACGAACTCTCAATGTCCAGCAAGGCAAGTTCCCTCGGTAAATCCGCTTTGAGCATCGCAGTTGCCTTGGAAGGATATACTCCTGGTGCTAAAAGATCGTCAACGGAGACCTGGCCCGCGGATTCATCCAGTTGCCGCTGTGCGGCTTTGCTATCTGTAAAATTGACACCCCACCCAACGCATGTTGTCTTGGGTATCGAGTTTTCAGTGGGATCAGACTGCTCCTCTTTCTGCTGATAGGTCTGGTAGTGGTGCACCGTCTTCCCAGTATACGAACTGATGATGCGGAGCGAGCCATCTCCACACGCGACAGCGAGGAGGCGACCTGGTGTAGCGTTAGTGAACAATTGAAAGATATATAGAAGCAAAGCCGATAAGATCAAATCGTAGGAAAAGATTTATAGCTTAGCCCAATGACAACGAAATGCCAAACTCACCATTTCCCTTCCACGCCATCCCTCTAATCTCGCCATCCTCTTCATCCTCGCCTAGGTACGGATCTCCACCAAAAGAACCCCCGAATACTCGCTGTCCATTAAGTCGGAATACGCGCAGTTCCTCGTCCTCGGTCACCAGCGCTATTAGGTCCATCGTGGGACAGTACGCCACGGCCTGCGCCTTGCATTTTGCTGGTAGGGACTTCTCCCCGACCGGGGTCAGTTGGGGGCCCTCGGCTGCCATTGTGGGTGTTTATTTGTCAAGACAAAGAGCACATTCAGCCCATTCTTATTATGGGAACATTAGGGGTTTAAGACACGAGACGTGGCGCTGTTCCTTTTGACCGAAGCTGTTGATCGCGGTGGGTGGATACAAAGGGATTCTTGGCGCGTTTTGGTGTTCTGATCTGTTGGTATGGGATTCATCAACACTCTGGAGTTTACAATCGTTTCTACTATCTACTCGATTGGTAGAATTCACACATTCAGAAATGATAGTCGTTTGTATTTTCATTGATATGATCTTACTTCTATTGAGAGCTAAATGGTACATATGCGGAGTACGATAACTCCAATACCGACGACCAGCGCCGGTATTATGATAGTAAAGGCATGAGAATGATGGTGCGAGACAGAAGCCCCTGAAAAGGGGTCTCTCATCAGAATGGAGCCCCATCCATGTCAGCTTGGATGAGATTCTTCAGGTAGCTGAGCTCATCCATCAACTCCTGCATGGTAGCATTCCCTTGGAATGAGGCATTGCTGCGACGGGACCGAATGCGCTCAAGAGAGGCCTCGCTCACTTTCCGCTCCGCGACATGCAGATGTCGTTCTGAGTCAGAGCCTTTGTGGATCCCGGGGAGCAGGATCGGGGAACCATCGGGGCTGTGCGACATCGCGAGGGCTTCCATGGATTCAAGGGCGCTAAATAAGGCAGCGTGGCGCTTGGGATTGCTCTCCACTTCGTCCATGTTCTCGATGCCCAGACCTGAACAGTCGATACCAGGTGTGGACAGGGAGAGAGTGAGTTCAGGGAGACCGACGCTCCAGGGAGGGAGTCCTCCAGATGCCGAGATCGGGGAGGATGGTTTGGAGTAGACAGTGAGGTGAGGAGTGTTTGGGTCGGTATTGGTTGCACCATCGCCCGACTGCGAGAGGTCTGGTGTTCTCCATCTTTCGTCGGCCGAAGGCTCGTCCTGGTGGTAATCGGAGGTGGAGGCCGATGTCATCGACTCGTGCGGGTTATACTCGGTCTCAGTGTCCGTGCTCCATTCCGAGAATCGACTACATTCAGGCACCAAGGGAGAGTTGGTAGAGTCGATTGTTGTTGCTGTCATGCTGGAGAAGTGACTGCGCGGGATCTCGCCGTCCATTGCCTTGTCCCTCTCGTCGATGGCGCGAACTGCTTCATCCATGACTGACGATGGTGTGTTTGGGAGTGTAGGAAGCCTCTTTTCTTTGGTGAATGCGGCAGTTGGTGTGGGCAAGTCACCGGAGCTAGCGATATCTTTCAAAGTTTCCCTGATCGCGTGAGTTTCGTCAAATGCGGTGGCGTTTCCGTTTGCTGCGCTACGAGAAGGACTGCGTTTGCGGGGCTCCGGACGTGTCTGCACTGTGAGAAGACGGCCCGGTGCCGTTTCCCCAGCGGTTGCTTTCATCGCACGACGACTTTGAATGGTGGACGGACCAAGTTTGTCGGGAGAGCTGGATGGAATCGCAATTCCAGCGCTGACCTTGATCCCAGGGATGTTGCGGCGATTCTCAACAGTCTCTTGCTGCAGCGGTGCCACCTTAGAAGCATTTACTGGCTGGACTGGCTCGAGCTTTCTATCCGCCTCGGCGGGCTGCCTCAAAGCAGCTAGAATGGCTCGGGCTCTCGGGGGAGACATAGATCGTGAATCTTTCTTGTGGCCCTTACGAGCGGTGCTGCGCGGTTGAGATACACTCCGGTAAATTCCAGCCATCGGAGATTGACCTGAGGAGTTCCCGGGACTCTGCTCGCGGTGGACTGGCGCAGATGTCTGAAGACGCTGAAACTGAGGCTGAGGTGGTGGCTTCCGCGGGTTCATAAACTTGTCTTCGGGGTTCATGGTCCGAAGATGTTCGGATCTTTGGGAACTGCCACTTGCCGAGCGTCCATGTGCGCGGCTGTCGGGTAAAATGATAGGGACGTTTAACACATTCATGGGTTGTCCTGGAAGAAGCGGGCACATTGTGGTTACTGGTTCTGCCTCATTGTAATACTCTATATCATCGTCGAGCAAATACTTTTTTTCTCGTTAGTTCTTTCATCTCATATGCGAGGATATGAGCCTCACATAATACCAGTAAGTAGCCCCCATCTTTAGACCTCCTGTTCGCCATTGGGTCTTCTCTGGTCCATCGCCTATCATATCCGTAAAGGTATGGCATCCTCTCCAGTGTCCGGGTCCGACTCGCTTGTCTTTTTCCATCACATATTGCTTGGAGAAATTATCCCATGATCCGAGCAGCTTGACTGACCGGATCTCCGGTTTGGTAATCCTGAATTGTGGTCAGCGCATGGAGATATCAATTGCACTGGGTACACTCACAGTAGGAAAGTCATGAGGGTGGTTGAGATCATCGCAAAGACAGCAAGAATCGGAGTAAAAGAGAGGTAATAGCACAGATAAAAAGAACGAATCAAAGAAAATGCACAACAATGCAAAATAAGAACCAAAGAGAATGCTAAAAGACAGAATCCCAGTAGAGTACACGCAAATGCAAGGCAACGAAAGGACAGTGGTCTATAGAGATCAAAAGCAAAAAGGGTAGGTGAAAGCCCAAGCTCATATAACAAAACAAAGCTCACAGGCACTAGCACAGACACTAAGCCAACTCCACAAAGGCGGTTCTATAATTATAGCCGGGATTGGAAGCTGTACCTGTTTCAAGATCGAGTGACAGGTCTAAGAATAAACGGGTTTCAGGTGTGTTCGGGGGCAAGGCCGCAGACAATCACGACAATTCCATGGCCTGGACACAGGGCCCAAACCAAATGATCAACTAGAGGCGAATGCTTCAGGAACCGCGAGGGTGCAATTTCCCCCGGCGCAGTGTAAGGCGACAAGGCTGGCCAATGAGGGCGGAAGATGGAAGCGCCGACCCGAGTTGGTGTTCCTGCGTGTGCTTGCGTAGGGGAGCCCGGCGCTAAGAGGCTGCAGGGGTTTTGAAACAAGGGAAGAAAGGATTGAAACGGTAGAAACGGTATAAGTTGAAACAGTTGAAGAGAAGAAAATCAAGGCAAATCAGTTTTGTGGAAGATCGGCGCGGGGGATTTGACGATCCAAATTGGCGGTGATGTAGGGTGGAGTTAGGGATGATCTGTACAGAATAATATCAGTGATAGACAATAGCAGAAGAAAATGATCTCAAATTCTCAGATTCTTGGTGTGGCTTATGATCCGATGTCTCCATTGTGGTTCGTCGATCTCTATGCAAGGTACTCCGTCCACACAGTTAGCGTCGTGAGATTAGTGCGATTAATTAGATTAGTGAGATTAATTAAACCAGTCAGATTCCAAGGCTGGCTATATGAATGAGATTGAATTGATTCACCGGCATGATTTGACTAATATACAACCTAGGGTACCTATAGGTATATTATTCTAGGCTAAGAAACATCTACTCGGCGCTAATTGTTCTTATTGGTGAGATTATAAGAGAAGCAGAACTCAACATGTCCGAGAATTCTCCACCAGGGCGGTTCCTGAAATTAATCCTGCAGGTCAGTTTTCTAGGTCAAAAATAAGCGATTGGCAATCACAGCCTAAATTTCTCAAAACTTGATACCCAACACTACCAATCTCTATACAATCTTCTTCCGATCCAACCTCTTATGAACGGCCCCAAGTACAGCCTTCAAAATCCCATCCCCTTCCAATCGCTTTCCAGCCCGATTTCGCCAGGAAACAGTATCAACAATATCCCTCAGATGTAAATTATTGCACCGTCGCCCAAGATCTTCATCCAATTCCTCCAAATACTGCTGGGCCATCCGATCATTCCCAATCTGGAAGAACTGAATCCCAACCTGCCACGGAATAGCACGACAGGGGCCATCCAGCCTCTCTGCCGTCTGGGTAATAACACTCTCTGCGTCATCCGTGAACACGCCATCGGTAATAGTGATGATATTAATCGGTGTAACCGATTTCATCAGCTCAGGGCAGTTCAAGTCAGAGGCATATCTCTGCGCGCGCCTAGATGCCTCCTTCTGTGCTCGTTTCGCTGTTTCTTTCTCTTCCACTAGATCCATGTACGGGTCCAGAATATTACGCAGTCGACTCCCGACTGCTGTTCCGCCAAAGGGTCTAACGGAGGCGAAGATCTCGCTGACCCGTTGTGCAGTTCTGATGTTGTGGTATCCGCCATCAAATTGTGGGCATTTGATGAGGTTGGAGGACCCTGTATGGTTGGAACTGTAATTGGTATTGTAGCTGGTACTGTAGGAGGTGAGGGACTTTGATCGGTGGTTGATGAAATAGATGTCGATTCCCTCCTTGTCATATTTTGTGCAGACTGGTGCGATCGCTGCGATGGCTTCTCGGGCTTCTTCCCAAAGTGCGCCTCTCATGCTTGAGCTGTCATCGACTAGGAAGATGGTGTGGAATTGGCCGAGAAAGGCGAACTGGGAATCGGATTCGAGCTCTTCGGGGGAACTGATTCTGATTGTTGGAAGTTGTGCTTCTTCGTACGATGGCGGTAGGTCTGAGGCTTGCCCTCTTGGGAACGTTGATGTATTAAAGCTATGCGTGCGACCTCGAGACGATGATGGAGAATGATTTGGTGCAGTTGTGGTTCTTGATGCGGCTGTCCCTGCTCTGCGCTCTTTGCGTTCTTGCCGATGGCTGGACGAGAAGCTGTGCCATATCGACATCTTTTCAGAAGCGCCCACGGCCGAAGAGAGTATATGTTTTAGATGAAGTGGTAAAGAATATCTGCTCAATAGGCTTGACTGTCTTAAGAAGCTGCTCGGATTCTTGAATGGTGTGTTCCAAACAAAGGATTTGCCTCAGGAAACACCTTCTTTATACCTATTCCGTGTCTGACATCTATAGTAGGAGCTCGGCTGTGAAACTTAGTATACAAAGAATGGACAATATAGGGCAGAGTTGCCAAGGCACACTTGGGCAGTTCATGACCAACAAAGTTTTGGCCCCGACATATAGACAAGACAAGGGTTTCAATTTAGGAGTCAGCCCGAGATGTCATACGAACAAAATGGTGTGGGAAATTACAAGCCAGACTACTTGACTGCAGCCCTATGGTATAACCTTGGGATGTTACTCATTCGTGTATAGCCACCGCCTTGGGTGACCTGGGCAACTAGGTCAAGTAAAGTCATAGGGTGCTTTCATATTTGACCAATCATAAAAGCAATTTTGTAAGAGCTGTAAAGCGCACAGGCATAAGGACTTTTGTGAGTGGCGGAGTGAACACAGCCTACAGCCCCGCCATACGGGAAAGGTGCACAGGGCGCAGCCAGCGTAATCTACTTCACACGAGTTTGCTTCAAAGTATGACATTGAAGATTCGTTATGTTCTTCCTAAAATCCTATTGGAAGTTTGACTAACCATGAGGCTCTAATCCTGTGATTGTTGGAGACACTTCGTGATTCATTAAAACATCAGGCGCCCCAATCCCAACCCCCAAAGCTATAACACAAAAAACACACAAATCATTAGACATGTGCTAACGCTGTTGATGTAACATAATAAGTAAAAGAGAAGAAAATGGAGAATGAAACAACTATATCAGTCACTTTATCCTCGAGGCAAGTATCTCCTTTGTGGGACAATTGAAGTAGATGTCGCCCCATCAAATCAGGCGTATCAGACGCTTCAGTCTTCTTCCTCGGTCACACAATCTAAAGAGATAAGGCCAGAAGCGACAACATCCGCCACTGCCAGCGCCTGGTCGATACCCATCGTGTGTCCAATCGATTCCAGACACTTGACTACCCAGCGGCGCAGCCCGTGTCGAGGGTTCTCAACCACTCCAGCGATGAACAAATGCCAGAGGATCACAAGACCTCCAAGATAGCTTTCAGGTGGGGGGAGATTAGGGTTGCTCTGTGTCTGGTGGACATTCAAGTGAAACGGGACACTGCGACAGATCTCCACTGCCAACCGGTGGATCGTCAATCGTAGTGTCCTGCAGTGGAGACGGAACTCTTCGGACAATGAGGTCACAGATGAACTGTCGGATATTCGCCGCACGTGGGAGAGAATAATATCGCTGACGATGATTCGGGCGCTGCGGTATTGATTCCACGAAGTGCAGACCCACTGGCTGGGATACACGTGGTACTGATCGTCGTATGACGATATACCCCGGAAACGTTTTTGAAAAGTAAAGTCGAAGGGGGATTTTGTATGGGTGGTATAGTTGAATTCGGGGGGAAGAGCTGCCAACCAGGCTATTAAATCGGCTTCGATAGCCGAGGCTGCTGATACAATATCCCCTTCATTTTCGTACATATTGGTGCGGATGTCTGCGCGAAGGTTCGACAAGTTGGCAAGTATCATTGTCAGGCGATTACCGTGAGCTTCTGCTGGCTGAAGAAATGTTACGAGTTTCGTGCATTCGAGAAGTGACTCAGGTACTCGTGCGTCTCGTTGTAGACAACTGATGATCTGTTGAGGGGTTAGCTTGAGGTCGAAGGAGTGATCAATGACACTCACAATCTGATACCGAAGATGCAAAAATAAGCGGAGACCGGCATTAGTCTTAAGTTGATCAGTCCCCCGTATATCGAGCAGGGCTGTTGCGCCATTGATGTGGTTGATCCAACTCTCCATATCTTCCGTGGCTCTTGATGTAATCACCTACAAACAGGGCGTCAACAACCATCCAACGGGGGGAATGGAAGCCCCCTTACTTCATACACGGCAAGCATAATGACCGCGCCTAGTGTTTGATTTGTTTTCGCCTCCTCTTTATCGCCTAGAGCGACATTAAGCAGTCTCAAAGCGGATCCATACTCTCTGTGGGCTACATCTCCAAGCGATGGTAAATGTCTTACCCGCGAGAGCATAGCCGTGGCGGTAGCCACCATGCTTGCCTTCATAGCTCTCTGACTCGCAGGGCCCCCGGACTGCAACAAAAAATTAGACATTATCTCACTTGTCCAGAAACTGCCGGGCAGAGCATTGGATCGCATGAAATAACAGATTGCTTCATCTTTCGCGGTTTCAAGCTCCTGTGACGGATGTATTTCCAATGGGAAACCCTCAAACTGCCGCATCAGATAGATATGCTGTGGGTCGGTGTTGAAATCAAAGCCCGGATCCACCACCGGGGTACTGAGCTCAGACCGCACAGGATTCCCTTCTAGGACTGCAGTGCGAGGCAATCGCTCCGCTCGTTTATTCTTTAATGTCGAGGCCGCAGTCACCTTTCGGACTACCGATTTGCTTTCATCCCGGAACATGAGCGACAGTTGATCCCGATATCCGGGGCAGTCCCGCTTGGCCCTGGTGCATTGCGAACAGGCCGGTTTGGCTTGGTCACACCGAATCTTCCTGGACCTGCACTCGCCACATCCTTTGCTTGGTTTCCCACAGTATACCATAGTCTGCTCTTGATAAAGTATTGTACATTATTCAAGGTAGATTTACAGGAAGTCACAGAGCAGATGTTGCTCAGCCCCATGTCGTCTGGACCGCGCTTAACCGCTTCGGGTATGCTTTGCGAATCCAAACTTTCACCGTCGATCGTATTTAAATTAATGCAGATGCCTTGGAGTGTACATCATATAATATATAACATATAACATATGCTATGGCCAGTGAGTGAGGTATGGAATATACAGATGTAAAAGCTCTATAGCCGTATGTTAGGGCCAGTAAGTGAGTAGTACATTACATATATCCCGTCTGCATGACATACACCCAACCACAATGTCGAAAATCCTCGCAGGGTTTTGATTGCCACACTAACAGCCCCTTAAGTCCACTAAAAGTCTCCACATAGAGAAATTGCATGGGGTTGGTTGGCCCGGGGTATACAGCCCTACGAACACAGCCAAGATGGGATATGGAACCTGCTCTTGGCAGTGGAGTTGTCATCGAGTCCTCCATAAACAGCTCAGTGTGATATGCAATGGAATACCAGACATAAATCCAACTTGTAGGCTTTACGGCCTTGTTATATATCCTTGTTAGTGGAGAGTCATAATATTGAATGCAAGTAAACATCCAAGTATAAGATGGTTCGGTCACGCAAACGAACCAGGCATCAAACAGTTGCACTAAACTCAACACTAACAACATTGAGTCGGCGAGTGAGAGCAACATTTATATTAATTTGGTCTTATCAATAACTCCACCGATGTCTTTCATCACTCTTGGTCTTTTAACTTCTACTAATCCCAACAAGAAACCGCGAAAAGAACTTTTGCATTAAATTTCTTTTATTTTATTAAATATCGAAAGCTCATGGGGCATTCATAGCACTTGGGGCCATGCCTCTACTCGCCTCGGTGGTGACTCAAATCTCAACATCAATCTGGTTCACCCGCTTCCTCTTTCCCCTAGAGTGTCCACTGGAATCCGAATCCTGCTGCACGAACGCACTAGTCCCATCATCATGCCATTCGCTAAATTCCCACTGGATTGAAGTCGATTGATCATCACTGACTCCCATACCACGCCGAGAACGCATCAAACGACCTAAGCGGCTACCTTCTACCATCTCTTCGAACCAAGGGATCCCCGCGGTCCTGCCGTGCTGCAGACTTCTTGAAATGTTGGGGGAATCATCAGTAGACGGAATGATGGCAGAAGACGAAGCTGTTTCTGAAGCTGGTGCTAGATCAGATGAGGTCGAAATACCAGCACGGGGGGCTTCCTCGTCAAAATCTTGAGGAAGTAACCTTAAATCTTCCAGTGCACGCTGGTCATCTGCTAGCAGACTGCCAATTGTAATAGACATGAAGTTAGATTCTTCAATGGGATCTTCCGTCCAGAATGTCAAGGGTGTGCCACAGTAGCCACAAAAGACACGCTGGGTCTGGGGTGCATGGCGAGGCGAAAAAGTGCGGCGAATGGAAGTGTGAGATTCATCTGGGAAGAATGACTGAGTATGGGACTGGTACCAGCCAAGAGGCACTCGTAGCCATGCCGAAAGAGGTGTACCGTGAAATCGACCTAAGATTCGATATTAGCCGGGAGATCGACAAGCTTAGCTTAAAGTTCCTCACGATTGTCTCGGCTGCTGTCGAAATACACTTGAGCATGATCTTTCACATCTTCTGGAATATTGATTTGATATTCATTTCGGCCGCAGGAGCATGAGCCGCGGAGAGGCTCGAATTCCATGGTGGCACAAGAACTTCGGGGCGTCGGTGACTTGGTAAGGTTGGGCTAATGGGTTTATAGATGAAAAACGAGCGACCAGATGACCGTTTCGCTTAACAGAAATCTTAATTGAAGCGGAGATGATCCTTAATAGGAAGAATGTGCAGGGATCAAGTTGTAAGACGTGAGAACAAAGTTGACATGGAAAAAGACCAAAAAGCAAGATGTGTTCAGTGGACCCTCTCTATGACGTTTAGAGGTTGCCAAGGCCCGTTCCCGGCCTCCAGTTTACTCCGCATTGGGCTTGGGTCTTATCGCTTTCCTATCGGTTTCCCGTTTCTCCCTTCACATTCTCCCATTGTTTACCGACAATCACCTCTATGTCTTGCTTCGACGGAGACTCAGAACACCGGTAGCAAGCCAAACTATCCAACCCAAAACGCGAGCGAACGTTGTATACCCTCGGCGCATCTACCCCACGCCCTCAGTTCCTCTCAAAATCCTCCAGTCATTAACTGCCACGATGAATCCAGACGATGACCATGATCGGTCGTCCTCGACACCGAATGGGACATCTAAACAGGGGTCTGCCCAGGACAAGGACAAGCCTCGCCTTACCGACCAAGAAAAAAGAGCAATCACATTGCCTCGGAGCAAAAACGACGCGCAGCCATTCGTGAAGGCTTCGATCGCTTGACAGAACTGGTGCCTGGTCTGGAGGGCCAGGGCCGAAGTGAGAGCATCGTTCTACAAAAGACCGTGGACTTTATCCACGTGAAGCTGCAAGAACGCCACGATCTTATCGCAGAGATCGAAAGCAAAGGCGGCCGTGTGGACGACTCTTTTCGCCCAACATGATCCTATCTCCCTCGGCATCTTATTGCGCTTTCGATCAGCATCCTGCATGCCCCTGTTCCCCTCCGCTGGTCGATATGGTGGGATCTGGGGCCGCAGACATGTGCCGAGGTCCGAGCGGTTTTTCTCGAATCTTGGACCACATGGCCTTTATACCCACACTACGAATTTCTTTTTCCCCCCTTGTCTATCTATTCACCCTCTGTATTACGAACAAGATCTTGGAAATGATCAACAGCGGGGATCCCTCGTTGCCTGACAGATCTGGTCTTTGCATATGATTTGATGTCAATCACACCTCCACTACATTCAGTGGAACAAACGACTGTCAATACGATGCCAAATCTTTTGTATTTTTTCTTGTCTTTCTACTTGTCCTAACTTGTGTATATTGAAGCTTTTTCTTTTCTGGTTTGTTTTGTTAGGTACCAGAATGTATATGGTCACGGCTGTTGCTGCGAAGCAACCGGGGCGTTCCTCTTTCCCAACGGCTAGCCTGAAATCGAGTTCGTTCTAGCTCTGAATGAGCACCCACATGTACATTCTCAATTTCAATCAAATTTGGGACCATTTGACCGAGCCGTACTTTGATCGCATCACGTGAACAGACGGAGAATAATTTCGTGCAGTCTCCTTGCCAATCATATGATACAAATGAGTAAAAGAGTATGTATATCCTACTCCGTACAGGTTCAAAATCCAGACGAACCAAACAAGGCAATGGTGACCCGGGTAGATCTCAATATAGACTTGCACATGTGTTTGAAGGGCCACAGCAGCCATAATAACATCGATGAATAGTACCCGAGAACGTCGGCTTACCGCCTGATATCTGCCGGAGAAACCGAGCCACTTCAAGGTGAAGCAACGCAGATCCTACATTCTACACAACTCAGTAACATACAAGACATTGAGCACAGACGGGATCCCCAATTGAATATCCTTAAAGATCCGTGCAAGGTCAATCGTGTGCAAGCAAAGACGAATTACCTCGATATATGAACCGAGACAACACCTGATTCCCCGCATCACATTGCTGCCCGCAACATCCACAAAACATCCAGATCACCAAACAAACACCAAACCACCCAACATGACAGACTCAAAAGAAGCCCTCCTGTCCCACATGGAAGACCTGGACATCCTCGATTCCGACCCACCCCCAGCCTACGACAAACCCATCCTGAAAGCTCCCCGCGGTGCACCACTCCCACGCCCACCACCTCTCAGCCTCCCAGCCCTAAATCGTCTCCGCAGCCAGCGCGTAATCCTGGCCTCACAATCACCACGCCGCAAACAAATAATTTCATTCCTGGGCCTCCCAAATCTAGAAATCATCCCCTCAAACGCCATTGAAGACCTACCCAAAAGCCTAGGCCCATTTGAGTACGTGCTCGCAACAGCGACGAAAAAAGCCCAAGCTGTCTACGAGCAAGAGATCAACAACGAGGTCAAGGGCGAACCAGCCCTGATCCTGGCAGCTGACACGGTCGTCGTCGATCCGTCTACCGGAACCATTCTTGAAAAGCCACGCTCAGAAGCACACCACCTCAACATGCTGCGCTCGTTGCGTGATGCTCGAAACCACAAGGTTTATACTGCGCTTGTGGCTATGGCGCCGTTGGCGAGTGCTCGCGACCCTGGGTATGCGATTGAGAGTACGGTTGAGGAGACGTCGGTGCGGTTTGACGGGGACGTTACGGATGATTTGATAATGGCTTATGTGCGCACCCGTGAGGGCGCGGATAAAGCTGGTGGGTACGGGTTGCAGGGACTTGGGTCTATTCTTATTGAGAAGATTGATGGCAGCTATGATAACGTTATTGGGTTGCCGCTCAAGGCGACGCTCAAGATTATTGAGACTGTAATGCAGAGGGCGGATGATGATGATGGGTTGCCTGGGGATGGCGAGGAGAGTGAGGATGAATGAGAGGAACGTTAGTATAAGGGATTAGGATTTCTTGTTTGGTGGTAGCCTCGTCTGCCTGTATCTTTGCATTATGGTTCCTTTTTAGAGGAAAATAGAGATTAAAAGCATTCAGATACATGTTCAATGGGACGATCTGATCCGTGAGTTGAAACACTGTGCCCATATTCAATAGTACCATCAGCCGTCCGCATATTTTGCCGTACCACGGAGAGTGTGCAAAAGAAAGCAGGCTATACTACGTAGATCTACGTAGTATACAATCGATCAGCAGCACTGAGGATGTTTTCTCGTACGAGGGTTATATTCCGTTCTTTTTTCTATAGCTCGGAAACAACCCCGAGCAGCAGGAATCTGGCACCGATCAATAAATTCGGGCTGAGAGACAAAAGAAAAATAATCAACAACATATACAGAGGCGGAACGGAACGCCTGGATAGACCAGAACCAATCGGTAATCAGGAACAAAAAGGAAATAAAAAGACAATATGTCTGAAAGAAAGAACCGCAGCAGCACTCTATGCTGTCCAGATACGGCGCAGAGCCTCGGTCACACCAACATCGTTCGTCTCGAACTCGTACAGACCGACGGCGGTGGTGAGGGTGAATGCGCGCAGGAGCCAGTTGCAGGTAGCGCGGAACTTGGGCACACGATGAGGAGGGAAGTAGTCGACAATGGCGGCCCTAGTAGAGAAATGTTAGATTGCGATTCCTAGATTGCAGATCTGGGGTAGATCTGAGAGCGGAATAGCGCGGGGAGGCTCTTACTGGAATCCGATGTGCGAGTGGGCGACAAGCAGAGAGCACAGGATGGCGTCCATGACGGGGTTGAGGGAGCCGGCGGCGAAGGGAGCGATGGTGAGAGGGACAAGGCCGACGCAGACCAGTCTAGGATAGATGTTAGTCGGGGTTTTTTTCTGTTCATTGGGCATGTCGGAGTGGTCGGAAGAAGCTGCGTAGGTCTAATTTGCAGTGCGAAAAAGGGAGCACAAACCTCTCGAAAGTCCAGTGGTAGCTGCCCTCGGAGGGATGGGTTTCAGGAACGGGAACAGGGTCGTTCACTATCGGGATAGGTTAATATCGAAGACTTGAAGGCGGTATTGCGATTCGACGGGGAGGCATTGTTTGAGCGCCGGACGTAACAGAGATAGTGTATCTCCATCCATTTCCATACGGGTTATACTCAATGCTATCGAAAAGGGAAGGGGGGTCGGGATAGGAAAGGCGCGGAAATCACATACTGGTTCCCTCAACAGTCTCTGTATCGCGAAAGAATACATTAGTAACTTCTCATAAGCAACAACCAACGGATCTCTCCGTTGGCAATATCTCAGTAAGCCTCGTGGCAGGCACTCTACTTACGAGGCAACGGGGGCAGGATCTGCTTCTTAGCGGAGGCATGGAAAGCGACGACCTGCGAGACGCCGACATTCTTCTGGAGGAAGGGCCGGGGGCCAAGAGTCTGTCGCAGCAGAGATGAGCGTGCGAATGAAGCCATTGTGAGTGGAGAGTATGGTCGTGAAGAAGCAGAAACGCCGTTCGAATACAAGCGGATGAAGTTGGAGACCTCGGGAGTCCGACTCGGTATGTCATCCTTTTGCGGGACATTTGATTGGTCGGTGGCTGTCCGCCCAGCCGAAATTGGCCGACACTCTGGTGAGAAACATTTAGCCCTGTGGTCATCGTCTTGCTGTCTATGTTGTACTCTACATGGAGTTGATCACAAAATTGATGTTGGTTTGTCTTTTCATATTTCATTATATGCCACTTTTATTTCATTTGACTATTCTGAGAGATATCCATTCCTATATACTGAAGAGTCCTAACCGAGGTATTAAATACCTAATGTCTAAACAAAAAAACTATGCACCAGGCATCTCGTTATTTCATGAGTCTCATAAAGCACTTAGAACTTCAAAACAGCCTTGCCCAGGTTCTTGCCGTGGAAGATACCAACCAGGCCATCGGCAGCGTTGTCCATGCCCACAGTCTCATGGATGAGAACCTTGAATGAGCCATCCTTGATCCACTTCTGCACATTCTCCTGGTGCTCCTTGGCATACTTATCACCCATACCCTTATCGCCGACAATGAATCCGCGCATAGTGATACGCTTGACGAGAACATTGTGGATGTTCTTGATGGGGTACGGAGCAGAGTTGTACTGGGAGATCAAACCGCAGACGACGATACGGCCGAAGTTGTTCATAGCATCGAGGGCAGCCTCGAGGTGCTCTCCACCGACATTCTCGTAGTAGATGTCAATGCCCTCAGGGGCGAGACGGGCAAGGGCATCGGCGGGCTTCTCGGTCTTGTAGTTGAAGCCACCATCGAAGCCGAGAGTCTTGGTGATGTACTCGAGCTTCTCGTCAGAACCGACGGATCCAATGACGCGCAGACCCTCGTGCTTGGCGAGCTGACCGACCAGCTGGCCGACAGCTCCACTGGCAGCAGAGACGAAGATGGTCTCGCCCTTCTTGGGCTTGCCAATCTCGTACAGAGATGAGTATGCGGTCAGACCGGGCATACCGAGAGGACCGAGGAAGACACGGATGTCCTCAATGTTGAGAGGGTTGTCCAGCTTTTGGATGCGGACCAGCTCCTGCTCGCCGAGGGCGATGTACTCCTGGATAGGAACGTGGCCAACGACCAAGTCACCTTCCTTGTAGTTGGCATTGTTGGAGCGCAGGACCTTGGCGATGGTGCGGCTGTCAATGGGCTTGTTGAGAGGGAAGGCAGGGGCGTACGACTTGGTCGAAGCGTCACGCATGCGGCCACGCATGTAGGGGTCGTAGCTGGTGTAGAGGGATTGCAGAACGACTCCGTTATCGGGAGTGGCAACGTTGGAATCATACTCGGCGGTCTCGACGACCAGGTGCTCCCCAGCAACGGGGAATCCCTGGGGAATCTTCTTGAATGTGAGAACCTTGTTGGCAGACATTATGTAGATATGCACGGAGTACGAAAGATAAAGATGAGAAGCAGGAATTCAATTGTGGGAGCTATTTATATATGACGATTGAGCTCTTCATCAAAGCGGGGCTGTACCGAGGATCGAAGAACTTGGCCTTTTTATTATAAAGCAACGGAGAAGCTACTCGAGATGGTGATGCTCCTGATGAGACTCCACTTGCTGCAGGTTTTGCCTTTGATACGCATGATTTTGTATACCCATGCTCCTAGCATAGATTCAACCATTAGACTATGAACACATAATGGTGGCAACAGATCCAGTTTTTCTTTAAAAAACAGTGGAGAACGGATGAATTGAAGACAACCTAAGCCGACGGGAGACAGCCATTTTCGGTAGGAAAACCGTAACCCTCGGCATCTTAACGGGTAATAATTGTTGATTAATATACAACCCGACTGGATGCGGTGATTTTTTAGCAATGGAGTCGGCCGTCTTAGGTAAAAACCGGTATAGACTGTCATTGTTCTGCTGGGACATATTCCCTTAAAAAAAATTATGCATTAAGTACAGGAGTATATAGTCATCGAATATGTATCAGCATGCTAAACCGAAAATGCGCGAATTTGATCAACCTAACCATGCCTAGGAATAACCTAGGACTTGCCAGCGAGTGCGCTAGGAGCTTTTTCAATGAAGTAGTGCTTGCCCTTGATCATCCTGACCATGAAGCTAAACGGCACAAATCCAAAGACCTGACCAGTACCACCAGCTTCACCGATAGGCACGACCATCATAATGCTATCGCCCTGGTTGTAGGTCTTGATGGCAGCACCACCTACAATGGCAGCTTTGAGATTGGCCGCTGCCACATGCGCTTGCTCCGTAGCCTTGAAACCGAGACGCATGGAGTTATTGGTGATATCGCCAGCAGCAAAGATAGGCAGAATTGACCCGTCAGTTGACTGAACACGCATCTCCTTATTCACTGTCACCCACCCGTCCTTGTCCAGGAACTGAGCTGGAATAAAGCTGTTGTTGGGGGTCGCACCGGTAGTGGGAATATACAGGTCAGCCGAAAGCTTATCTCCGCCTTCCAGAGAGACTGTCCAGTTGGAACTATCGTCGGCCGGAGTCTCGACGCCAATGACTTGCTTCGAGGTGACGACCTTGACCTTCTTCTGTTGCAGTATCTTGAGTGCGGCAGAGCTGGCGGATGACTTGAGCATCGGTAGCACGCGATCTGTCCCTGAGATAAGCGTGATGGAGACCTTGCCAGCCTTGCCACTTTGTTCCACGGCTTCAGCAAGCTCACCAGCCAGCTCAACACCGATGGGGCCTGCACCGCCGATCACAATTTCCTTGGCACTAGCAATGTGTCCCTGTGCCGCCTCGATCAGCTGCTCCATGTCATCGCGGCCCGACTGCTTGAATGGGATGGATGTGCCGGTGAGCGAGCCAGTGGTAGCAGATGTAGTGCTGCCCGATGCGATCACGAGATAATCATATGGTAGAGTCTTGGGCTCGCCCTTGTTGGGCGTCACAGAGACCGACTTGGCAGCGGTATCGATAGCAGTTGCAACTCCAGGAAGGAACTCGAACGCGTCGGGTCGGTAGCCTGCAAAAGCATCTCTGATTGGGAGCAAATACTGTTCGGGGCGGAAAGCCTTGGGTTTGGCGACGATGCGTGGGGCAGCAATATTCCAGAAGAAGCTGGTTGAGGGGTTGATCAGCACAACCTTCGCATCAGGTACATCACGAAGTACAGAGTGAGCAATATGAAGGCCCGCAACTGAGCCTCCGATAATGACTATGTCAATAGGGGCCATGATATAGGATCAGTGAAGTGGAGAAGGGCGGGTTCTTGTTTTGTTTTGGGAAGAAGGGACAGGATGTTTTATAGGTGACAGATTAGATCTACCCACATGCAGGGTTAGCAACAAATAGGCTAAAGATATGTTTATTGGGTACCTAGGTATTTCCAACAATCCACTTGCGGCTGATTTAGAAAAAGATGTTTGGTCAGCGACCTACATTTCTCCCTGATGCTTACCAACCCTGTTATCGGGCAAGGCTGTCCATGGTCTTCAATGCTCGAAGTTTCCACGTTTTTGTTCCTTGGGGGCCAAACCTCCCGAGGCCGATATGTTTGCCATGTTTGACCTGCTTGTTTGGTTTGATTGTCTGATCACATGACCAGGATTTTACAACATACAATACACACAGGGATGACACCAAGCTCCAATCATTTGTACTTTTTACGGGTGCTCTGTGGATTTCAGCAATTTCAGCCAATGAGTTTTCTCCTAGCGACTGCCTTGAAGAAGAGACAAACGGTAGCAAAAGCATACTGTATTAAGAACCTTGCTACTAACATTGTCCGGGTGGATTGGCATCAATGGCTCACATATTGGTTTCAACAAAGTTTATCCGATCTCAAGCCTGATGGATATCCATGTACGAGCTGAAAAATACATGATTCGTAGGTTCAACCTATGTTCGAGTATGATATGAGTTGACTTTGTCGGATGTCGTGTGGTTTGATTGGCTAGTTCTTTAGCAGATTTGACAGATTTGGCAGATTTGCCATGTTTGCCGTGTTTGCCGTGTTTGCCACACTTGTTGATGATTTCCCCTATCTCGGGATGTTATCTCTCGATAAGGATCATGTGACCCTGTAATTATTTTTGCGCTACTCCTTGAGAACGCCCCAAGTACAATTTGCAACTTCATCATCCCCCCATTCCCTTTTCCCAATAGCATTATATCATGATGCTTAATACAGTTCGCCGATTTGGCGTTTCCCATGCGCTGCGCGCCACAACGCCTCGCTCAATCTCAGCGCGGTTGGCTACTCAGCTGCCCAAATGGCAGGCTCCTCTTACTCTTTCATCTATTGCTGCCCCCAGATCGCTCCATTCCTCTTTCCCGAGGATGTCTGCGGCTACTGCGGAGGCGGTTGTTGAAGAGACCGAGACTTCCAAGCCTGCGCTTATCACAGAGTTCGCTGACCTGGCGTCGGGGAATCTCATTCACAACTCGATTATTAAAAACATCATTCAAGCTGATCGGATGAACCTCAAGACTATGACTGAGGTGCAGTCCCTTACTCTACATGAGATTGTCAAGGGCGATGATATGTAAGTTTGAGTGATAGATTTGCCTTTACAATTGATTAGTCTGCTAACGTACGAAACTTTTTTTTTCAGCCTCGCCCAAGCCAAGACAGGAACCGGCAAGACGCTTGCTTTCCTTGTACCTACTCTTCAGAATATCTTGAACGACCCCAGCGTCGATTTGTCCAGAGTCGGCCGCCGCTCTGCCAGAACTGGTCCTTCCGAAATTCGTGCTCTTATCATCTCCCCTACCCGCGAACTTGCAGAACAGATCGCAGTTGAGGCTAGAAAGGCTGCCTTTGGCACTGGCCTTGTCGTTCAGACCGCTGTTGGTGGCACACAGAAGCGTGCTGGTCTTGCCAAGATCCAACAGGAGGGCTGCCATCTCCTCATCGGCACCCCGGGACGTCTCAAGGACATTTTCTCCGACCCTTGGACTGGAGTTTCTGCCCCCAAGCTGAACACTTTGATCCTCGATGAGGCAGATCGCCTTTTGGACCAGGGTTTCGCTCCCGATATTGAAGAGATCCAGACCTTGCTTCCCAGCCCCACAAAGGTGGACCGCCAGACGCTCATGTTCTCGGCCACCGTCCCCAGAGAAGTTATGCAGATGGTTCGTCAGACCTTGAAGCCAAACTTCAAGCACGTCAATACTGTTCGTGAAGATGAAGTTCCCACCCACGTCAGAGTGCCCCAGAAGCTTGTCTACACGCGCGGTCTCGAAAACAGCCTGCCCGCCCTTCTCGAGCTCGCTCAGAACTGGCAAGCGCGCCGGGATAACGGCGAGCAGCTGCGACCTTTCAAGGCGATCGCCTACTTCAACTCCACTGCGGAGACCAAAATTGCCGCTGATGCTTTCAACGCCATTGCTCGCTCTTTCGAGTTCCGCAAGTCTTCTATGGCTAACATGAGAATGCTCGAGATCAACTCCCGTCTTACTCAGGCACTTCGAACTCGCAGCGCGGATAACTTCCGCAAGGCTCGCGAGGGTATCTTGTTCTCTTCTGACGTGACTGCTCGTGGTATGGATTTCCCGGATGTCACCCACGTCGTTCAAGTTGGTGTTCCTCGTGATCGTGAGACCTACATTCACCGCCTCGGCCGCACAGCCCGTGCTGGCAAGGAAGGTGAGGGCTGGCTGTTCATGCACAGGGCCGAACAGGATGTCTACAGAAAGCGCCTGGGTCGTCTCCCATTGAAGTTGGACACAGAATTGCAAACCGCCGACGCAGATCTTGCCCAGACCTTCTCCAACGACACACAAGTTGGCGAGATCATCAACAAGATCACTGAGGGTCTGGCCCAATGTGATGATGCCACCAAGGTCAAGTCCTACATGGGTCAACTTGGCACAACCACTGGAAACTTCAATAGCAAGAGAGAAGCCATTCAGGCACTCAACCAGATGTTCACCATTGGTTACAAGATGCAGACCCTCCCCGAGCTCAGCCCTAGATTGACCCAGCAAATGGGTCTCAACCGAGCTGATGGTGTCAGCATGGGTAACGGCTCCCGCCAGCGTCGCGAGGGTGGCTTCTCCCGTGGTGGTGATCGTGGTGGCTTCTCCCGCGGTGGTGATCGTGGTGGCTTCTCCCGTGGTGGTGATCGTGGTGGCTTCTCCCGCGGTGGTGACCGTGGCGGCTTCTCTCGCGGCGACCGTGGCGAGCGTAGTTTCGGCCGTGGTGACCGCGGCTCATCTCGTCCTCGCCGCTCGTTCGATGATTCTTTCGGTGACGACTCTTTCCGTTTCTAAATTTTTGAGTTGAATCCGAGATCAACTCTTGCCAGCCACGCTGGCATTTATAATTGGTCGTTTCATGGATAGCAAGGTTGCTATCCAGTGATACTAGATCAACCGAAAGTGAAAAGAAGCAACCATTCTGGCATTGGGCGGCGTTCTCGCATCTCTTTTTTCCGATCTTTGTGTACTATACACCCTTGGGTGCTCTGTGTTTCTAATTTAGACTTCTCTCCTCCATGTCTTATACTCTACTGGTTGTTCTTGCGGGATTCTTTTCTGGATACGAAGGTTACGGAGGTTTGACCTTCACTTTTTGATTTCATGTACAATATCTTCTAGTCATTGCCATTATTCTATCCAGGACTCGATTTTCATCTTCACACATCTACCGAAACATAATCATAAACAGGAAAAGACTTGGGTAACTGCCTCCCGCTCTAACCAGATCCATTCTCGAGACATCTAAATCGTTGAATATGAGACAAAGAGGAAACTTTATATCACATATCCCAAATACATCGCAATATGAACGAACAGTCACTGACTCGTGAGGGAAAAAAAAAACGAAACAGAGAAGAAAGAAAGAGATGCATTTAATCACGAGCGATCATGTGTTCTCTGGCAGGACCAGTACCGATCCACTTAACAGGAACACCACCAAGCTCACGCTCAATGAACTCAATGTAAGCACGAGCATTAGGAGGTAGATCCTCGTAACGCTGCACACCCATAGTGTTCGACTTCCATCCAGGCAGAGTAACATACTCAACCTGAATATTCTCGACGACATTAGGATCCGCAGGGAAAGTACCCGTAGTGCGCTTTCCACATGGCAAGATATAAGCAACACCAACCTTGATCTCATCAAAGTCATCAAGGATATCAAGCTTTGTCAAGTTCAACGCGGTGTAGTGGTTGATAGCATGGGAGTAGCGGCACAGGACAAGATCCAACCATCCACAGCGACGACGACGACCAGTAGTCACACCAAACTCACGTCCAACCTTCTGCAGCTTCTCGCCGACTTCGTTGAGCTGCTCGCTGGGGAAAGGTCCAGAGCCAACACGCGTCGTGTAGGCCTTCACGACACCGATCACGGACTTGATGCTGGCGGGGTTCAGGGCAAGTGCTTGCACGGCTCCGCCCAGACCGGTCGATGAAGAGGTCACGTACGGGTATGTGCCGTGGTCGAGGTCGAGCATGAGGGCGTTAGCGCCTTCGACCAGTGTGTTGGGCGAGTTCTTGTGCTCCTGCAGGAACTCGAGCTGGTCGACGATGTAGGGCTTCAAGAGGGTGCGGTATTCCTATATATTGTCAGCGATGTTTTTGGTCAATTAACAGAAGTAGCTAAAGAGGGAGGAGTTGTCCATTTCTACAATCGCCTCATGGGGCTCTTTCTTGATGGAATGAAGAAAAATGGCTGGGTTTCGTGCGTACCTTGAATCGCGCGATCTCCTCCTCGACATCGTAGGCCAGATCACCGAACCGTGTGCGGTATGAGGTGTCCAGGGTGCGCAGCTTGCGCTCGAAGGTGACCTCGTCCAGGATCTCGCCGACGCGCACACCGCGGCGTGCGGCCTTGTCACTGTAGCAGGGACCAATACCCTTGCCGGTGGTGCCGACCTTGCGGCCACCGAGACCCTTTTCCTCGAGACCGTCGACGACGGAGTGCAGGTCGAAGCAGACGTGTGCGCGGTCAGAGACGAAGATGCGCTGGGCGGCGCCCTTCAGGCCCTTGGCCTCGATATCACGCAGTTCCTTGAAGAAGCTGGGAACGTGGAAGACGGTACCGGCGCCGATCAAGTTGATACATTTCGGCGAGACGAGGCCGGAGGGAAGGATGTGGAAGTCGTAAGTGACATTCTCGTGGACAATGGTGTGGCCGGCATCTGTATGGAAGAAAAGACGATTTGGTCAGTCACTTGTCAGGCTTTTGGTGTCGTTTTGAAACCCCAAAATGAGGGGGATGAAACGCGAATTGCACGTACTGTGTCCGCCGGCTGCACGGCAGCAAAGTGTCGCATCCTGCGACAGCATGTCTGTGATTTTCCCCTTTCCTGTTCATTCGTTAGCATGTCCAATGTCTGGAGGGGTTTCGTTCATACCTTCATCTCCCCATTGACTTCCTAGAACGATTGAAACCATGATTGCACGCTTGACAATGTCAACAAATTCCACGATCAATTGGTTTGGATGGTGGGGTAGGTTCGAAGGCAAGAGAGAATATGTCCGTACCCGACAGCGGAGCCAAGATCAGGTTTGCCGGTGTGATTTTTCTGGGCAAATTCGACCAACAATATTGATCGGGGTTATTTTAGGGATTCCTAGTTTCACTACAATGGAGCTATTTCTTTTCCGAATTTGATCTCCAGTGAGTCAGACCAATTTTCCGCAAATTGCCGCGGTCACAGATCCGGCGGGGTGGCGGGGCATGGTGCCTTGATGCCTTTATGCCTTAATGCCTTGGTACCTGAATTTGCCCTGGCGCCTCAGGCAGACAGGGTTAGGGCAAGGGCTCCCAACATAGTGCTTTTCCCATAACAGTAACAGTTGGCCGCTCATGGCGGCCTTGTGATGTCTTTTCAGTGGGCTGTTCAGATATTCTGTCAAGAAGTCTTCAGGATATCTTCAGTTTCATAGGTAGGCCGCAAAGAGAATGAAAAAGCGAAAACGGCTTTTCCATGTATAACCTAGGATACACTAGAACCCTGGCATGATTTTTGGACCTTTTGAGGATGTCTTGAGGTAAAAGAAACTGCTCATTGCTAGTACCTCTTCGCGTCCATAGACTTAAAAGGTTAGAGAGGTCACAAGCAGTTCTAAAAAAGACCCGGGGACTCACAGCGATGTCAAATTCCGGTAGCAGGCTCCCTATAATGCGATATATAGTCTGACATGTAAGCATTAGTCTTCCATCGAGAATCATTTCAACTGAACACAGAGGTAATATAAACCCAGTATAGCCATAGTAGAAGGTGAACGGCAAAAGCCATGGAACTGAGAAAGAGACAACATAAGGATACATCTATTGCTAGATGGTTTGAGTCTTGATATTACGTATAACCCTAGTACTCAACAAATCCATGAAATAAAAACCCAAACGAATCAGGCATATCTATGTGTGATAAAAATCCCGGGTATTCACAACACCAAGTCATTATGCATCGCAAAAGGAAAAGAAAAAGGTATGTAGAAGACATCAATAGAAGTGAAAAAGAAGAAAGGTCGCCAGAAGGGAGAAAAACATGTCAGATCAAATCAGAGTCTCCCAACACTAAAGACTGAAAATGCAAGTTCAGCTTCAGCAATGACTTTCCAATGTAAATAGAAACTCAAGCCACCTTCCCGCCATCCCGAATCCACTCTCTCAGTCGTCCGAGATCGAGGATGCATTCCCGATGCAGCTCACAGGCAACATCCCAGTGCTTGCGCACTTGTATATCCTCCTCGATACCGCGGAGATAGGCACTAAAGCCGCCCTTACTGGTACCAGGGACGAGGAATTCGTCAACGTGATAATCATCAAAGTCCTTACTGGTCTTGACAGTGCCATCGTTGCTTTCGTCGTCTGCGCCGTTCATTTTGAGACGGGTAGAGTCTCCGACGGCACTAATCCAGCCCGGCGCGAGACCGGTTTCGTTCGCTTCTTGGCGCGCATTAAAGTGCGTGAGCATGCGGCCGTTGAAAGCGTTCCATTCATGCATATACGTGCCCATTGCTGAAACGTACCAGTTCCATTTTTCCCGGGGGAGGACAAGTTGCTTAGAGGTTGGTGCTAAGGGGACTGGTTTCGGGGCCCAGGGTCGTTTGGGAGGGTTTGGTAGTTGCAGTACACGAGGTCGGATGTCGTTTCTTGTGGTCCTTTGCTGCTTGGCTTGGGATTCGAAGGGGAGTGTGGTGTGGAAATCCTCTAGGTTCTCGATGCCTCCGCCAGTCGGGTTGGTGAATGGTACAGTGTTGCGGAGATTATCGAGGTTAAATAGAGGCGTGCGAGTGTCTGTGCTTTGGGGAGGCTTGGGCTTCTTCACAGGAGGTGCATCTGGCACAGCCTGAGAAGCTAAATCAGGATAGCTGCCATTATTTGGTTCTTCGACTGGGGCCTTGGGCGGCATACTCGGAGGAGTAGGCAGATCCTCGTCGAGGTCCATCTCTTCAACGTCTGGTGCTGCTGTCCCAGCCGGCCCAGGAGCCTGACCATTGATGGTTTCTTTAGCTTCGTCTGCTTCAGTCGCAACACTTGCCGATTGCGGAGCGCTCCGCACTTTGACGCCTGCCCTGGGCTGCTTCTTGGGGCTACGAGGCGGCGCTGCATTTGACGTTTGTTTGGCTTTCTCGGCCTCTGGTACATTCCACGAGAGATTTCGAAGCTGCTCAGACCATGAATCTGCAGAGAATTTTGCCTGTGCAAAGGGGGTTGGTGGTTGCTGTGGTGACTGTGAAGCTTGATACAGAGGCGTGGGGCCAAAAGGATTTGGCAGTGGTGATCTAGTCGAGAAAGTTTGTGTCTGTCCGTTTCGAATATTCGTACGCCCCCGATTCTGCGAGGCAGGCGATCTTGGAAGTGACTCTTTGTTTGGTGATACAGAGCTCAAGAAATCGAACTGACCCAAATGATCTCGCCAATCATCTGCAGAGAACTTCTTGTGCAAGTCACTTGTGCTGCTACGTCCAAATGCGGCAGAATGGGGTCTTTGCGCATTTTTTGCCGAGTCGGTGCTAATACCAGTATCTGTCAGATGAGGCGGAACAACTTCAAGGTAGGCGGATCGAACATACTTGACAGAAGAGGAGGAATCCGATGGGTTAGCCTGCTGGTCCGATCGATACGAGCTTTTTGGGAAAGCAGCGCTATCCGAGGTGTGTCCTTTGGGGCCATCCTTGTCAGCAGGGGAACGTTGATTAGGGGGGAATTCCGAGGCATCGAACGGAGTACGTAGCTACCATCTGGCAGGTCGACTTCTTGAAGCCCATTTGCACGGAGGAAGGAAGCGGCGTCCATACCATTTCTGGGGTTTGCTGTTTCTGCGTTGTAGAAATCGGCGAACTTTTGATGCGGCCCGAGTCGACTCTTTGGTACAGCCTTCGGTTTTGGCATAGTCTCTTCTCCTTCACTGGAGCTGGTGGAGTCATAGTTATTGGGATTCCGCCTGGGCGAGGGGCTGGCGCTACGGTATCTCCCAGATCGGCCAGATGTAGGGCTGCTTTTGCCTGTATGCGCCTTTTGATGGGAAGAACCTGAAGGGGTACGCATGGTGGCGGAACGTCCTAATCTAGTACTTGAAAAGAAAGTTTTCTCGCCCTTGCCTGCCTGGGCATAGCTTCTACTGGGTCGTTCGAAATCCGGGGTGTATGAATGGCGAGATTTGGGTTCAGGCGGCTCAGGTGATTCTGGTTTCTTCGCAGTTGGGGGCACAGCAGGCTTGAAGTATTGGCTGCTCATCCGCTCAGCCCGACTATTATTGGTATAGGCAGAGGTGTTGCGGGCCATTGGTTCGTCTCCACCAGCTACCCCAGGCGCAAAGCCCTGCTTCTTCTTGAAAGACTGCGCTTTGGAATGGGAATTGTGGGCCTCAAAGGCAGATTTGGGCCGGGTAGACTGCGCAGAAGTTCCAAAGGGATGGCGCTGTCCCCCAGGACCTGGGACACCACCAGTGGCACGACCAGTCGCAGGATCGAAGCCTTGCCATCCAGATGGCTGAGCTCCTCTCATATTATTAAAGCCACGGAATGCATCTGCCCTTGTTTGCGCATTATCCTGTTGTTTGAATTGTTGTGGTCCGGCACGCGCATGAGATGCGTATCGTTGAGCGCCGGCCGATGGGGTAGTCGGGGTGGGTTTCGCATACTGTGAGCTTGCAGACGCCGAGGCGGTTGGTGCAGGACGAGGAGGATAGGTGGGGGTCTGTGTTTTGCGCTGGGTATTCGCCTTGGCCGGTCCGTAATGCTTGCCGTAGCCTGCTCGTAACCGATCGGTGTCGTATTTCAGTCGTTGCGAAGGGTCGCTGAGGATCTCATTGGCAGCCTGGATGGCCTGGAATTTGGCGTTGAACTCGACTTCTCGCCCTGGGTTCCTGTCTGGATGGTATTTGAGTGCTTTGCCTCTAAGTTAGCAATCTTCCAATTATCACATGATATCATAGCTTTTGCAACGCTAACCTAGTTTCCTGAATTGCTTTTTAATGTCTTCAGCCTCTGCGCTAGGCTGGAGCCCAAGGTCCGCATAGTAATCCTTGCGCACGTCTGATTTCACCATGTTGTTCGTGAATTTCCGGCGAACTTATGGGTTTGTATTGTGGTCGAATCGCATAATCGGTATTCAAGTAAATAATCGGCGGTCCCACGCATGTCCAGTCATAGAAGGTCGGCCTGAAAGTTAGATAAGGTAAAAAAATGCACGTTGCACGAAGGCAGGGCTTTTTCAACAGGACCAGACAAGCAGGACAAAACAACTGCTATGTCCTGCAGTGCCAGTAAACTTAAAGCCTCACTCGCTAGATGTTGCAAATTATCGCAGAACGTTGCGAGACTAAGTCCAGTTCAGATGTGAGAGGAAAAAAAGAAAGGGCAGAGCCTCCTTGTATGCTCCGCGGTCTCGGTTGGCCGCAGGATCCACCCCGAAAGCGCTAGTCAGAGCTCGGTCTGAGAGAAACAATGCGAAAATTGACCGGGTTTGCGAGTGGAAATGGTCTTCAGTGAGACCAGGAAAGTGAAGCGGGGGTATGGAGGTAGAAATGACTTGAATCGAAGATCGTGGGCACCTGATATCGAGATCAGGCAGTCGGGCCCAAGCGCAGATCGGAGTGAAGCAGCCAACAGGGCTACAGGATTTATGTGAGTGCCACGATCAAGTGGGGAGAGCAAGAATTGATGTGTTGGGCTGGGAACAAAAAAAGGCGGGAGTGTTTGTTTTGACGTTGCTGCCCGAGGCACATATATCAATGCAAGGCAACTACAACATTTCGATATGCTTGATGCTCTCAAATTATTTACTTATTTTCCTTGCAGATCTTTTGTATATCGGCATATATGTATATATGGTATCCAACAGATTATCCCACGGCCAAATTATACAACCCTTGCTAAGGTCCTTTAGGGAAAGGCAAGACGCAGGGCAGGGGGTATGAAAGGAAAGTAAAAGAAGACACCAACAAAAAGAAATGGGAGAAACAACAAGAGACATTCTAGACATCCCCTCCAGGTGCGCCAGCCCCAGAACCACCAAAGAAATAGCCTTCCAAAAGATCATAACTAGGATTCTCACTCCAATCATGCTGAAAGTCCATCGCCATACCAAAGCCAAGATCGATTCCAACATTCTGGCCCAGGTTGTGACCCAAAGATGGCAAAGCCGACATATTGTAGTCAGGATTGGCTTCGCCTTCCATGTTACCCTGGCCTTCGGCATCGCCCGATCCAAACTCCAAGAAATCAAGACTCATCCCCTGAGAAGCCTCGGAGTCGGTAGGCGGTAAACCATGAGTGTGCGTGTTGCTACCGGGAGATCCACTGTGTTGCGGCGAGTTCGCGTAGTAGAACTGAGGGTGCGGTTGCGGGGAGTTTGGGTTCTCGTACTTGAGATAGTAATCCATCGATGGATTGGGCTGTCCATAAGACCGTGAAGACTGGTCTGTTGAGAAGTTTGGACCCACCGAGTCTGGTTGAGGGTACGATGGTCCTCCGGTTCTGTTCTCGGGTCGAGGGTGGTCGGCTAAGGGAGTATTATCGGTGAAGAGGTCAGCCAAGTTCATGTCGAACTTGGGGACAGGACGGGACGGGCGTGCCGGCATCACTCGCCGTACTTGCCCTTGGCCTGCACGGGGTCGTTGGTCCATGGGCTGCCGCGGTCGGCCGGGGTAGAGTGGATTGCCCGCGTTTGAGGCGGCATGGACACGGCTCATATCTACCTGTGATCCAAATCCAGTTGTCGATAGACACATTTGGACGGTTGCTTTGCTCATGCGCTCGAACGCGTCCCGGCATGCTTCAGCCGGCGGACATTTGTGCATCAAGTCGCCTAGCACAGAAGTTGCGGCGAGAACAGTGAAGTCGACTTCGTCGAGGGTCTAGGGAAGGCAATGTTAAAATAAGCGCAAACCTAAATTCTGGGGCGGGTGGTACCTACTAGGCGGCTTCGAACCAAAGGTGAATGCCAGATGGCATATAAGAAGGAGATTCCTAATAGAGGGTCAGCATTAAAGCGACGAAGAAAACGTAAAGATACAACTGCATACCAGCCATAAAAATGTGATGCGTAGCAAGATAGGTATAATTCACCAAGCGCACTCTATGCAATTGGCGATAGATACGAATGACCTTTTGACCAGCCTCAGCAACATTAAGATAGACATGATCCTCCTCGTCACCTTCATCGGGATTAGAAAAGGTTGGGCTGGAAACATCATCCGCAGGAGTAAGCTCTCCCGCCAACTCAGCAGGAACAGTCAAGCTCTGTTGGTACAGCAAAATGATAGCTTGCCAGTAATTCAACTCAAGCAGCTCAATGGAAAATCTCACGCCTGTTTCCGGTCGTGTCGGGGCAGTTTCTTGCCACTCAACCAATCGACGATGCACATCATGGCGCCACGAGCGAAAGGAGTCAAAGCCTTGAAGGAAAGGGGAGGAAAGCTCGGCGTGAGGGAGAACTGCACCAGGGCCTCTCCTTCGCACAGCGCGCGTCTGTTGGTATTGGAGGACATCGTGAATCTCGGATTGAAGAAGACGCAGTTTGAAATAGTGGAATGCGACATGCTTATACGTTGGGGCCCCGTCCAGCGGTGTCAAAAGACCGGACTTAGTGATGTATTTGTCGTCCATCATAGACGGAAACTCTGTGCTGATGGCCTGGTCACTGATGCCGAATGGTCGTCCAACACACGTGGCTACCAGACGATCAAAACTGTAGACGCACCACCACAGCCGCCGGCGGATATCACGTACCCATTCGCGTCGTCCGCGTTCACGAGCATCGATTCGTGACTGCGCTTGGTTGCCATCTTTCGTTGCGGAGTCAATGCCAGCTCCATCCTCGTAATGAAGCCCGAGGTCGACGGCTAAGCGTGTGGCTACGCCGACGATATACCAGAGACCCGGTGCAACGGGTCGTAATAGGGCGAAGCTGGCTAGAAGGAGCACTGCCTGCAGCTCTTCCAATCCACCAAAGCCCTCGCTGGAGGACGAGCCAAGGAACGATTCCAAATGAACGATTGCCGAGGCATGATATTCCTCTGGCTGGTACTGATGGCTCGATAGTCTCGGTCTTTTTGGACCCGACGAAGCCTGGTCACGACTACTGCGATTCTCATCATCGGAGCTCTGAGGTTTATCCTCAAAGATGATTCCGGCACCAATAGCAAACACGATATTAAGCACATAAAGCGCGCGCGCAGAGCGCTTCTTCTCTTCTAACAAATAGGTCTTATGCAATAGCTCCATGAAATCTTCCCGGTGGAGAATCGGCATCTGAGGATTCGCGTGTTCAAAGTAGAGATCGACCAGCCGTTCAGCCAGCTCCCGGTCAGGGAAAGTTGCGCATTTCATCATCGGCCTTGTCTGCAGTCCAAAGAAGGAATCGCGCATACTACCCCCCTCCCCAGCAGTGCCAGCAGCACTCTGGGGCAATCGATCGCTCGTTCGAGCCTGTGCACGCTCTGGCATATTACCGGGGAGTGAGCTCCTTACCGCAGCGAAGACTACACGGGCGAACGAAATGCCTGATGTCGACCCAAGATATCGCGGATCAGAAGTGCCCTGTACAGAGACCATGCCGATATTCGAAACCAAATTATGCAGGCGCCAATTTTCCTCGTTAGCGGGGTCGTCATCCGCATCGCGATTATTCCCCTCTCCTTTTCGTACCATTCGACCGGCATCTTCTTTCGATGTGTTCTTCCACTGCCTTTTTTCTGCCGCAGACCCCTCCCCGGTCTGATTGTCGGAACCGGAACGAGTTTGCACGATGTCATCAGCCTCGACCTTGATAGCCTCCTCCTCGTCGAAAGCGACGGCCTTTTTAAATTCAATGTTGTTGTCCGCTAATTGTTTTTCGAGATGCGCCACGCGCGATTCCAGGAAATAGACGTAGCTGCGGGGAATCTCCCGCTTTGTTATTGGGTCGTATCCGACGCAGCGCACGCCGGCCTTCTCGCAGGATTGACAGCGCGGGAGGCGTTGGTCACAGCGGTTTTTGCGCAGTCGACATCGATTACAGGCGGAGACATTGCGGAATGAGGAAGCGGAAGGGGTGACGGTGGAATGGGCGGGTGAGGTGGAAGGCACAGCCGCCGGGGCGGAGGAATTGGTCGCGGGGTCGGTTTGCGTTGGGGGAGTGTCGGAAGGATGTGGTCTCTTCTTGCCTGAAGAGACTGGTGATAGTGGGGAGGGAGGATTAGGCATTGTGCGAACCGAGTGAGAGCCGCAGAGTCGCGATCATCTCTTGGTGGAGTTTTGCGGGGATTGCGGTCGGGAAATGCGGTCTACCTCCCCAGACCAGATCAACATGATAAGATCACGAAGTACTTTTGATGTTCATTTGAGATAGTGTTTTCTTCTGCGATTGGGGGTTCTCGTGTCAACCGTATCAAATCGTGCCTGATACCAAATTGAAAGAGAGATTGGCCTGTAATCTGGAAACAGCTGGGAAAACTCTGGGACTAGATTATCTGAAACTGCACAGGCCCGTAGATGAAACCTGTGAGAATTAAGAGGACTGTACGGAGTACAAAGTAATGTTGTAGTGGAGTTGAGAAATTGAGTTGCCCTCGGGAAGAGAACTCGGGTTCCCCAGACTTTGATAAGCCGAGAGATATACATAATACCTGGGACTTGGACAGAAGTTGAGGGTTTTGATTTGAATCCGAGATAGCTTCATCTGGGAGATTTGGTGGACTTGCATCTTTGCTGTCAGATGTAAGACATTGGACATCTGGCGGTTGCGTATAGCACGGGAACCTTGGAAGAAACGAGTGGGAAATTATCAAACATGTTGTGAGGGAGTAATTCTTTAGCCGGACACCGTCGGAAAACGCGTATATTTGGCCTATGGTGAATAAGACTAAGAGACTAGGAGGCTACGAGATGATCAGCGTTGATAGAGAAGATGACGGCCGGTAATATTGAGCAAGTCCGTAGTAATCTACTCTAACCGACAAAGATATGATCGAGAGAACTCAGATCAAAAGCGAGAACGAAAAAAAAAACAACAACAATAGCCTCCCAGATGCACATGAGTATAGTCATAATATAACCTGTTGATGCTCCAAGGTAACAAAAGAAGAGACCCAAAATTTTATGCTTCTGCATATGCAATGCAACCATCTATAATTGCGCCGTTTCCCGGTCTCAAGGAAATGTCATGAGAATGAAATAGCAAAATGAGGTATCATGATGAGGGGAAAAGACGAAACGAAACGAAAAAGAAATAAAGAAATAAAGGGATAAAGAGATAAAAGCAAGATGCGCCTCAGCGCTGAAATGAAGACACCTTTCCAGAAGGGTGTGAGAAGGAAGTAGAAGGTGATGTTGCAAAACAGACAAGCTTCACAGTTTTAGACCTTGGTATCGTGGGTGACTTCACCTTGGGATTTGGGGAAGTTGTCGATAGCGTTCAAGTTGAGTTGCGAGATGTCAAAGTCATGGTCGACACTAGAGCGCAAGGAAAGCAAGCGCTGCTCTTCCTCGGGCAGCTCGACAGAGTCATGATCCTGGTTTCCGAAGTCCGAGAGCACCTCACGCTTCATCTCTGACTCGCTGACGCTGACCTCAGACTGACGAGTCTTGAAGCGCTCAGGCTCCGGAGATTCCTCCATCCAGAAACTTTGGATGGCGCCGATCAGGCAGACAAGACCGCATGCCCACCAGGCCAGCACGGAGTATCCACTATCGAGGCCCTTGGAGTGGAGAAGACCGGTGATGGTCGGACCAAAGGCCCGGCTGAGACTGGCAGTTGAGGCGGCAACGCCGTTGATGGATCCCAGCACTTTAGAAGACGGGGCGGCATTAGCCAAAAGGATGGCAGTGGCCGGGAAAGCGATGACATGGAATGTGATCTTGCTGATCAAGGACACATAGACAGCGAGCATTTGGAGCTTGGCCGGAAGAAGGACTAGGTAGGGTACAGCGAGGTAGAGAGGGGGCCATACAAGCAAAACGAAGCGGAAGGTGCGCAGAGTACCAAAGTGCTTGACGACAAATGGGAACAGCCACAGTTGGGCGATCATCGAGTACACGCCTTGCACAGCGAGCATGAACCCGATGGTCTTCGTGGCCATCCCTAGGCCGCCCGTAAACTTGAGGGGTAGCACTACGTCGTCATCAGATCGGGGTGTGCTCAGTAAGACTGGCATCAGCTGATCAAAGGATACACTGTGGCTGAAAGTGGGCAATGCATGTCAGTAACTAGTTTTTTTAGACGTATCGGGCAGAAGGGTGTGGCGCTGAAGAGCGGGGAGAGAAGGGAGCCAACTCACTATGCAAGAATGCCGTAAGCAACTATAACGAGTATGACTTGTCGAGTAAAGGCCTTGGGCGCGGGGCTCTTCTGCCCCTCCAAGTCACAATCGGCCGAAGCGCCATCGACAGGGCGCAGGCAAGGCGATGATTCGGCAGTCTCATATCCAGGCGGTGCATCAAAGTACTTCTCCTTGACATCGGAATCATCAGGAAGCTGCACGCGTGAGCCCCAACAGACGTTGACCAACCAGTGGCCGAGTTCGAGGCCGGGGTCACGGCGATGCTTCTTCTCCGGATGCGTCTCCTCCAAAAACAGGAAACCGACCACAATCCCACAAACCAGCACGGTGATGCAGACGAGGTTGGGCAGCAGGAACGGGAATTTGTCCCACAGCGTACTGCGCGCAAAGAGCGCCGGGTAGTTGTCGCAGGGTTGGGCCAAAGCGCCGCCCATAGCCGGTCCAATGATCGATCCCAAACACCACACGAAAGGCATAATCGAATAAGCTCGTGGCTGGTGCTCTTTCTTCGTCACGATCTCCGCAACCGTCGTCTGGAGAACCCCGATATTTCCATTCAACATGCCGCCCAGCGCGCGCGCAATCATCGCCGTGGCCAGGTTGGGCGCAAATCCGAATACCACCATACTGATGGCCGTGCCCACGAGGCCCATGATGAGGACTGGCTTACGACCAATCCGATCACTCATGCGGCCCCAGAACATGCCCGCCGAAAACTCAGCAAAGGTGAATGAGGAGGTGATCATGCCGGCGTACAGTGCGATCTGGCGGTCGTTATCCGTCACATGGAATGATTCGACCATGTGATACACGTAGGGGAAAATCGACATGAAAGCAATTGGTTCACAGATTCGGACGAGTGCTGCATCATGTTCGTCAGTATTCAAGATCCCTATAGATATGGCGGCGCATTTTGCGGCTACCACTGTCTTATGTTTTTTTTTTTTCATAGTTCGCAGCACAAAAGTACCACACTTACCTAACACGAATAGTTGCCGAATTGGGAATGTCGAATAGTCATCACCAGAACCATTGCGGGTACGTCGACCCTGTAAGCAAGCCGGTCGTTGAAACATTTTGTGAAGTTCTGAGAGAAGAATTGAAGATTTCGAAAGGATCTGAAAGCAGACACCAGGGGATTTTTCACAGAGGCTTCGAGACGCCCCGCTTCCCTTTTAGATTGTATAGCTCAGAAGTAAAAAGAAAAAAAAAAAAAGTCAGGAAGAACAGGCACAAAGTACCAGATAAAAGGTGCTTTTGTTTCCTTAATTTCCCCGGAGTATAAAAGGGAGAGAATGTAGTAGTGTAATTGGAGCAAGGAGCAGCGTCTTTTGATTTTAGGGCTCTAGCATTGCTCCCCTGCGGTTGGGAAATATCAAGATCCGATCAGAGCGGAAGATGAGACAGCTGCAAGGGAGTCCGGAGAGTTTAAAAGGAAGTCGATCGAAGAAAAGAAAAAATCAAACTGAAGGGGAAGGGGGAAGTTATTATATCTATACAAGGTAGTGGATAGGTCTATAGAAAAATGATCAGGCGCCAAAGAACTAAAACGTCAACCGTTCAGCATCACAACTGAACATTTCGGTTACAGCTGTACATGCAGTTGGCAAACATTATAAAGACGAAAGGAGGTGGGTCATTTTATTTTTATTTTTATTTTTATTTTTTGGTATTTTATATATATTTTATTTCGATTTTAAAATACCTTATGTGGATCTGTAGAAACCTGACATTGCCGTTTAAGAGTAGGGGGAAGTCGGAAGAATCTCCCCGGCAAGGAAAGGGGGAACCAATGGGAAGAGATCGGTACATCGTCATCAATTTTTTGGGGGTATTTGATGGTATTGAATGGTATTTGATATATGATATTATTGGGTATATTGGACTTTGGATTCGATGTTTTACTATGGAATTTTCTATTACTCCGGTAAAGGGGGAACGTCTTTCAATATAATACATATATATATTTATATAAATATTAATCTGATAGGGATCAGATTTTAAAAAAAAAAAAATATATTCAAAGAAAGTTTTTTTAGTCTAATTCGACAGATCCCCCAGATCCCAAAAGGGATTCTTAGACCCACGATCCTAAGCACCGGGCCCCCGGGGAACGGCATTAGGGGGGCTAAGTGATACTTCACCCGGTATGATCGGTTTTGTTCCCAGAAGTGTGGTTTTAGTGTAAAATTAGTGAGATGGATCTATATATTTCTGGAATTTATGATTCTTTATCGTCATACTACCCACTCAAAGAGAAACATTACCCACAGGATGATCAGGAGAAATGGTACTGGTTAAAGGAAACCTGATTGGGTCGAACCAGAGGTAAATGTTTAGGGTATACAACATGCGGTGTACTCCCCCATCTCAAAGGGAAAAGTTCAATATTGAGGTCCCGTCTATTGTCTCATTGTTTCACCGTTTTCAACCCGAAACCTCGAATTTCGGTGCATATGGAGATGGGGCAAAGTCTACGGTGTAGAAAGAGAAGCTATTGAAACCCGAAGACTCCATCCCACCCAGTAAATTATAATGTGGATTTTGTTTTTTTGCTTGAGACCTTCGAGAAGACTTCAGAGAATCAGCTGAGCTTGTCAAAAATTCACCGACACTCCCGAGCCCCATCTATTGGCCGTTAGGCGTCGATCGGCGACAGGGGAAAACAATGCCACCCCTTTCCCCCTTATAACTGTCCTAGAAGGTTATCAGCCATTGTGGCGAAGCTGAGCGGATGACGGAACCGCTAATCCGCGCGAACTACATTCTTGTCCTCTGTACTTTTTTATGTCTTTTTATTTGGGCTTGAGATCTCCAAATGGAATCTATCCAAAAAGTCGGTAAAGTGCCGACCCAACAAGAAGGGACTGCATAAGACCCAAGGGGCTGGGAATAAGTGGGACCATGATTTGGATTCGACTCAAT